TAGATCTGATGGAACTTCGATCTGTAGCAGACCGAGAACTGACAAGGCTGGAAAAGGACGCTCGTCTCGTGCGAGTCATGTACCCTCGCTGGCTTCTCTTGAAAGGCAACTCCCTCAACTTGTCTGGTAGAACAGCCGCTGCTAATAACAATTTTAACTTGGTACGAATGTATTTGATTGCTTTCTTTACGATTACATTTGCGCCATTTCATTTCATTTTATATGATTTCGTTGTTCACCAGATCCCCCTTTCCCCCGTTAAAATACCCTAGATACGCCAATACGTTTGCCATGACATAAAATGCAATCGCCAGATCTGTAGCTCAAGCAAAATCACATAATCCAAAATATTAAACATACCAATTTTTCAGGCGCTGGAGGACGCTCGTCGGATGCACAACCGTCTCGAACAAGCTCTGGCAAGAGCAGCTCTATCCAACTCGGTGTTCTGGGCCCAGAACGCTCGCTCCTACCGCTTCCCAGCCTGGCAGAGCGCCACCGAACAGGCACATGCTTCCTGGCACCAACTCCTGTACAAAATTACCACGACGAGACAATAATCCATGGAAACTTCACGATTGACAGGTAAAATCGATAATATTTGCTTTGGATTTGGTTAGTTATAAAATAGAAATAGTATCCTTACCTCAATAATTAATTAAGCTAAGCAATAAAACATTAAAATTCATACTACACATTTAAGTTCATTAAAGTAGAGAAGATGCAAAAGCAGCATGACTCTACCTACGTAGATTGTAAAATTACATGGGTAATAAATAAAATATTACCAACACTGAAAATGTAAAAATTAAAGTATGTAAGTAAACATTAAAATAACTAGCTTTTTAAGCGCATAAACTGTCTACAACAACCTCCGCTCTACAATTTCCACAATCAATGCCGCAATTTTAACATTAAGCTCTTTGATGCATGTAATACGTTTCACATTGCTACAAAATTTGACTCTTTGTGTTGTCTCGTTCTGAATCTAGCCTTTTAACAAGGACAGCTGCTGATAATTGTCAAACATCCGTGAACATAGCTAGTGAAGCCAGTATTGCAGAGAGCTGCGCGGACATCATACCGATTCTATGTTGTTTTGATAAGATAACTCGTGTTTATCTAATGTTTTTACTTGAAAATTGAGTTATTGTTCATTTTAACTTAAAAGTTACAAGGTTTTGGACATGTCCACGAAAAAACACGTGTTCGTGGGGTCATTCGCTTCGGCGGAATCGTTAAAAGAGTTGTCCGTGAATGTCGGATACATAGTTGTGGAGGATGGGAAGGTATTTTCGCTTAATTAAATATTTAGTAATAAGTACAACACAATTGCATAATTGCATTGAATGATGCAATTTAGCACTTCTCAAGTTTGAGGTTACATTCAATCAAATTAAATGATGAAATAGTATTACAAACTGCTTGACAAAAGTATGCACTCTACCGCATGTTGTTTATTAATATTTTTATAAGATTTTTTTCTTTTTACCTATATTAGGTACTTGGTCATGGTCATACAGGTAAAAAGAACCCTTTTAAAAAGATGTAGAGTATTTTTTTCGTATCATTGCTTTACTACATAAATATCTTGTGAAGTTCGTTAACTTCGCTCTACACCGGCTTATTTTCAGCGGTTTTAAGCCGCATGCGCTTACAATTTTATATGAAACGGTTCAAACAGCTTGGTGATTTATCTAGTCTCGTTATGAGCCCACATGCTTATGTTAATGAAAAGTTGATAAGCTCTTTACTTTGTATCAATTTACGTCACCGATAAAACCGATTTCATGTATGTAAATAAATGCGCGTCAAATCCCGGCAAGTTCAAAGGCTGACTGACGAATAAAAAACAGCAATTAACCTATCCAATACATTACATAGATAAATGCTAGCAGGACATACCGTTGCAAAAACAGCAATTAACCTATCCAATATATTAAGATAAATGCTAGCAGGAGATACCGTTGTCAATTCTGAATGTTTTTGCCATCATTATTAACTCTTATCCGTAAAAGGACTTTTATTTTATGCTCTTGCGTAAGCTAGTCCTTCTAAATTAAACTGAGTCTGACACCTAGGTGAAAAGTGGACAAAAACATGTTTAAAAAAGTGTTAACCGTTTCAGATAACCAAAATAAACAAAGATGAAAGGAATGCAGACCTGCAATCACAATTCGCAGGATATGAGATAGTCCGACTGAATGACAGCCAGATTCTCATCCCAGGATTCGTCGACTGCCACACACACGCTCCCCAATTCCCGAATATAGGCGTGGGATTGGATAGACCATTGCTTGAATGGCTGGCAAAGTACACCTTCCCTCTGGAGAAGCGATACAGCGATGTAGAGTTCGCGGCTAAAGTTTACGATGTTGTCGTCGTAAGTATCAGAAATAAAAGATATTGACAAGGATTCCCCCATTCCTTTCTGCGGTCGTCGTGAAAGTCGACTGAAATACAAATATACGACCATTAGGCTTCAGCACAGCAAGCTGTCTGGTGGTCTGGTCAGATAGGGAAGTGTGCACTTATATCGGGTAAATTAGAGGGCTGTGCTCTTGCATTAGAATTTAGAAGTAATTATGATGATGTTTTCCTCATGATCAGGAATATTTTGTTCCTGGAGCTTGGGTAAGGGTTTCTTCCAAATCAATGTTTCCATTATTTACAGAAACGCCTCCTCAACAACGGCACCACAACAGCTTGCTACTTCGGGTCTCTACACGCTGAAGGCACTTTGGAACTGGCTAAAAGCGCCATCAAGCACCGTCAGAGGGTGTTTGTGGGGAAAGTCAGCATGAACCTCCAAAATGATGCTGGATACTTCAACGACACTGAGAAAGAGTTGGCAGAGGTCCAGACCTTCGTGGAGAATGTCCTTGCATATAAGGTAAAAACTAAAAAAAAAACTATTCAGGTACCCATCTTCAGTAGTAATTTGTTATAAGTGAATGTGGTTTTCTATCTTCTCAGAACGATCTGGTGCAACCGATCTTAACACCAAGGTTTGCGGTAAGCTGTGACGACGACCTTATGAGTGGCTTAGCTGAGATTTCTGATAAATACGACTGCAGAATACAGGTATCTTGACGATCAACTATGGAGATTTTGGGAATCTATTTACTTTATACTATGTAATAATAAATTATTACATTTCAGAGTCACATATCAGAGAACCACAGCGAAATAGAATACGTACTGAAAATTAACCCGACATGCAAAAGTTACGCTGAAGTTTATGACAAAAATAGAATACTAAATAATAGGGTAAGTGAAGACTACATTGAATGAAAGAGACCAAATTTTACACACAAAAGTACAAAATAAATACTAAATAAACTACAATAAATACTTACGTACTGATCAACCTCTTTATTAAAATTCGTAGAAGAGACGAGCAGTTCCTTTCTTGATTGGTTATTTCTTCTCGACCTCCTTGTTTCTCTTAGGGCTGATTTTTCAATCGTTGGATAACTTTTAACTGAAGAATAAGTTTGGCATATTGACAGTTTCAGTATGAGAAATATGTCAAAATGACAAATTTATTCGCCAGTTAAAAGTTATTTGATGATTGAAAAATCAGCCCTTAGCATAATGCGTATCTTTTGTAGACTATAGTGACATGTAGATTGACAGATGATGGTCGTTTCAATTCCAGTGCATCATGGCCCACGCCATCCACTTGACAGACTGCGAGCTGCAGACGATGGTCCACAAGGGAGTGTCCATCGCCCACTGCCCGGCGTCCAACACGCGGCTCTGTTCCGGCCTGTGTCCAGTCAGGAAATATCTGGACAACAATCTGGTCGTGGGATTGGGAACTGGTAAGCAGACATCTTCTCGACTTGCCTGCTTCTCGACATCTCAAATGCACAGAACTATTTTTCTTCCCTTTCTTTTTTTCACGTTGCGTTTGTGTTCACAAAATAGCTCGCTTTCCAGAACCTGTTTACAGGTCAAAAAGGACACTGCGCTTTTTAAACCGACATCTTATTGGAAGTCCAAATTATAAATAGTGATGTTAACTTTCAGACGTATCAGGTGGCGACAGCGCAAGCATATTGGACGCCATGCGAAGGACGATGGACGTGTCTGCGCATCTTGAGATGAAAGGAGACAAAGGATTCACCATCAGCTGGTCCGAAGCTTTCTATTTGGCCACGCTAGGTGGCGCTAAAGGTACATTTGAAAAATAGTCGGGTGTAATTTCAAATATTGTTTTTACTTTTTAGACTATTTGTAGTCGTATAGAGTTGGGTAGAGCCAGTAATACAATCGTTTTATTTCGTATTTTATTAGTCGTACGACAACCATTTTTTATTTTTTTTTATACTGATTTAAATACTTTCAACAAACATTTTCATAGACAACAAAGTTTATCAACATCGTTTGTGCATTTTTGTTTTATTTTTGCAGCTTTAAAACTGGACCATAAAGTCGGCAGCTTTGAAGTGGGCAAAGAGTTTGACGCTCTGCTCATAGACCCGTACGCGTTCGATGGGCCCATAGACAAACACGATTACTGCATCAGCAGCAGTAAGGAGGAACGTGCAGTAACTTTACTGCAAAAGTTCATCTACTTGGGCGACGATAGAAATATAGTGCAAGTGTATGTAAAGGGACAGAGGGTGAAAGACTTATTGTAGTCTTTGTTTTTCATTTATGCTGGGGCATTATCGAATAAAAATATTGTCTTAAAATAATGCTTTGTTTGATTTAAAATTTTCTTCCTAATGTTAAATACACAAAAAAATTGAGCATCTCGGATCGTAATTACACAGACAATAATCTAGGCACTTGACAAAGTACAATATTTATTGTAGTAATCTGTTATGATGATTGTGTTCTATAACATACTACAACCTTTACTTATGTAAAATTAATTTAAAACACTTAAAAATAACAGTAACAAAAAGTCAAGACATACGTTGTAATATTTTTATTTTCGTGAAATTCTTTATAATTTGTATAGAAAATTGTGCAAATATAATGTGACAATATAACTGAATTTACATAAGCGAATACCATAGTACAAGTAATACTCAAAAGAATTATACTAATAATCAAATCCGACATAACAATGACGAAGTCGTACACAGTCGTAACGAAAATAACTTGAACCTTTCTTGTGGTGAACGTGAGCTGAAATGCAGACGGACGCAAACAAGATGGCCGTACTTATGCACTTAACAGTAGCATCAAGCAAAAAAGGTCCTTATATCCAGGCGATATGGTATACCAGATTTTGCACGACTACGCAAGAGCGAGAAGCAGTGTCCGTCACAATTCTATGACTTTCATATTTTGTTTTATAAGTGACTGGATCAGAAGTGATACACTACAGTTTGTATCTTATGTTCACGGCATCGGTACCTTTTTTGATTGATTGCAGCATCGCCTGCAGATCAACGCACGCGCACCCTAACCATTTTCTAACTAAAGTACTCCTCTGTATAGTTAAAACTGTAGTAATTTTGTTAAAGCTCTGAGATCTATGTTAACGTTTATGACAGAAAAATAATACTCAAATGCATCTGGTATATTTAAATACTTAAATCGGTGGAATGATAAGTATGTAATGTATTCGAGTGTTAGTAATAAATTATATTAATAAACATACGAACAGTCTTATAAAATGATAAATATTATATCTAAATATTAGAGCAACTTATATTATTGTACAAAATCTTATACGCGTATAGTTATAATAATATTAAATTTCAAAAATGTTAATTTAAAAAATAGGACGCACTTGAATAAAGACGAAAAATTATAATAATAATATGTAGGCTAATATAACAATATACAAAAATTTTGTTTGTTCGTGTTGCGACCACGAGCCGCTTAGTGTTCCTTCAGTTTGTTCGGGGCTGTGGTAGCAAGCACAACAAGTCTTTCGATCTCAAAATATAACTACACATTAACTAGTCTAGGTACTCCCTATTCGTAATCGTCTATCTCTAATCAATGAACACAGGAACTTGGACGACCAAATCCAAGAAATGCAAGCCAGCTATCGTTAAATCTATAGTTATGACCTTTTGGGTACTGTTTCGTTACCTTAGCCGCGTTCTATTTATGTTACTTGTATAATCTTATATCAAACACAGAACGCAAACTTTATGGTCAATTATTACCAAATAGTTTGACCACTTGTTTCTAAAACGTGACAACACAGATATAAATTACCCATCTAGAATTTAAAGACATAGACAAAACATAGTAATATTTATAGGGTCTATCTATCAATTGCGTAAATACTCTTGTAACATTTAATACTAGTAGAATAGCAGCCAGTCTAATAAGAGTCATTTTGCCTTATCTGGTTCACAATTTAGTATTACAAATAAAAATCGTAGAGCCTATTTCAAGGTACCAATAACGAATCAGGAGCAATAATAGGGTTTAAAAAACTTTGAAATCCGACATAAATGAATGTTATTGGATCAGCCGCTATGATAAGGTACTCTCATATAATATGGCCACAGAACAGGCTATATGCGTAGTAGCGTATGGAAGGTAGCTGCTTACTAGATTACAAATATATTGAGCTGCCTCTAACACATAACTCATCTACTACCATACCAGCAAGTCTTAAACTAATAATTGTGATATCAAACAATAAAATACATCTTGCGACTTGCATTGGATGTTTAACCTAAAACAGTCTTAATAATAGAAACTTACAAATACAGTATCCTGCCAAATGCCATATAACGATTATAGTCTATGACTTTAGCTTGGATATTCGATTTTCAACTTTATTACCTTAAAAAAAATTAAGTCTACAATCGATTCTATTATCGCTAAATGGCATTTGACTAAGGGTACAGATCATAATAATAATGTTTAGTGTAATGTGCGAACCTGTGCATAACATAGGCTTGTGTAACTTAACATAAATAAAATAAATTGTAATAAGTAGGTTTATAACAATAACGTATTCGTACAGTATTGAAATTTAATTTTGAAACAAAATCAACTAACTGGTTGAATTTATAGTTAACGTAATTAAAAAATGAAAAAAATAAAACTTTAAATTTCTTCATAAGAGATTTCACAACTAGCACCTATGTATAATCCAAGATCTGTTATATTTACAGAATATTAATAGAAACAATACAACTATTTTATGTTCAATTGTGAAACGCACTTTGTACTATTAATAATAGACAACATTTGATCGCGAGTCGAACACCTTCCATGTTTTCAACACCAAGTGAAAAGTGAGTTAGAAAAAATTACACAGATTTGTCAGTCTTATAGATGCGGCTATTTGGCGAAATTTGATTTATTTATAAATGGTACTAAATATGATCCGAATTTACATTTGTTACATTTAATCCCGGTGAAATCTAACATTAACAATGAGCAAATAAAGGTATGAGGTAGAAAGAAATGCAAAAGTGAAGTGAAATGCTGACTTTATACGGAAAATCAGAGAATATAAACATTCTCTGCACACCTAAAGCTAAAACATCAGTGCTAAAGACATACATTTAATTAACTAAACCTTTATTTACAGGAATGTTATTTAATTGTTATAATATAAGCACACACTGCGTCTCTTTAATCATATTAGCTTCACAAATTTAACCTATTAAAATGTTACTCATCCTTCAAATATTTTCTGAAGATGAGCCCTAAAACACTGGAATTAGGACTAAATAATTCACTTCTTATATTTATTTAACTAAGAATTTCCTGTCCATAGTTTCGTTATAAAACAAGATATTTTCTTAGAAACACATTTAGTTCATTCATCATGGCACAGAGACAATCATACAACTAGCATTTTTAAATTCTTAAATTTCACCTGAAATTCTAGCATACCTAGTCGTAAAAGGTAGCGAATAGTTATAGTTAATATTCATGTTTCGTTATCACCATCGTACCTTTTAATAATCAAAATCCAAAATAAAGCCTTTACTTCGAATAGAGAGCAATCCTTATCAAATTTTGTAAAATTTTGGAGAATCAAAAATAGCACAATGAACAAAAGTCGTCGTTAAGCATTCGTTGATTAACGTGACCAAATATTTAACCAATACAAACGAAACAATACTCTCAAAATGTAAAATTGGATAAAAAAAAATACACAATAAACATTTCCTAGGATTAGAAATAGCACGTTTTCATCTAGGAATATGATGAAACATTAACGTAGTAAACGCACTAAATAACATAAATATGACAACGCTATACTTAGTTTCGCTCGTGTCTCTAATAAAATTAAATCCAATCCTCTAATAGAATTTCCCAGTGTGATATAATTAATCTATAACCTGACAATCAACATTCGTATATTGTATAAAAACAAATATTAATTGACTGTTATTTGTTTGTATGGGATATTTTATTTACACTGTATCGTAAATTCTATGCCATCACATCACTACAATATTTTATGACGTCAATATTTGGATTGTATTTTATCGTTTTCCTACTCCGCTCATTTATTCTAATTTAATTTCCCTAAATAGCAGACACAAATCTCTAATCGGTTATGAAACTCCCATTGGAATTCGTTTTCGTATTTTGTTTTGCAACACAATTTAAGGTACACGCCTATAGGCGTCAAACGTAGGCGTTCTCCCATTGACAGATCGCACCTACGCTAGCCAAAGGTTTTCTAGGCCGCATACGCATTATCTACTTCGCAACACGATGTGGATACATTGATCGGTTTAATTCGTTTCTTCCACTAATATCGAAACCATGTTGCGTGGTAGGTTTCAGGATCCTTACTTCACGTAAGGTCGGATGGGTATCTCGCTTGTAAGATTAAGATTAGTGTACGGCTACACTAGAACTGTCCATGTAGGACCGTACTGACATTCTGATACTTGTACAATACAATATTCCTTAGTTGTATCAATAAAGCAAACGACCATCACGAAAGACAACTATTCGCGAAAGTCATCAACATTATTGGACCGGGTCAGAAATAATTTCACAAATCAGAATGTTACCGTAACTATCACTGGTAATATTGTCTCAATGTTACCTCGGGGGAATAGAGCGTCTACGTAACCAGTCAGAAAATGACGTGTACGTGTTTCTTGTGGGGGGGCGGTATAATACGCTATAGGTAATTGTTATGTGCTAATAGTAGCACTTCTACACTGGATCTTGTAAACTTTTTATAGCTTTATAAAAGAGCTAACTCTTCGGCAATGATGCAGGCGGCAAGATTTGTTAACGATCGCAGAATGCCGAGCAATATTGCCGAAAAGTTTTGTTCGTTTACAATTACTTTAAAACGTAGATACAGAGTGCAAAGGACAGGCTGACAAATGCAGTTTCCCAAATCGATACATAAGGATATTTTTCATGGAAATGACACCGAATATTTATTTATTTATTTCTATTTTTCCTTTGTTTTAACGTTTTATAGTGTAATGTAATTCCAACAACTATATGAGAAGTATTTTCATAGCATGTATTATATGAAAAAGTCAGTATTCCGGGGAAAATCCAGTAGATCAAAACAATGGTCTGGACTTACTGTCAAAATGTTTGCCAGCCTGCCCCCTTACACCGTATGTAAGCTCTTGGGGCCGCATTACAGGGAGTTTCCCCTCGGCAGCGGCTCGGGCTTCTTCGGGCGCGGTCAGGCGGTCACTTGACGAGGCTGGAGAGCGAGCGCGACCTCAGTGTCGGAGTGCGTGAGGGCGCGGCACGCGGCGCCGCCTGCGCACACGCGCGCGCGCCGAGACCGACGCCGCGAGCTGCGACGCTCGCCACCTAACGCGGGATTGATATTGTTTTAACGCGATGATCTAACGGAAAGCGTACGGCCGAAACATACACGAGACGACGTTGCGTCCTGCCACGATGCGTTTTCTTGTCACATCAGGACTACACCCTACAGAGTTGTCAAGAGTCTGATCTATCATTTATCTCTTTCTCAAAGAGAAACGGCTTTAGGATAAGAACAATTTTACAAATTATGATAAAAATGTCACCACAGAAGCAAGATATCGCATCGGATCACGACGACGTCGCATCGTGTAGTTTTTGCCATTAATTAACGCCCGTCAAAGCACTTTCAATTTGACATTATTCAACCAAATAAAAAACGCCATGACGCGCGATAGGTACGCTTTCTGTTTGACCAAAGCTAAAGACACAACTTTGACCATTCACAGTCATTTAGGCAAGGCATCATGTAATATCGATTCACAGAGATGGCTCGCTTATATGACTATAAATAAATACAGAGATCACGAGGTATCTTAAATGCTATTACATTTAAAAATGCAGCAATAAAAAATGCTATCAAAGAAAATAATGTGACTGAATTTCCTTTTAACCTCAAATGTCAAGAGATTTCAGATATGATAATATACAGGAGAAAAAATCGATTACTCGTGATGTCTGTATTCGATTCTGCGCTCAGATTTTTCAAGCATCAACAACAGTAAAACTTTACGTCAGTCAAATCTAATAGGTAGCAACTATCGTCACACTTTGTTAAACACTCGCTAATTATCCTGAATAATATTAATTAATATTTGTAATTTAAATTTATAAAAATTTGAGCGCATAATCAAACTTCATTTGACGAACAACAGAAAGGCATGCATACGTAACTTTGGACTTACGTAGCGAATCGTGCTATCTATTTAGTTTATATTGTTGTTTAAATATTGTTCATTAATATTTTAATTTATTTAAAACTGTATTACGCATTACATAAAATATAAATGGTAGGATGGCGTTTTGTTCGTGTTATAAAGGTAGAAATCCGCATGATTAATTCAATAAGTTAAAGAGATCAAAGTAGTAGTAGAACAAATTAATAACGTAACACGGTATTCCGCGAACTAAATTATTTTGTAATAACAGAACAAACCACCTCCTATATAAAAAAAAAATCAAATTACTATCTCACAATCTTCACAAGACATTTAATATTTATTCGCAAATAAAAATAATCAGCAGCTATTCTAGTAGTAACAAGGCCTTTTATAGGCCAGATACAGCTATTACATAATACCAAAGCGGAATATTTGCATCTCTTCTAAAAGGTCGAAGGCCAAGGATCAAGTCAACGACCGACCCAAAAAAAAAGCCCCGCAAGTTTTAATGTAATAAATATCTTATTGGAAAAATGTGAGATCATGATGTAATAATAACTGCGTATAAACGTGCACATGTTAAGGATTAGATGTGGTCACAAACTTGCTTAGTTTGAGCATAAACGTCAATTTGAATTTTGATGCCACATACCTCTCGATAAGTCATTGTAGGCACTTGGTACTTACCTCATTTTACTTTTTAAACACCAGTCAAAGAAACGCAACATAAAATGATATCGAAAGTCACAACACAATGACTTATTGAGATATAATCTAAAAATCTAATCTATAAACATATTGAATGCAATTAAAAATATTGTCGCTTTACAAAGCAAACCATACATTGACACGACTTAAAACAATAATGCGCTACTGGCAAAATAATGTAACACCATCAAACTGCGTATGTTCCAATATCCTTAATGTACAAGATGCACAGATGACATTTTTACATGACAGTTTCATACAACAGTACATTCAAACGCACGAGAAAATCTGACAATGGAAATGTGAATATGCGAGATCATGACTGATTTCATTCAAAAACATCGTGGAGTAAAAACATGTGAAGACAAAAATAATGTAAGTGCTATATTGACGGGCAACGATCGTAGGATGCACACGTACCCGTTAAAGAATCGACGAGACTGCTTATCCATTACTTACATTGTAAGCGGTTTGTAACCAAGTAAATATAGACCTATTGCAACACAACATAATCTTAGTTCGTTCTTCGTATAAACTGTCGGATACAAATAATATGAAGCACATAGGACGACATAATGACGCATGCGTGGCGGAAACGTAACGTGCGGTGGAATGGAAACGAACGGTGACGTCATGCGAACACAAAGCGGAAGCGGCCCCACAGCATTACCCTTTTGTTAATGCATTGTAGACTTTATGATTTCCTTAGTGTTTTTACAAAATTACTTGACAGAATAAGACGTTCAAATAGGAGAAGGAAACGATGAAAAAATGTGGCAAACCAAATACAATCCTTGTGCAAGGTTTTCAGTTTCCTGATTAGTTATCTCACATTACATCCACAGTGAATGTGGAAGCAATGGTTGTACAGTCAGCGTCAAATAGTTCGTGACACCCAAAGTAGCCAAAAAGTTCGCAACACGTCTTTATTGGAATAAGGTTGTGTTGTCAAATTTTTGCCCACTTTGGGTGTCACGAACTAAAGCCCGGTCTGTGAGCACGTAGAATTTTGTCCAATGACGCCAAGCTACCCTTATTGCTCGCGCGTAATTATGTTGCCGTCGCGCTCGCACACTCACTGCGGGCGCCCGTCGCACAGTCGCGTTCTACGTGCTCGGAGACCAGACTATATTTGACGATGACTGTAATAAGCACACACGATTATCAACTCTCTAGGTATGGTCATGATGGTATATTTCTCCGCAACAAGGATATCATAAAGCCCCAACCGGCGGTTAGTCCTGCGCACCGTAGCGAACGAACACAATTGGCACAGTACCGGTGCGAGGTCAAAACAAAAACTCTAGGCAGGCGACAAGCACGTAGAGAGCGGTGCTCTCCGGCCGGTCGGGCGGGGCCCGGCAGGGGGCGGGTGGGGGCGGGGGGGGCGTACCGGCGCGGGCGCGCGCGTCCAGCGACGCCGCGGGCTGCAGGAACCACTCCGAGCGCGTGCGCATACGGGCCCGCTGCCGCTCGTGCACCTGCGGCACCCACCATCATGTTTTTTTTGTTTTGTCTTCCCTAAGGCGAAGGCATAATGCCGTACAGCCGAGTCTTCAATTTAATAATAATTTACTTTTTTTTTGTTCTTGTTCCCTTTTGCAGGCAAAGGCATAATGCCGTACAGCCGAGTCCTAAATTTTTAATAATAATTTATTGTAGCTCTACTATATTTTTTTTTGTTCTTGTTCCCTTTTGCAGGCAAAGGCATAATGCCGTACAGCCGAGTCTTCAATTTTTAATAATAATTTATTGTAGCTCTATTATATTTTTTTTTGTTCTAGTTCCCTTTTGCAGGCAAAGGCATAATGCCGTAGAGCCGAGTCTTCAATTTTTTATATTGTAGCTTACTTTTTTTTTTGTTCTTGTTCCCTTTTGCAGGCAAAGGTATAATGCCATACAGCTGAGTCTTCAGTTTTTGACAATATTGTAGTGCCATTATTATACTTTTTTGTTATCCTTTTGCAGGCAAATGCATAATGCCATAAAGCCGAGCCTTCAGCTTTTAACAATTATTTTGTAATCACGGAGTTCCACTATCAGTAAGCGGCTCCCCATTTTTTTTTACTATACATGTCACGACTCTGGATTAGATCTCTTTTGAATATAGGCAGGGTTACCACCCGTACCTAATGTTTTCTGACATTTTTTTTGCCCTGTCAGAAACCCAGCCAGACTTGGAAACTGACAGGAACGACAAAACTTCACTTACACCTGTAATGTGCTAACGTTCGTTATGTTTGCGTCGTAGGCATTTCTTTGTAAATATTATAAAATTTAGTTAATTCACCTGGTAAGACTAAGTCAGCGAATTTTTTCCCTTTTACATCACCAATCTTTAAAATCTTAATTACTTGAATAAAGAGTTCCATAAACATTTATACCCTTCTACTTTTAAAGCTAACCATAATACGATATGTCATAGCTTTTTTCAGAACAGTTATCATTTTAATTTGAAATTCGTTTGGCTCCCACTATGTTAACTACTAAATTCGCTGTATGATCCCCACGCTACACCATAATGACAGGATTAGGGAACAACTAATTCTAGCATTCTTACAATAACACACAACACAGTTTGTAAATTACGCATACTTCAAATATTAAGACTACTTTATAATCAAAAATACGAATTTTAAAATGCTTAAAACCATTAATTTACACAGATGCGTTGTGTTATACTTCAGACACAAACTTGACCAAAACAGAAAAAATGTTAATTAATCAACGTAATGTTAAAAGTACCCACCCTACCTTACAAATTGTTAAGTTACATGAAAAACAGTTAATAATAAATTGTTAACATGAAACAAGAACGTTAGTTTTGATTAATATTCAACCATATCTACTATTAGTTCAATTAATTAATTATAAAATTAATGATGGCATAATTATAAAATTTAAAAACCATAACCTGTTCCCTTATTATGTGACTCAGCATCTATTGCAATCGCTTTCAATTTGACATGTACTGTACATCCATTGCTGTGTGTCACTGTGACATCTGTCTTTATGGGCCAGTGATGGATATGTCACCGTAACATTGTGAATTCCGTCAGATTACAATCTGACGTAGTTAGATTACAATCTAACCTAACCTAACCCCACTGTTAGTTTACAATCTCACGCGTTATATTATAAACTGTCGGAGTTCACAATTTCGCGTTGACAGATATACATAAACTGTCATATTGGAACCAATCGTAAAAGACTGAATCAAACAATGAAACCCCGAATCGACCCTATGCTTTCCATTCGACAATTTTGAAACTACAACTTGAATAAGAGTTTAGGTACTTTGGATTCGTTTGAAGATCCATTGTAGTGCAGCTGTAAGCTCGTGACCACACGTCAGGATGTGCCACACCGTCTATCAAGCTGTGTCCATAGGTCCCGTGTATTGAAAGACTCGCTCGAGTTCGAAAAACTAAAACTAACAAAACAGCCACAAGTTGCCCTAAGTATTTTCAAGAGGGTAAACAGATATCAGTCATGCAGATCAAGAGGTGAACAGAAACCACTGTGAAATATAAATCAAATCAACGGCTTTACCTTTTTGTGACATATGACAGCCATATGACATATGTCAATGTCACTTTTAGGAGTTGCCAATTGGTGCATTTGTGTCCTTCCTAAACTTATTTCAGATCAAATATATTTATTTCAGAAGTTTCATATTTATTTATAAACATTCAGAAGTACTAATTGACGTCACAACGACCAAGACATTGAAAAGTATTTTACAAGATATTATAAAGCTTATTATTTAAACAACGACGATTGAGTTTCAATCTTTCAGACATGACATTACGGTACAATATTATATTTGACAGTGGTCAAAGTTCTATAGACAGAACAGGGGAGACAGACGGGCGTGGGTAGGCGCTACAGGTGGATACTGATCAAACTGTCGTCACCATCACTTATAGAAAACGTCCTTTAGTGAGCGCTAGAATCCAAACACACATCGTTTTATACACACCCTAAAATCGAGATCTAAAATAAATGTTTATTAATGGAAACACCTTTTAAAATTTAAAATACTAAATGAACAATTTATGAAAGAAAACCTTATGGTTTAACAAAAAAAATAAGGCAAATTCCAAATCTTAAAAATCTCATCACACATATTTTGTCCGAGACACTTTTTTTTTCAGTAATTGATATAATAATATTGGTTATTTATTGTACAAATGGCAACAATTTATATTTCTCATCTGGCAATTTTGGAATATGTCTCATTGCTAAACAAACACAAAACATGTGAACTAAATTAAAAAGGAAGTAAACATATTTTTTTAAAAGGTGTTCCCAAACAACATAGAGAGAGAGAAAACATCATAACATCTAGATCTGGGGGAATTCCTGAACATTCAACATTTGAGGGTATCAAACTAAGCGGGACATACCTGAGGCAAGTAGGAGAGGCTCTTTGTGCTCTCAGCGTATTTGTTGATGGCGCGCAACTCTTCGAGTGTCATGTGCGGACTGGAGTTACTGCGAGACGATTGCGACGATGAGCTCACTGACACCTGGAATTGACAGTATTTGTATGTAAATTCCACATTCAGTGATTCCATAACAATTTTGTTTATACATCAACGGAAATTATTTTGTAATTTAATAGATGCGACAGTTTATAAATTAACAGACATTATTTTGTAATGGAATAGATTTTACAGTATTATGACGTCAGTTATGCTTATGGTGGCAAGAAATATGACGTCAAGAGCGTCATTCAGATAACCGGAATTTTTAGTGATTCATGAAGAAAAGAAACTTTCATTCTTTAAGCAGGGACTGATATGCTTACGTTTATCACGTTATCTGTGGCTTAAGAGAATGTAAAGAGATGATGCTATTATCAAACAAACATGTCTCAAGGTTAACGAAATGTCCCGAAAATACTAAAACAATAAGGAATGATCTATCAAGAAAAACACATTCAAAAAAACATTCATTGACAATTTGGCTGTATCTTTTAGGGTCATTAACCGCTCAGTTAGCTTTGTAACTGTCACGATTGTTATTTACTTATTTTCACATCAATTTGAAGCTACAACAATGACATTGTATGTAACGGAATGGCAAAAATATTTACCCACTTGACAAATATGTCTTCATAACTGCTTTTTGCGCTGTAAACAGATTCCAGTCCGTTAACCTACGTTTATAGCATTGTTTTTTCACTGAACACTGAGATGAAAATGTCGTCACTTTGCAGCTACAAAAGTGGTTTTCCACTTATCAAAGTATACTTTACAACATGTTTGCCAATCGAGAACTTTTCCGGCCTAACGGCCTTCAGTTCTACAAGATGTATGCCCCGCCTACTGACACTAAGGTATCAGATCGAAAGACGTAGTGTAGTCAGGCCTCCCAATCGGTAGACTGACGATTTGGAAAAGGCCGCGGGAAGCACCTGGATGCGGGCCGTTGTTGTGGAAATCATTGGGGAAGTCCTATGCTCAGCAGTGCAAGTCCTGTGGCTGCAATGATGATGATGATAATGCTGGTAGGGTAAAAAGATTATGAGGCATGTAGAGGCAGGCTCCTTAGGAGCAAAATATGTGACGATTTGTAAGTACTATTTAAATAGTCTATACAAATAAAGGAAATTTTGACTTCGACTTTGATGACTGATGATGATGACTGATGATGATGATGATGATGAAGACGATACCTTGAAGACGCTCTCCTCCAGCGAGATGGACAGCCGCGTGCACGAGTCCAGCAGGCTGTGCTCGGGGATGATGCCGAGCCCTAGCACGCCGCCAGCCGCGCCGCCGCCCACCACACCCATAAGCGCCGGCATCGACTGGCACTCCTCGGATTTTGTTAGACCTGCACGAGTTTCGGATGTCATGAAGTAAACAATATACTTTTTCAGTTGTGTAAACCCGGATCTCCACTAGAGGCCGCCTCAGGTCGAGGCTCGTTGCGAGGCAAATTCCATCGCCCCTGCCTCTAATGGATACGCGGATTAATAGGTGCGACTTGCAACAAAATTATTTGTCTTACGTGATGTCTGACCACGCCTATTGGACTGGCACTGATGATATCCATATTATTTGTTTTTAGTTTTCCTAGATAGAAATAGGTATGTCCCCTGACTCTTTCAAATGAGCCATATGAAATAGCGAAATGACGAAAGAACTTCCAGAACAAATTTTGATTAAAACTGAGACTGATTATGTTTAAAATAATTATAATCCTTGCCAGTGTTTCCAATAATAGAACCTTTCGTCGTCGATAAAAAGACATCCTTATCTTACAGTGCATGAATTAATAAATAGTGTACAATAATCAAAACCTGTGAAGGCATAAGTAATTATATTTTTCGATGTTAGTATCCAACGCCAAAATTACTTTAACTAATTCTCCAAATAAACGAAACATATTAAAAGAAACACGTATACATAACAGATATGGAAATTGTTACTTAGTAGAATAATACATAGGTGAGTTGCTTTTATATCAATTTTAGTCTGTTACGTGTTATATTGGGATGAATCCACAGCGATAAATAACGTGTACCAGCTAACGAATTCAAGTGAACTACAAAAAAACAATGTGCTACCAGCCCAAAACAATACCAATGGTTACCATATTAAAACATAATGATGAAGTATAATAATATTAACTGATTGATATTCGAGATAAATTCTCAGTTTTTGACTCACCAAAAATGTACAAATATTAACTAAGTAACTTGACTATTCAATAACCTAAACGATTTTCATTCAGATGACCTGCGAAAAGATTTGTTGTTTATTATACTTCTCAGGCACGTTAATATACAGCATGCATGATTGAAGTGTGGGTTACCTTCTAAATTGTATTTGTTGCCCCAGCGATCGCATTCGCACTGCAACCACGTTTTTTCAGCTTCCAGTGACAGTTGTCCTGTAACAGAGCAAAAATGATGATTTAAATGGGCTGTCATATAGTTAATATATGTTTTCAAATACTATTATGGTAAGATATTAAATCTATCGACATCATAAAGCAGAAAGGCGCTGGATATACAGGCCTCTACCAACCGGTCAACATAGAAATCATTAGGGGAGGCCTATGTTCAGCAGTGGACCTTCTATGGCAGAAGAAATCTATTGAACTGTATTCTATAGTTTAGAACTGAGATCACAACTCTAATAGCAAACATACTTATCTCAAATGGACCAAAGACGGCTTTACGTGCTCCGAAACATTCACATTAAAATGGTTGATTCAAGCCACTAAAATCAAAACATATTCCATCATACTACAAATATCTTTATTTAGATCGCCATCCCAGTTAATCTGATACAATTCCCGCAATCAACCGACGACAGAATACCCCGATTCTTAATATAGAACGGCTGGTAAATCGCCCTTCTTAATTAGGGCACATAACACTAACGAGGCTCGGACGTGGGCGATTATTGCACGTACGAACCGCTCAAATGACCAGTGAGTGACCATTTGTTCGTATTTTGACTTTAGACAATGCATTGCTAAGATCGGTTCCTAGAGATATCTAACGAAATTCAGATGGCTACAAAATATAAGGCAACTGTATTCCTTTCAAATTTCAAACTCACGAAGATTTTATTCTTCTGAGAAGAGTCCAATGAATTTTCAAGGGCTAAGAAGGTTTATGAAGGAACTAGGTTTGATTCAAAAGACTAAAGAAGAAAATATCTTTAATAGTATGCCGATTTTAGCAGTGACTGAAGTCATCATTCGCAAAAACGAGCACATCCAATATCCAATCCAAACCAAGCGTGGTATCAATTAAGTAACACAATCCTCGTTATTAAGAGGTTTCTCATAACATCCAAAACAAAGGAAGCCGAAACGTTTCCGTGTTTTTTCAACACAATCAACGAAGCTATACTTTGGCTCTGTTGATGTGCCAGTCGCTATGCAACTGCCGCTTAATGATTTACAGCACGAATAATCGAAGGCTTGTCATTTCAGACCTACCCTTGACCCACTAATGACGAGCGTTGACTCACATGAAGACTAATCTTTAAACGGTACTTCATGTAATACAGTCGACAACACGTCATCCCCAAACCTCTATAGGCTTTAAGCCATAAGTATAAGACTCCAATTCGATTGGAGAGTCATTTGTGGTTGGTTGATTGTACTCGAAAGTGTGCTGTTGAATTATTAACTAGTCATTACGAGTACTTTGGCTTTAATGTAAGCGTTAAAGAAAAAAGAAAATCAACTGTTATGAAACGTCGATGTAGCTCTTACGGTCTTAAATAATAAATCAATCGGAATCACCAAATAATATGAGTCACATGCAGAGAATAGCACCGAACAAATATTGTGTCAAAAATGCCCTGACGTCATTATCATTCATCGACAGCCCTTTACAGTCCACTGCTGGACTATGAGCCTCCTCCACTATAGTGGAGGGTTTTGCCATAATCTCCACGCTTGGCAGGCGGATAGGAGATCGCAGTTTAAAAGATTGATGTTTTTCAGAGAGCGCTGCTGCCCATTCTCTGTTTGATGTGTAGTCCCTAAGTCGCCTCTTACGACACCCGCGGGAAGAGTAGGGGTTGGTGACAAATGTATTCTACTCTGCCGTCACCACACGGCTTGTCATTATCATACTGTGGCATTATTCTCCTGATATGGCATAGTATTGACTAGCTGATTGATGGTGCCTATACTATATCTCAGTTAATAGTGTGCGCCAAGTAACTCGCACGTAGTACTCATAGTTGACAGTTGACGGCCTATAACTCCAGAGACTCGGAAGCATCCTCAGTACTCACTAGCATACGCCTCTTGATCACGGTGGTGCCTCGGCGGTGGCGGGTCGCGGAAGGAGCATATCCACTCATCCTTCACGTGCATACGCCCAGTTACTCGCGCGTAGTACTCATAGTTGTCAGTTGCCGCCCTATAACTTCAGACTCGGAAGCATCCTCAGTACTCACTAGCATACGCCTCTTGATCCCGGTGGTGCCTCGGCGGCGGTGGGTCGCGGAACGAGCATATCCACTCATCCTTGACGCGCAGTATGCGACCGGTCACTCGTGCGTAGTATTCATAGTTGTCGCGCCCAAACAGATCGCCTGCGCTGAATTGCTCGATCAGTTGCCGCATTATACGGGTCGCCACCTGGTTTGGATAATACTAGTTTAATATCAAAGAAATTATGTAATACTTTGGCAACTACTTTTGCAGGAAAAAACATTACGATTGACTGGGTCAGCTCCTGAGATGAGTTTCAAGCAAGAAAAACCGCCCAATTGGCAGTTGATCACGTGGCTTAGTGGTTTCTTAAGTTCAACCGACAAGAATTGACTCAGTCAATCGTTAGAGCTATAATAAGCTAAATCGCATATAATTTAAAAAGGCTGAACTTTGACTCTATCTACTTATAAACTACCTAAGAATATGTAACTAGAAAAAACTAAGTAACTATGTTGAATTACCAGTAGTCTGTCGAAAGAACGTTACGCAAAGATAACAAAAAGTCGTATCTCACAATCAGACGGGGAAATTGAAATTAAGGCCAATTCGCATTGTCTACATGAGAATCATACTTTTGAGATATGCATTTAATTGGCACAAAGACAGGCTTTATCTGACGTAAACTTAAATTTATGTTTCAAGTTAATAATATGACATTAACTGTGTAACCAGTTCTTGTAAACTTGAAATTGTGATGGCATGCAAAACTTTTAAAAATATATTTAATACCATGCCCACGACGTTGTCGAGTTCATTTAATAATCTTTGTAACTTTGACTGATTTTACTTTTCCAAAAAATTTACAGTTGATATTTGCTTATAAATTCAGGCCCGTCTGTACTAAACTACATTAAAATACATAATTGTATGCAGGCTTTTTTCTTGTTCACGTTATACAACTCCTAGTTTTTAGTGCTACTCTACAGCAAAAAGGCAAAACCTTAACCCATCAGTGCGTGTAACACGTAACTAAAGCATTATCTATGCACAGTGTAATTTCTAAACCTTCTAATCAAATTAAGTCGGTTAACAGTGAGTCAAGTGGTAGAGGATGTGAGTAATCGTCCAAATTCATGAATCAAGCTCTTATCTTTTTAATACTGGGGTTGTAATTCATGCGAAAAACTTTTGAAAATGTTTGCTAACGGTTACAACAAAGTTACTTTATCTTTGGTGCTTGAGTTTGTCACTGTGCAGCAAATTGTGCCTTCTGTTCACTTGCAGTGATTAAGGCAAATATTAATTCAAACTACTGTGGCATCCGGCACTATGCCAACGCGAGGGGAAAGGGACAACGCCCTACAAAATTTGTATAAGTTTATAGAACGCTGTCCCTGTTTTACGTTTATTTAATGCCAATTCCCTTCACTGGATCAGAAGACTAAATTTTTTGCTTAAGTATCTCCTATTGGGCTATGCAAATAAATATGCTGGCATAAATAAACTATTACTAGCGACTACATAGTAATAAATATTTCGAGAGTGCTTTAAAATATTACACTTGCATCAGAAATACCTGCAAACGTGACTCAGATATTCGTGAACAATATTTTCTTAGCATATTTATCTTACGCTATCTCGGAAGGTTGGCGTGTGTAATACAAACACTTTTCTATTGTGAACAGGAAAGGAGATATAGCGGTCTAAATAAAGCGTACTATGTCAGGGAGGCTCTAATAGCTGGGTTATAAAGGTATAGTATAGTCGTTGTATAAGTTAGTTGTACTCACGCAAACTTCAGCCTGTGGTCGCATGTTTAGACAATTGCATGTAGTTTAAGCTATATACATTATGCATTTACAAATATTCCTCAAATGTTTCGTTCGGATTACTAATGTTTGGCCAAAAAACGTTTCCCAAATTATCACATCGCAAACAACGTTTCGCAAATTTTCATTTGGCAAATTCTCATTTGGCAAAGCAACTTATTGCAAACTTTTAATTCGCAAATGTTGTTTTTGGCATATTATTGTTTAGCAAATTATTGTTTGGCAAAGTATGGTTTGCCAAATGTTTCATTAGGCAAAAATATTTCACGATAAACTATTTACAAAATAATTTGATTGGTGCATAGAATGGTATACAAATTAGCTTGTGGTTATTATTTTGTTTAGTGGGGAGTTAATATAAAATTTGTTCTACATTAATTTCCTTATTTCATTCTTTGTATCGAAATTTCCAAATGATTCATTAACAATAGAGGTGATTCTAGCGCTCGGCGGCCGCTGCCGCGGCACGCTTCGCTCGCCTTCGCGCATTAAGGGTCACTGTTCTAACCTAACCTAACCTACTATTTTCTGCAATACCTACTTTTTGCAACCATACTATTTTCTGCAATGTTTTACATAAAATTCTTGTGAAAACCATGATCATGTGCCTTATGCTTTGATTTGTGGGTAACGGTGGGTAAGTATGTGAAATGTCAATTTGACCAAACAAATTATTTGGGATATAATATTTGGCAACATAAAACATTTGCTATATAAACATTTGCCAAGTAAAATTTGGCCAAATGATAATTTGACCAAATGAATTAGTTGCGAAAAGTACAGTTGCTAAAAGTTCATTTGGGAAATGAAACTTTGGCGATAAGTTGTTTGCGAAGTGAAATTTGGCGAAAAGTAATTTGGCCAAACGGAAGGATACCGTTTCGTTCATTAACAGTAATTACCAGATTTGGACATGAGAGACAAAAAAAACAAATATAAAATCATCTTGATGATTGATTTAATAGATCATCTTGACTATTCGATTGGAAATTTATTTTACTTTCTAAATTTATTTAGAAACCAATATTCAATTACTTATTTACGCAGCGATAATTTGAGATACATTTTTATTTTAACATCATTACAAGATCTTGGCTTATGAATACAGTTGAAGTTGAACAGAAGCTGTAAGCCATAAGTAAATCATTTATCGACATAATATTGATGGATTCACCTAAGATCAAATGCGATATCGATATGCCATTATAACTATACTATTTCAATTCGATTGCAACCGTTCAATCTGATAAGAGAAGCAATAAGCACTTCAGTGATAACGAAACTGCTTATTGTATGTCTTAGATAATGTGATTAATAATATCTGCGGTATCATAATCTATTGTTCTGAAAGTAATACATTTCTTTATTAATAACTATATGACACTTTTTATCGGTCATAATATTTTAATCAGAAAGTGGTGCGATCGATATAGTCGTCTACTCTTAATAGCTGCAATAGAAGTTTATGCACAATTCTAGAACCTTTTAGTCAATATCCAATTTAAGTATGATGTTATACATATTGTTTCAGTATTACATCCGAGATAATATAAATAACAAAACAATTGTCAAAGTTTTAGGAGGATATTCGAAGTAGGACAATATAGGTAAAAACAAATAATATTTTTAACTCTTTACACAAAATACACAAATTATGTGCGCATAAGCGACATGTCCAGATCAGGTAATTACAATGAAATTCAATATATTAATCCTTGTTATCAGTGCAACAGACATCTATACAGTATTACATTACTCTATGTGCACAATACGTTATCTTAACTATACTATTTCATAAAAACAGAACTTATTTTTCAATTGAAAGTTATGTTAAAATAGAGTACCTATTTACTATCATAATCTATGTGTGACACAGAAACAGTCACATTGTGTTACATATGAACCGCACGGATCATTAACTCCCGTGATCGGTGTACAGCCATTGTTACGCTTGGTGCACACTGACGGGCTACTTGTTTCGCAACTTGTCGGGACACATGTCGTGGTACACGTCGAGTATACAAGCCACAGTCAATATTAGCTCAAGCAATATACCAATCTAAGGGAAAGAGTCTAAAGGGATATTCAGCATACTACCTGAGCTACGGAATAAATTGGAAATTGTTGTTAAAAAGTTTCACTAAAAGTCGGTTCAATTTATAAATATGATGGTTAATTTTAATGTATTTCTTGATCGTATTCATTTAATCACTCCATACTGTAACAATAGTGCCCAAGCCAACCTAACTTCTATGTATGCCAGTTTTACTGCATGAGCTAATATTGTGCTGCGACCGGGTCTGTACTTTTTTAAATTTCATTTGATAGAGTTTGAACCTTATCACAAACAAGTCAAATTACAAAATCCGTTCTCTGCTTAATGTCAATTTTAATTTAATGATAGTATACTGGATATGGCATGACAACAATTTACGCCGATTGCAATTATACCCGGGCAATTTCCACGTGTGTACTATGCACAAAGTACCGACCTTGAATCTCTGGACGTCCTCCATTGTGGCTGTTTTGCCGTCCGACACGCAAGAGTGGAAGAACGACGGCGCTACCGATACGCCCAGGGCTTCGGATGTCATACCTGTACCTATTAACATATAAATATGTAAATAAATGTGCTTGCTTTAAAATACAACAATGACCCCCAGTTGCACCACCTTGGTTTAACCGCAACTATAAGCTCAACCGGTGTTTTTTGTATGGAGTTTGACAGACTCTGACGTTTGTTATAGTTAAAGTATGATAGTGCTGTGTAATCCAACCTTAAAGTTACACGCGAGTTGATATGATATCCCCAGTTTAAAGGAACGTTTAGTAAGGAAATTTCATTTAGAACTACTGTTCAACAAGCCTATAATTTTTTATCAGTAAAGGGGTTAATAAATACAAAAACATTGTAGTAACAATTCTATCTTCTATGAATTATAAGATTTCACAAATTGTAATCACATTTGTGCTGCAAACAAGTGTTTATTAAAATGGTCATGCCTTTGCTATAGACATGACCTGTATTTATTCAATGACATTAATTTGTATAATTAACTTGATACTTTTAAAATGGACAGGCGCACCCAGTTTCGACGTGTCATGAAAGTAATTCTACATATACTATCAATTTAAAAATATACGTGTTATTATCCATTTTATCTGTATTTTGGTATAAAGCCGGATCCAGACGGGTGTAATGTAAGATTACGTGTAATATAACACGAATTCTACGAGCAGTACAAGATACATTCCATTACGCGTTACATCCGTCTGGACCCGACTTTATAGGTTCAAACATCATTCTTACACTCTATGATGCGATCATGCACATGCAGTCTTGAAGGACCTAGGTACTTTCGTTATTTGCGAGGTCCTACCTATTAAACAGATTCTAGTTAAGGTTTACGCCCTAAACACAGCGAAACTCAATATAGAATCAAACAATACGGCGTTATTGGAGAATTTATCTAGCTTTTTAAAACTACGATTGCGTCAACTTTAAATTAGATTCGCGTGTGCATCGGGGGAACAAAGCTATAAATACAAAATATAAAGTTGAAGCAGTCACGAATGATTATATTTATTTCGTTTTCTAGGATTCAGTTCTTTATTATTGGTTTGGCACTAGACAATATTGATGTGCTGTTTAATTGCGTGCGTGTATTAATATTTAGAGCTTACTCAGAATTTAAAAATAAAAACAACAATTAAATAAACAAGGAAAGAAACTATAAGTTTTATTTAACGCACGCATGTACATAAATTCAACAATTTTTATTATTACTCAGTCCATAAACATAACAATCAATCATTAATGTTCAAAGAAAACGAACTTTCCCAAACGTGTTTTCATCGATTTTTCATGTCTATAAAATAATTTGACAGCCGACAATACAGATAATGACTGGCATCAGTTGATTGGAAGGCGAGTACAAAAAACTAATTACATTACAAAACCAAACAAACATTATCTGCATGGGTGCACAAGAACATTGACTGTTTAAACGATTAATTAGACGGATCATGATTTAGAAATCCACATGTTTCGAGCAAACGCTTCTCTGAAACTCCCGATTGGAATCGATAAAATGTGAGAATCGAAATACAAATCGATATTGACGTGTTGGTAAAAACTAATTATGAATAAACGTTACTGGCCAGTGCCACGCGATGTTGTATCAAATTAAGTAAAAAACTTATGTAGATACAGCGCGTTTTAACGATAGTTCATAAGTAATTTTAGTTAATTAGCGGCTTGAATCACAAGTGACGTTAATTCGAGTTCGGCATTAACTAGGTATGCGGCAATGACGTACTGTCGCAGACGGTCGCTAATATAGCGAAGTACGTGAACCATATATGAAAGTAACCATTGTAAGCGTATTTGTCCCCGGTCGCGCATTGTTGGGCAGACTATGGAAATGCAGCAACAATATGAATGATGCCGTTGACGTCCGAGCCCTTAAATGGTCAACTAAAGTTGAAAGGAGCTGTTAGGTGTTATATTGGAGAAGTGGGACGCCAATGATATTTGTGAGTCAAATATTCACACACATTGCAATGAACAACACGAACGAATGAAATTAGTTTTTGACGATTTTGAAATGTGACAACGAAAGGAAATTTCATTTTTCTTCCTCTTGTTTAGTCTAGGTTTATGGGAATCAAACCCCACTACCTCTGAATTGCAGGTGTCTATTTAGACTGAGAAAACAGAGGCATATTCAGTTGTCTAATTTTAAAATTTTGGGTTACACTGCATAATAGTGTAACCCATTTCGTTTTGACTGCTCAGCTCATTGCATATCACAGTTGATTGATAGAGTCAAGTACCCTTCATTCAAAGTTCTGTCGGTCCATTTACAAATTGTGCTACCAATCAAAACGTACTCGACTAATAATCCCTTTCCTGAAATCATGTCTAGACGCATCGTCCAATGCACTAACTAGGCCAGCGCGCGCGCAGAAGAAAGATTATTTAATCTGAATGTAAAGTGGTTGCATCACGCACGCGCCCACATACACGCTTGTAATTGCCGCAATTACACTAATTACTTTCAGTTGGATAATGGCAAACGCACGCACTGCCCGATTGGCTTATTAAAATTTATTTATCCGCATTTTAAATATCACAGCTGTCATTATTAGTTGACATTTACTTAAAGATAAAGATAAAGATACATTTATTTGTTCAAACATGTGTACATAAGGTGTTAAGTCAGCATTCAAAATGGCATCAACATGTCGTACCTTTGCGGTGTACAAATTAAATTTGTAATACGCGTTGCGACAATCACTGTGGAATAATTGAGTAAAAAAGAAATTAAACGTTCCCACGTTTTGTGCGGTACACCGGCACGTCAAGTGAAACTGCAAAAGACGCTCTTGTATAGATTTAAATAAGAGCTATATCAAATCAAAGTATTTACTGGAATGTAGGGCCTTTTTAGGGCACTTAACTAGTCTCAAGTATAGCTCTATATGTGGCAGTGTATACGTAAATTTTACGTGTGCCTCAAGTCTTTTACAATACGTAAACAATGTAGGAAAAACAGCGAGTCACAAAATCAACCAGCGAAACGTTATTAAATAACATGACGTTGTTTGTAACAATTATAACGTCGCGAAAGTTTTTCACCGTCTCGTAATAATCACTTTTACCTTTAAAATTGTAAACAATGCCTCGTTAATACTGAGTAGAGCTGCATTCGCGTAGATACAGGAAAGACTAGGTGTTCGTTTGTGCATGTGACCCCATTCGATTCAATTGACAGCGTGTAGGTGAGAGGTGAGGGTTTAATAGGCCAGTGACACCCAAAGTGTAAAAAAAAACTTTTCTTTTCTGCCTTCTGCCTCTTCGTCTTCAAAAAAAACTCAACGGGGAATGGTTTTGTTAATTGAGGGTTCATTGAAGGTAAATGGGAGTCTATAGTGACACTGACTTTTCCTATCCACTTCATAAATAAGTGAATTCTTGAAAATTATGAATAAAAAGTTATAGCACACAAGCTTCTTTCAAGAATCAGCGGCTAATAACAACTGAAAAGAGATGGTCCATAAATCAAAAAGTTTGGGCACCTCAGATCTGAACGTATTGATGTCACGCTGCAGTAACAATTTATTCGCTTGCTCTACACGAATGCACTTTCATAATAGCTGAAAACAAAGCCCAGAAACTTCTTGTTACGCCATCGGTGAAAGTGCTATTAAGCAGTGTATTTCTGAATTACTAATTTTGTCCTTATTATGTAAGAGCATTTTCAGTAAACCGTATTAGAAATTATGATTAGTTTAAAGACCTTATGGCACCCATCGACCCGGCAATATCAGTCACTATTATCGGGTCGATAGGCATCACGAACTATTTGACGCTGACTACAGCAGGCTTGAATGAGCACCATGAATACCATGATTCACAAGGCACAGCAATCGGTCATCAGCCATGTCACTATGACATGGCTTATTCGGACGGCTCATAAATTCTTACATCACGGTTGTGGCCTCGGATTACCAGTACAAAAGGAAACAAAGTTCAGTGATTGTAACTAACTAACCTGCTTTGTCAGCATTGGACGCCATCACCCTGAATGTGCCGAAGAGTAGCACCAGCAGCCTCTGCGTGCATACCGGCAGCGAGAGAAGTAACCTGTTGCAGAAACAAATAACATCAACTCAAAGTGTACTGCTTCCATAAACATTAATTAATATCAGGAATAGATTTAAGATTTATGTCGCTACTAGATCACTGTATTTGCAGCTCTAAAAAGTAAAAGATACGTCCCTATCCCTCGTATTCCATAATACATAGCAACCCTAGCAATATACCTAAACGGGTGCATCTTTATTTATCGAGGTTATGCAAGCTCGTCGCCTGACATTAGCTTTCAGACTTGCGTGACAGCAAACTGTAACCGGTAGTTACAGGTAATCGAATACAAAAAGTTTTGAGACTAAGCATTAGAAAATCGAAAGAATTGCCGTCTTGTTTGTTTTCTTTGTCATTAATTTCCTTCGCTACTGCAGCACATTTCCAAAACTTTAAATTAACCCATGTTACCATGCTCATAATTTTTTTCTTATTGGAGTGCAATTGCAAGAACAACAAAATAGATCCGAATAGAGTACGATTATTAGGCAATAGTGATTGTCAGTCTGATATTCTACAATCTATGCCAATTTCATAATTTATTCAAAATCAATCAAACAACAATGTGTAATATGAATGAATAACAAACGCAATATTCTAACAAACAAAACAAATTCCAATACAAACACGCAGTAACTTCCCAGGAATTATATCAATGACCCACATTCTATCGGGAAAAACAGGAAAATGCCTGAACGTTAATTGTTTGAAACCGCAAGACGATTGTTTCCCGTTTTATTGAACACAAGCATTTTAATGCGACCGCGACACGTAGATTGTGTCACAAAAATACTAAAGCGCATCCATCGAGAACTGTGAATAGTCTCGGGGAAAAAATAGCCTATGACATTTGGCAGCTAAAAGACTGAATGATCATGACTTCCCCAGATTGCTTGGAACATAAGAAACCTTTTTTTAACATTTGCGAGTAGTTTCCGAACACATACACAAAGAAAAAATGCTAAAGCGACAGGTACTGTACAGGGTTACTTTATATCTCTTACCCCGAGGGGTTAACGGGACTATTTATTACAATAAAAAAATGGCTCACTGTGTAGAATAGGACCCTATTTTATACACCTCTTTCTAACATTACTAATACTAAGAACAACCGCAAAGCGTCGGCTCTTTTGTTTCTAATTAAACGTAATCTTATCGGCTGTCGGCTTCACAGGGTAACCTAATTTCAGCCATGACAATTTAAATGTTAATGGTAACGTACTTAATAGTTAACGGCATTATTGCCGCCTATCGCATCTTGAGAAACCAAGCTATTTTGGGTCAGACTTTTTGATAGTTATAGTATTTATAATCGACCTCAATAAAAGTTCCAAACAACATTACATCGAAATGGTTACAAATTAACTAACTTTTCCCAAATACAAACAGAACTGAAAGGCTGTCACCAATTCATCAAAAGATCTCACCCTATGCTTTTAGTATTTACGCGAGCAAGTTGTAAGACTGCAATGATATGACTAATAATCTTCAGTACATAATAACTATGTAATATTATTGTTAAAGAGTGCAACAAAAACAAGCTGATTAATAAAATGTAATAGAAAACCTACTGTATCTGTGGTAGATGTCGCTCTTGTCTATGACATCTCTCTCGAACCCTCCATCATTGTGCTAGGTTGTACTAAATTACTTTCCAAGATAAAATACAGAATGTCAAGTTAATTACGCATCTTTTCTTCAATTACCCAATAACCCTAACAGGTTATGGGCCCAGACACAACCAGTACATATAGTTAGAGTTGAAAGAAGAATTACACAGTTGATTTGCAAAAATTGCAAACTTGCATCACAACAAAATGGAGGCGAAANTTTATTCAATTACCCAATAACCCTAACAATTATAGCAAAACCAAACATTCAAAACCTAATTTCCCAATCAACGCTTTTAGGTCTCACGCCGGATGGCTGTATGTAGACATGGGAACGATGATCGAGATGGATATCAATCGAATGGACTATCGCTGTTAAGGCGATTAGTGTCCTCAATCCGCGCCAAATGGGCATTTTGTAAAGCCTACTCCTCTTTTACTGCTGGACAGAAATAGTTGAAAAAAATATATGTTATATAACAGTTCAAGGACTACATTTGTGACGTTTGAATTTTCGCTACGTCTCTTTGTTTTGGATTAAAAAAATAAATACGGGACATCGATTTTTTACTTAAATTCCCTACTCCTCCAAAACGGCTATGTTAATTTAAAAGATTTTTGCACGAATAGATTGGGAATTCTTTAATCTTTAAATGACACGTTGCGTTTTTCAATCGAACATTACTTTCATTCATAAATTTTACTTTTGATAAATTCCGAACGTTTTGCTGTTGAGGGGGCCTTCGCGGGGTGCGGGCGGCAGTCGGCCGCTGGCCTTCAGACGGGGAGGTTGTGTCACTCGCTGCAAACTGACATTAGCGATCAAAATGAAAACTAATTCAGCTTGCAAGATTCCACCCGAACAAACATTTATGTAATTACCTACATACATCATAAATTGCAAGCTAAATAAAAGCTTGTAATAAAGTCGGGTTTGTTCAAATTTCGAGAACGACTGAACCGACAAAAGCATTAGAAAATTTACGAAAAATAAAATAAAATTTTATCCCGTACAAAATGTTCATGGATTTTGTTATTTTTATTAAATACCTTTACGCCTGAGTTAAATGACACCGACATCAAGGTTCATCAATTTAAGTTTAAAATAATAGGCAGTAATGTATGAAGAAAGAGCTTCTATTCTGTATCTACCTATGCCCGTGTATTTTTGATCGGTGTCAAATCGGAGTTTTTGGTGCGGGGTACGCGGGTGTTGCTCGCGGCGTGAAGGTCAAACGCTCAAGGTCATTGAGGACTCTAATCGCCTTAATGTGCGCTGACGGACGGTTAACGTACGAAACGAGCGCATTCAGCTCAATGGCCGACAGACGCTACTTCCCACACCAATGTATGTGTAACTTGTTATAAGCATTGCTGAACTTCGATCCTTTTGGACGAATCCTATCACTTTACTTTTCAGTTTCTTCAGTTCTGGTAGTAGTTTATTTTGGAAAGCGAATTGACTACGAACGAAAAAGTGCACGAATGTCACGAGTATTTGTCTATAGGGCCTAAACAAAATTCGTACAGTTTAAATTCTCTAGGGGTCAGGCGAAAGTTAAAAGTAACTGTAGGTTATCGAGCCTTATTAGTCTACATAGAAAAGTAGGACTTTAATTCCTTCTATCTAAATGTATTTTAATTTAATTAAGAAAGATATTAGTGCTGAATTAATAACACTATAACAACACTTACAGCTTTTTCAGCAGAGCTTAGCTACGCAAACTAGCTTTCTTTAAACTAAAATAAGCATGACTGTAGGATTGCTGTATTTCATATTTTCTTCCATTATTCACTTGCAACAATGCAATGATGTATTCGCCAGTTTTACTGGCTCTTAACCCGTATTAGTTTCCTACTACAAAAGATATTGTTGGAACAAAGTCGTAATCATAAATATCGAAAATATGAGTGTGCGTTGCGTTGGCGCATCGCCTTCCCGCATCAAAATTCAGGCCCATACTTTAAACAGCTATTGTTTAGTGTGTACCCATATTGTGAAAGTCCGATGCGATCTCGCATTACTATAAACAATGGATAGTTATCAGGCGCATGGGATGAGTACGTGCACTTAGTGATTACCAGCCGAATGCTTAAAGGCCTCTCAAGCAATATTGTGCTAGACAACACGACATTCAGTTTCGATTTCGAATCGTTATCGCTTCTCTAACTCCCCGCGTCTTTTCAAATCAAAAATTTACACAAATCCCCTATACAATTAGCGTAAATTATTGCTTGTAGTGTGTATTTTCCGTCAATTTGTCAAATAATAAACAAAGTCTATTCATTCAGTAACCACAAAAAAGACAATATTTACGTTAGTTCGCTAATTTCTGTTGACTCAGTTGCGGTCTTTGTAACACTACAAACGCGGTACCACAGATAATATCCGTACCGNGGCGGTACTTACACATGTAAATTAATTCTTTAAGCGCACGCGCCGCCAGCTCACCGTTTTGTAAGGCGCATGCTAAGTAACAGATAATCAGGCGATTGTTAACGCTTGTCATATCAATAATTATACGCTAATTTCTGTGAATAAAGTATGAGTAATTGTCTAAAGTTAGCTAAATGTTCGAAAAATTGGGCAGGTAGGTAAATTAGTCTTTGATCAATATCTTACAAAACTTTTATGGCGTAAATGAAATCTTTTTTCTTTGTTTTATTATTTGTTTGAGTTTTAAATACATAAAACGGGTTAGCCAAATAAATTATGAAGAAACTCAACAAAGATTTACAGATAGACCTTTGATAGCATATGGTAAACAACTCTGCTTATAATCTCTATGAATTCTCTTGTCTTTTGTCGATCGTATTTTTAAGAGCAGCAATACTAAATTGAGTAATAAAGTGTGCCTTAAAATAAACAGTTTCTAAAATAAACAACTCCACGGTTTAATGGCGCAATCGGTCTTGTTGCCGATTCGATTCGCGGCGATGAGACGAGGGTCAATGTCACTGACACTGAATAAAACCGATTAGTTACGGACTTGCAGCATTGAATTCATTTTATTCCGAATATAACAAAATTGTAATAAAATCTGAACACATTTCATTAGTTATTTTGGTTGTTTTCATGTTTCACTGTGTATTTTTACTTTAGGGTTCAGGGAATCTGTTACTTGAACAAAAATAATTTTATTTTACATTTGACAACGTCTGCGGTCAAGTGGTGTAGGTAGGTACACAATAGGTAGGTACATGGTCGATTTTCATTATGGACTTTTAACTTCAGATCGAAAGAACCGCATGCGGCATGCGGTGGTTGCCGAAATGCCGACCCCTGCCGGCAAACGATGCGCGCCACAATATAATCTTATCGTTAATTTTAGACGATAAATGTGTGGGCTTATTGTCTAAAAACGATAAAATGCCTCGATAAGTCGATATAACATCGCGCATCCCAGACTATCTGGTTTAAGATGTATGAAGAAGATAATTTTTAAGAGTTAAGACACTCACCTGCGAATTTCATCTACTTGTCGCTCCTCAGGCAGCTCCACAGCCGAGAAAAGGTGCATTTCACCATCACGCCCAAACACCCCACCAGGTATTTTCCTAAAATAAAAGTATTTAATAGTTTATATTCCTTTACTCCTTTACCCCTTTCCTAAATTATGTCAAAACAAGTTTTCTGTTTGTGGAGACCTTAGCCAAATAAAATGACTCTTTTCAAAATAGCATATTTATTTCAATTTTGGTTTTTTGATTTTTTTAGTTAGCTATAGTGGTCAACCTATGCAGAACAGACTGATATAATCATATCAAAATGTATTTCAATTTTCAGTACTAAATTTCATAAATAATAAGTTAGTAGTGTTTATTAATATTTTTATCATAAAACAGAACAAAAAGTTTTAAAATATTCATCATCATCATCATCATCTCAGCCACAGGACGTCCACTGCTGAAAATAGGCCAATATGCTAAAATATTGGTATTGCCTTAAAAAGGGATTAACAGAGCTGTAGTTGTTCATTGTCTTTGTATTTGGGGTTTGATATGAAATATGTTATCAATGATAACAAAATATGGTAAGATATTTACTATACAAAATTCCAAATAAATCACTTTCAAATAAGATTCAGCAGAAACATCATAGTAACAACAAATTAAGGTGCAGGTAAGTAACAGAATACTACTACTAATAGCAAATAAATGTGTAAGTTTGGCAATAAGAAAGAAGACTGAAAAGATAAAAATGTCTAGAGTTCAATAACCTGAACACTTGCAGACACCCTATTAAAATAGGTTTCAGCTCAGCCTTTTTAGATTTTTGGCCTTTTAGTAAATACAGGCATTTGTGTAGCAACTGAATTATTGCCAAAATATAAAATTTAAAAAACACCAGTCTAATATATATCCAGACAATTATTTGTTTAAATAAAACTAACACCTTCTTTTATCAGTATTTGAAAACAGATACACACCTCAAAAACTTCTTGAGCACACTAGCGATAGTATAGACTGAATAGTTATCAACGTTCACCAGTCTTCCAGTCTGCAGGAAATGTATGAGCTTCTTCATAGCCCCCTGGTGACCCGGCGCCCTGAACACATCGCGGCGTAGAGGTGCTTCTTTATTCAACTTTAAAATCAGCACCTGCACAATGAGCATATATTCAAAACTGTTCGTCACGCAACCGTATACACTGTTATCTCAAAATCACTAATACTAACAAGCAAAGGCCCAGGGATATCATCCTTGCAAACTTCATGCAAAGGCACACCAAACTTCACTTTTTCCAGTCTCCGCGGATACGGCAAGGAATTCGGATGCCCGCAAGACGTAACCACATTGCTCAATGTAGCAGCTCGCCTGTGCATCCTTCTTGCCCAGTTACTCATTTTTCCAGGGTGGTTTAAGCTCAAATGACATTAAACAAGCATAACCTAATTATTATATTTCTGAGGCAATGTACATAAAACCATTTTGTTGTACGTTCGTTTCGTTAGATTACAACTAATTCACTGTATTACAGCGATCCATTGGTGCACATTACTTTTACAATAATTATTTTACAAGAAAGTAATTTCTTGTTTCGCTGTCGCGGCGACCGACCACAGACCAGACGAAACCACAGACTAATAAAAAAAAAACTCAAAACCCATTTTTTTTTGTTTGTTTGACACAAACAAAACAACTGAAGTCTAGTGATGTTAATTGTTCACAAGAACATTTCAATCGGTTTTCAAAATCATTAAAAATATTATTATTCTATGACCTACGTATTATTTGATAAATATTATTTTAACCTGCGTATCTACTTCAGTTTATAAAGTTCCATTCTTAATAAGCTTCTTGTTGTCAGTCAAGTTCTCATTAAAGACTTACACCATCAATTTAAATTACAATACAATACTAATTATGACGACAAAGCAACAAAATATAATCGGAGTAATAAAAAATGTGCATAAACTTGAGAATATTGTTCAATATCTGTAGAACAATTAAAATTCAATTGAATGATTCATGTGAACGTCACTATTGTAAAGGAACGAACGAATGTAAAAAGCGGAAGTGCTGTACGATTGGATATCCACATGTCATTTTTGTGGCTGGCTCATTCATTCAGTCAACCAATCAATTTTCATTTTTTCATTTCTCTTGGAAAGTTATCGGGATTGTTTGTTTATTTTGTTGAATGTTATCATTCAATAATCAAAGAACTAATTATCACTTAGCTTCAAAGAAAAGTTATTTAGTGTGACTGAGAATAATATCTGTCTCTAATCATGAGTAATTTCGAAGACGAGTGGCAAGAAAATGAACCGGTGGCTACAATGCCGGCACCTCAAGCACACGCCACTTACCATTCCCGTGAATACCGACCAAGTCGAGGAAGAGGCAGCTTTGGAGGAGCCCGGGGTCGCGGCAACGACAACAATTGGCGTGACCGCGGAAATAACAGCAATAGCAATGGCGGAGGCCCCAGTAACCGGCGCAACTTTCAGCAAAATGAAGGTAACAAAAAAAATATAATGGTACCCTCTAACAAGGTAGGCCGCATCATCGGCAAAGGAGGATCTAAAATACGCGAACTTGAGACAGAAACCGATGCTAAAATTAAAATTGGTGATTCAAATGGCAATGAGACAGATGTGACTCTGTTTGGAACACCTGATGCTATTTCCAAGGTCGAAGGTTTAATAAATGGCCTCACTGAAGACTACAATAGGCCTCCTCCTCAAGACAGACACAATGATAGTGCTAACAGTGGAGGCTCTGGTGATTTTTTAAAGCAAAATGAATCAGGTGTACAAGTTATAGACTGGGACAAACTTAATGCCTTTTATGATGAACAACAACAAAGTAGGTGGGACAACCTGCCTCCCATTATTAAAGACTTCTACAAAGAAGATCCAGAAGTGGCTGCCATGCCTCCTGCTGAAGTCGCTCGTTGGAGACGTGCCAACAATGATATACAAGTTAAAAGGACCTTCGATGATAAACCTGGACTTCGACCCGTTCCAAATCCGATCATAACCTTTGAGCAGGCATTCCAGCACTATCCTGAAATCCTAGATGAAATTTATAAGCAAGACTTCAAACAACCTTCACCTATTCAGAGTCAGGCTTGGCCCATCCTTTTAAGAGGTGAAGACTTGATTGGTATTGCACAAACAGGTACAGGCAAAACATTGGCTTTTCTACTCCCAGCTTTGATACACATTGATGGACAAACCATACCCAGAGACCAGCGTGAAGGACCAACAGTATTAATTATGGCACCGACTAGAGAACTTGCCCTGCAAATTGATAAAGAAGTGTCCAAATACCAATATCGTGGCATTAAATCAGTCTGCCTTTATGGAGGTGGAGATAGAAAAGAGCAAATCAAAGTGGTATCGAAAGGAGTGGATATTGTCATCGCTACTCCAGGAAGACTGAATGATCTGGTTATGGCCAGGCACTTGAATATAATAAACTTCTCATACATTGTGCTAGATGAGGCTGACAGGATGCTGGACATGGGATTTGAGCCACAAATCAGGAAGTCATTATTTGATGTTCGTCCGGATAGACAAACTGTCATGACTTCAGCTACCTGGCCTGCAGGTGTCCGACGTCTTGCTGAATCTTACATGAAAGATCCCATTCAAGTCAATGTTGGTTCTTTGGACCTTGCAGCGGTACATACAGTCACTCAGCAGCTAATGTTTGTTGATGAAGATGATAAAGAAAAAGTTCTTTTGGAATTCCTTATTAACATGGAACCTACTGACAAAGTCATCATATTTTGTGGTAAAAAAGCCACAGCAACACACATCACTACTGAGTTATGTCTCAAAGGAATTGAATGTCAGAGTTTACATGGTGACAGGGATCAAAGCGATCGTGAAGCTGCATTAGGAGACATGGTTGATGGCACAGTTAACATTTTAGTTGCAACGGATGTAGCATCCCGAGGAATAGATATCAAAGATCTTACCCATGTTATAAATCTGGACTTTCCACGCCACATCGAGGAGTACGTGCACAGAGTTGGAAGAACTGGCCGTGCAGGAAAAACTGGTATAGCTTTGTCTTTCATTACAAGAAATGATTGGGCTCATGCCCGAGAACTCATTAAGATACTGGAGGAGGCAAACCAAGAGATACCAGATGAATTGGAGACAATGGCTCAGAGGTTTGAAGCCATGAAGTTGAGAAGGGAGAAAGAAGGAGGGGGCGGCGGACGGGGAGGCCGTGGAGGCCGCGGCGGCGGTCGCAGGGACCGCTGGTAATTTAAAAATTAATATATTTCAACTTTAGAATCACACTAGAGATTTCCTATTTCATATGCGTCTGGTATGCATGTTTCAAATAGTATTAATGTTTATTATGCATAATTATGTGACTTGATTAGTAGTCACCTTGATTCATACATACCTTTTTATGCTGTGATATAATTTGACTTTCAATAGGACTGTTAAACATAAGATTTAAAAGTTGCTTCATTAGTTGACTAGTGTTTTGTTAATGTTAATAATTGGGATTGTATATGTCACCGGAAAATAACAAGACTCGTAAGTTGATCAATTTTCTAGGAAGTTGATCAACTCTCGGAAAATAACAAACGGCTGATGAAATGTACTATTTAACGCATCGAATTCTAGCTAATTGGTCAACTTACGGTACCTAGCCGTAATTTAATAATTAACTATATTGCTACAAGTAAAATCATCCACAAATGGGCCAATCGTTGCCCAGTGTACTATTTGACGGTACACTATTATCCGTCACTTAATACACTTTTCTCTGATTGGTCGACAGACACTTAGATTATGTTGTTTTAATATTTACATTTTAGAGATAGGGATATTAAAGTTCGTCTATGCTATATAGTTAAATAAATGAAAAATGTTTAAAAAAAAATATTGGAGCTCAAAGTTTTATTATTGTAAGTTATATTAATAATAAGTAAGTTTGTTTATTTCTACCACTACAGACTCCATTTCACTCATCATAAATAAAATGACGCGTTACCTATAATGAGAATTATTACCACACAAAACAACAATAATTATTATTGCTAATTTTACTACTGTAAATAAAGAAAATAGATAGATTTGTTTACGTTTAAACCGGTAATAGCGGCGGCCGGGTGGCGGGGAGCGGTATAAAAGCACGAGAGTCTTTTAACCAATCAACGTGCACCTTGCCTTTGTCGGATGATTTAACGGCAAGACGCCGTAAATTAATCAACTTACTAAAATACATACGTTAAATAGTACATTTCAAATGCCGTTTATTATTTTCCGAGAGTTGATCAACTACCTAGAAAATTGATCAACTTACGAGTCTTGTTATTTTCCGGTGACATATACAAAGGTAGCCCATAAAGAAAGTGTTTATTTTTTATAGCAAAGCATAAGTATTTGTTATACTCCAAAAGTTTTTGTAACACTTAAATAAAAATACCTTTACGTAATATGCATGTATTTTGTTTTTTTTTAACCATACAACAGGTAAAGCGTAACCAGAAACAATTTCAAAATTAATTTCAACAATTCTATCTAGGTAGTTTTAAGATGATGATTTAATAAATTTTTGGATAACACTTATACTTATATTTTTGGATAACCATTATTTAAATACTTGACATTCTTATATTAAGATATAACTACTTGCAAGTGCTCAACTACTAATTTAATTTTGTGATCGAGATTTTTATTTATTTAACTAATCTGAGGTACATAAAGAGAAAATAATCATATGGTTGTGAAAAACTTAATTCTTCAGTGTCACAAGTTGTCCCTGTTTAAATTTTTTTAACTTTACATAAAAATATAACTGAAACAACAGATGGAAAATAAATAATACCAATATAATTACTAAAAGACTATACAGAGTAGACATACATTTGTGTATACATGATCAATATAAGCGTTCTTAAACGATTTCTAATCGTTTCATTTCTTTGAGAAGTTCGACACCCATTTTGGCTGGAGAACGTGTTACAATGACATTAGCTTTTTCTAAAGCCTTGATTTTGTCCATGGCGCCTCCCTTGCCGCCTGAGATGATGGCTCCGGCGTGCCCCATCCGCCGGCCGGGAGGGGCTGTCAGGCCCGCGATGAACGAAACCACGGGCTTGGCCTTCTGACCCTGAAAACATACACAATACCAGTGAAAATAGTGAACAGCGCAACTGCGGTGCTTCTCCCTAAAACAGTCTGTATCTTTTGATATCTAACTCCCATCAAGATATGCTGATAAGAGAGATAGCATCAGAAACAGACCTGCATTAGGGAGCAGCATCGCTGAAACAGATTTGTTATAATGTGCGACTCCACATGCGTATTTATCCATTTTAAGTAAGTAAATGCATGTCATGTAGAGCACCATAACAATCTGCTTGCATATTGAAGAACTGCATTCCATGGTGTGTTTCAGATAATGAGAGTAAAGAGAGTGAATCCAACTTGCTGTTTCAGATAGGGAAATAAGGTGACCGTTAAAATGGCGGGATCAAACACGGAATCCAGATAATTTTCATACATAATCTAAACTACCTAATTTCTTTCTTATATAAAAATAGCCCAACTATCCCTTTTGATAAGGAGAAAAACTAGATTGAAAAGTATCCTCATTTGTAGAAATGGCATGAGAAAAAGTAATCGCCGGTGGCAATTTTCTAAAAATGCACAAATACTTAAAAATCTTGAAAACTGTGAAATTTTTATTGGGGTCAAAATTGGACGTTAGGGAGACCATGGCGAGGCCTATCGATGGTTACAGGGTTATCCATTGTTTTTGGGACACCTGTATTTGCATGTCAGGCTATGACTAAATAGGTCTTATGTAACATTATATCAAACAAGAACTACTCTGTAACCACCTATTTAAGGCAAATAAATAAATGATAATTGATATTACAAAGTTACTGTTGCAATAATTTAAAGTTATGAAATATAATTATTGTGGTCTCGCCAGTTTGACGACCTGATTTTATTAAAAGAACAATTAGTAAATAAATATTATGTACTAATAGTTATAATAATTATACTACCGAATTTCTACTTTACTGTACATAAACTAATTAAATAGCAATAATGTTAACGATAATGATGCAGAAAAATGTATTGTTACTCAATTAGTAAACTTGTCATTTATTGAAATATTTGTGATACAGGGTGTCCCGTAATTCAACGTCAAGCCGGAACTGGGTGTTGAGGCAAGTTGTGCTGGTTATCAGAAAAATATAAAAAAAAATCTATGTGGCATATTTTCAAAATAATAGGCATTTAAAAAAAATCAAAAAAATATACTCCCGGTGACGGTATTTGTACTCCTTTTGCCACAAATCTTCACTTTTTCCAATTTGTTTTTTTTCGTCAAAATGGCGAGACCACAATTTATATTTCATAACTTTAAAATTATTGCAACAGTAACTTTGTAGTATGTATGTATATGTGTAGGTAGGAAAGAGGAAGTAAATATGTACTGAAATCAAATGTGCTTAATAGCAGCGAATGGTTTAGTTTGGTCCCGCTATTTTGATATGAAGATGGCGAGTCCAGATAATTTAGCTTAAAACATTACAAATATCAAGGTAGTAATTATTTCACCGAAGGTAGGAATCACCTTCATCACCTCAATCACATTCGCCATAAGTAGAAATTAGGTAGTTTAGATTGTATGAAAGTTATCTGGATTCCGTGTTTGATCCCGCCATTTTGACTGACATGAACTAAGCATTTTATAAGAATAAAGTGTCATTGCCAAAATGAAATGATAATAAATTGATCAGGCAAACGGTACATTCATGATAACTAGATAGGTACATAGAGATATTTTGAATCTAGAGCAGTACAACATTAATGAGTAAATAATAAAATGAGCTCAAAAATCTAGCCATAACATCAAAATGCTTTCTAAAATTATGATATTCGAAGTATTACTTGTGATTAAAATACATGTATATGAATAAATAATAAAAAATAAACCTCTTGGTAGCATCTCAACCATTTACCTTTTTGGCCTGTACCAATAAAAATAAGCTTTTATTTATAACTTCATAAAAACACATTCAGTTTGCATAAAATATTAAATTCTACCTACAGCACAATTCAAGATCTAGTTAGTCAAAATATTGCTAATATTTAAACACAGGCAGTATTTGTACTTACAGTGTTGTATTGAGTCAAGTATTCTGAAGCCAGTTCTTCAGCATTACCACCAATCTCACCAATGAGAATAATACCCTTGGTTTCTGGGTCATTGAGGAACACCTCAAGGCAATCAATGAAGTCAGTGCCGTTGAATGGATCACCACCAATACCAACACACAGAGTCTGACCCAAACCAGTCTGGAAAAAACAAAAGCATAATGTAAAAAACAGGTAATTCAGACCTATATCATAATGGTAAATAATAATCGAAGTAACGAAATAAATGGTTTACAAATGTAGTGGATACAGTTGTAAAACATACAGATAAAATAATATTTTTATGTAGGATCATCTTGTTACATCAATTTAACTCACTGCTGGAGGTTTGTTATTACAACTTTAGTCAAGTACATTCTAGTAAGCAGTTTTGAAATCTAAACTTGGCATTTTAGAAGTTTGCACACAAGTTGTAATACCTCTTGTAATACTCCTCTGTATTCCAATAAGACATGTTTTAGTTACGTTAAAATAATTAAAAAAAAAATATATTTACTATTGTAGTCTGATGGCAGGCCTCATAAGTAAGGGTACCAGAACGCGAGACAACTCCGATGCAACCACGTTTGTGCACAGCTGCAGGCATGATTCCGATTTTGCACTTTTCCGGTGCAATAATACCGGGGCAGTTGGGGCCGACCAAACGAGACTTGTTCTGCCTAAGAAGAGCATGCTTCACACGGACCATGTCCTGAAAAAGAGAACATAAAACTTTTTAGATAAAATTCCAGAATTTCTTATTTGTTTATGGTTGGAGTTGTGCAGAAAAAAACAATTTTTATCAGTGATAACAGAGCTTGGCATGGTTCAAGGTCAGGGTCAACTCAGAATTGTTATATCAGTGTTTTTGTATGTTTTATTTGTGTATAAGATGCTTCTAAATATCTAGTAAGAGAATAAAAATGTAATCATCTATCATATTTTATTCTTCATAATCGAGGCTTACCATTATCTATGTCTTGACATGAGTTAGATAAAAAGTATAGGCCACAGGGGACTTGCTAAGTATTTTTATTAGAAAATTAGATAACTATTAGACAAAGAAGAATGGTCACACCCCATACAAAAAAAAACCAGACCCGACAGAAACAAGACATACCTAAATTTTTTTGTCATGTCTTAATTAGTTAAATTATATAATTTTTATATTCGAAATCTATGTATAACACTAAAATATTGCCCTTTGTTTTTGTTCAGGCGTTATACAAAAACTAATACAAAATGCCTATTTATCACCAAAATTGGTAAATGTATGTACCTAAATGTCTATTACAGCTGATCTATTACAGCAGCACAGATGACCGTTCTTCTTTATTAAATGTAGTCTGACAGGTACTTACATGTTGCGGTACACCTTCCGTAATGCAGACAATCAAGGGCACTTCGGCCTCAATGGCTTCTATGATGGCCTTGGCTGCCCCAGGAGGAGGGACATAGATGACGGATGCCTGAGCACCAGTCGCTTCCTTCGCCTCCCTGACTGTTCCGAACACTGGTTTACCCAAGTGCTCTTGTCCAGCCTTCTTTGGGGACACACCCCCAACGACTTTGGTGCCATAGTCCAAAGCTTGCTGGCTGTGGAATGTGCCCTGCTTTCCCGTAAAACCTTGTACAATGACTTTCGTTTCGTTAGTCAGAACTAGATTTTTTCTAGTTTCCGCATAAGGGGTGCCGGACTGGAATCTAACATTATTTAATTTTAATCCATCTGAAAGGAGAATAGAAACATTTTTATTCACGAAATAACAAAAATTTTTAACAATAGAAGAATCATGGAAGAATTAGAAATATTATTTCATGCATGAATATTAATTTTCCAACTATACATAAATTAGTGATACTCGATTTGTCTGACAGTATCAAAGGTCAATAATGAGAAGAGTTGGATTTTTGTATAAATGTGCAGGTTCCAATTGGAAACTAAAGTTGGAAATCAGAAATCATTTACATAATGAACGCACGAAAGCATCAAAATAATACCATCTACAAAAAGAAACCTTATTTTTAGACGAAGGTCTCGGTTATAAAGCACATAATGAAAACGACATTGATATCGTAGTCATTGATTATTGAGTTTTTAACATGCTGTAGGTATAACTACGCTTGTTGGACGTTCTAAGCCCTAAGTTACGCATATTGGGAACTATTTTAAGTCACGATTTAGGAGTGAATTGAATTACAAGGTTATTATAGCAGAATAAATCGAAGCAAAGAAAAAATTAGCACCGAAAGACAGGTGATACGTCACCGGAGTTTTTCCTGTGAAGCAATAGTCTTAAAAATCGTTAGCGAAAGAATGACTGGAAAACATAAATGTATTTACCTCTAAAGCGAGCCAAAATTCGTACCGGGACAGCCATTGTATAACTAGAATAAATGGAAGGGAAAGATTAGAAAATTTTGTGACACTGACAGACTGCCAGCCATTACGTAATGAATGAATGACGAATTTGACAATTTGTTTTTTCTATTTCAGTTTACCACCGTTCCATTCATTCACTCAATGCTCCTTTCTACGCAATGCTAAACTACATTTTTTTCAAAATTAATATTATTCTCATGATAAACATTCAATTACGATGGTAAAATTACACGTGATAGTATTAACAAACTGAACATTTATAAAAAGTTAATAAGTTTCATGTTTAATATCACGAGTAAAAATACTGTGTTTAAACTAGTCGGTATAATGAAACATGTTGTGGCTAATTTATTTATTTAAAAATCATGGTTCATAAAAGTCCGAATCGTACTAAATGCAGTTAAAATTTACAAATAAATAGATTACATTTATTTTATATCTAAAATTTCTCAATAAAATAAAACAATTTAATTTCGAAACTTATTTTTACTGAAAATTGTTTAACTAATTATCGTAATTAAAGACTGATGAAAAATTGTTCCAGTTGCGAAAAAACATTTTCGGACTGCATTTTAATCCCTGTCTCATCTGTGATTTTAATCTTTAGACATACTCTCTACTAATCTGTGATTTTAATCCATATGAGTGACGTGTGACGGACGTGTATTTTAGTTTCGTTTTGTATTTTACGGCAAAACCAAAGCTATTTTCCGACTTCAATGTTTGTTATTTATTAATATCACCCGGCTCTATAGTGTTCTCGTGCTAGATAAGAAATCGCTTTAACAAAGATAAGTTTAGTTTACCGCTCGAAATCAATTCAGTTCTCTAAATTCTTCATAGTGTTTTGAATATGTGCGGCACAGATAAAAAGCTCGGGGAAATCCGTGCCTTGATCCTTGTTGGTGGATATGGGACTCGGTTAAGGCCGCTAACTTTGAGCCGGCCTAAGCCTCTGGTGGAGTTTGCCAACAAACCAATTCTAATGCATCAAATAGAAGCCTTAGTTGAGGCTGGAGTTACTCAGGTAATTTCAAAGTCCTCTTCTGTAATGACTCATTTTCAGCGAAAGATTACTAAATCTACCATGCTGATGCAATACTAGTGTACTTTTCTGTATCAATAATTGTTTATTAAATTGTGTTTTCATTTCAAGGTGATACTAGCAGTCTCATACAGGGCTGAAGATATGGAAAAAGAATTGATCGAGCAGGTGTCAAAGCTTGGCATATCCTTGACATTCTCACATGAAACTGAGCCTCTCGGCACTGCAGGACCTTTGGCTCTGGCCCGAGAGCTGCTCAGCACAAGCCCTGAACCGTTCTTCGTACTGAATTCAGACGTCATCTGTGATTTCCCGTTCAAAGAACTAGCGAAGTACCACAGAAGTCATGGAAAGGTGAGCTAATCATTTTAACACTATTTACAATGTAAATGCATAAAATTAATATTTGTTTTGTATTCAATTTTAATAAATACTTTAAGACTTACTAAGACTATACTTAAATATCACAATGCATAATAAAGAATGAATTATTCAGGCTAGTAAAAGAACAATTCAAATTAATGCAAATTAGATTTGCTGTGTAAATTGCGAGATAACACTGTATTGTATGTATGTATTGTGTGTGACCTTCATTGTTAGTCCACAGTTGCTTATCCTTTCTATTTTCTCCTAATGCTTAAAAACTTGATTAATATTTGCTGCAGTTTCTAAAACTTGCATGGCAATTTATATTGAGCATTTATTTAATTAAATACTTTATGCATAAAACAATAAATGTATGCACAAACAGCTGTGCAAAGAAGATTATTTTAATTTATTAAAAAAATTATATATTCATGAAGAAATATCTTGAACTGTGTTAATTCATATGGTGTTTCATCCAACTGAATTTGGGCCTTTTGTCAGTCAGTATCTAATTAAATAAACTAAACTATTATACTTAAATGTTTTAGTTTAAATACAGAACCTAAGAGGATATTGGTTATCTCAGTTTATAAGAATATATAAAAATCAAGAAACAATTACTATTTATTTTGATATAAATAAAAGATCCCTACAAGATATAGTAAATCATATAATAATTGTCATTATCTAAATAATAAGGATAAGGATAACGATAAGGACTTGTAGGATGACTCAATAGGATGTCCTAAATTTGATAAAGTGCAAAAATACCTACATCATTACATGAATGAAGTCATAAAAATTAAAATTGAAGATTTAATCTAATCTTATTGACACATTAATAATAATTCTAGTGACATCATTCAATATTATGAAATGACAATGAACTATGAATGAAACCTTATGAATATCTATTTCAGGAGGGCACAATAGTAGTCACAAAGGTAGAAGAGCCATCAAAGTATGGTGTGGTGTGCTATAAAGACAGTGGCGAAATTGAAAGCTTTGTGGAAAAGCCACAGGAGTTTATTTCCAACAAAATCAATGCTGGTATGTAATATTCATTCAATCTTTTTCATTCAACAATTTGTTTACTACTAACCATGGACCCATAAAAATTTTATAGGTCCATGCCACTAACAATGAAAATGTAATAAATTATATTCTATTTATAAAACAAACACAATTTTATCACAGGAATGTACATCCTAAACCCATCAGTGCTAAGTAGAATAGAGTTACGGCCGATGTCAATAGAGAAGGAGGTCTTCCCGTTCATGGCAAAGGATGGACAGTTGCACGCCATGGAGCTGCAGGGCTTCTGGATGGATGTCGGACAACCCAAAGACTTTTTAACAGGTAATCCTAGACTGCATCTTATTACTTAACACCAGGTACGATTGCGGTCAAATACCTGGCTTGTCCTGCATAAAAAAATGTGTTTGGTAGTTTTAAAATAGATATTACAATGTGTAAGTAAACTGTAGGTTGATTATGAGGCGACTAAATGGGAATTTAAGATTGCAAAAAGAGGTATTATATTAGAAACAGCTTGGCGAAAAACGACTAGTTTTGTGGTCTAAATAAAACTGCCAAGTTAGTTGCTACAAAAATATTGTAAGTCATTGGGTTGGCGTTTGATAACCCTGAGTATTAGACATTAAAGAATCCTTGGGGTCAAATATTGAAGTCTTTAAGCTTAGAACATCGATTTTTAATGAGCTACGTAACTAAGGCGTATTTATTGTATCGTTTCCAGGCATGTGTCTATACCTGACGAGCCTTCGGCAAAAGAACTCCAACAAGCTTTATGATGGACCTGGTGTTGTTGGGAACGTCCTCATTGACCCCACAGCCACCATCGGGAAGGGATGCCGGATAGGACCCAATGTCACTATTGGACCAGACGTGATTGTGGAGGACGGTAAGTGAAATGGAGTGTTATTACATTGTGAATAAGGCTCACTTTTGAGATTTGATTCGTCAGGATCGCATTTCCAATTGGCATACTTACACGAGCTTTTCATAGCGTTACGTCTATATGTTTTTGTTTTTGTTACGTCAGTATTACTTTTGGGTAGTGATTGCGTTTGCACACCGCCGCGCCGTTTAGAAACATTTTTCTACGATAAAAATAATTACACTAACCGGTCGATCTTTTAAAGGTCTTTCATACAGCCGGCATGACAACGTAACCGAAACGCGGCATTATTTTGTGTTGACATGTAATTTGATAGCAGCCGCCACTTGCCGTACCGTGCTATTACACACATACAAGCTTCAATTTCAATTTGTACGGAAACATCACGTCCATGCCGAACTTACGCTGGCTGTATGCCAGAGCCTTTAGCCATACATAATATAATAGGCACCTAGACTAGACTTTATACAAAGATAACATTGTTGAGGACAGTCTATCTCCATCCTTATTAGCATCCAATACATTTATTGCATAGTTATCTATTTTTCTCTTATCATAGCTATTGAATACATTGCGAAAGTCGTACGAAGCGAGCACACTATAATTACTTTCGCTTGTTATCGCGGCCCCCTACTCGTTAGATACATAATATCCGCCTCGTTAGATAATGAAACTGTTACATTTATTCATGATCCAAATACCTACAGAATACAACGAAAGAAAATACTTGTGTGAATAGATTAAAATGTTGTCTGGTCGAGATAATGAGGATCATTTCGATTTTTAGCTGTGAATGCAGATTTATAGGGCTAAGAAATCCTTAATACACAGTCCAAAAATTTTTGTTCTACGACAAAAATTGACGAAGTTATGGCCAAATTACTAAAAAAGTTCACTGACCACCCGGCGCGGGGACGATGACGTCATTATATCCGATCCGAACGCTGCCGGCGTACTGCGTGGATAGAAAATATTTTTTTCTAGCCAAACTATCAGTTTTAGAGAAAAACTTGTAATGACATTTATTCATCAGAATAAAGTAAGCTATCGATAGGTAATTTTTAAAAATAGAAATTGTGAAAAATAACGCAAAAAATCCATACGCTCATACGATTCAATGGAACGCAGAGACGCGATTGGGGTCTCCGCGGTGGTATATTTGGCGATTTATTCAAATAAAGTATTCATAAGTGTTGTTAGAGTCATATCTTCTTCCAAGTAAAATATAAAAATGTATTAAGTATTAATTTATTTACTTCTAACAATAAGGTATAGCTGAGGCAGAGGTATAGCTGAGGCAGATTCACTCTCCCTAGGCTACAAGACATTGCTATGAAGATCATTTCGATGTACACGCAATACCTACCTGTTATTTAGTTTTTCTGAGTTAAACCTACGTACCTACCTATCTATTCGCCGTTCCCATGGGCGGGCCAGCTGCTGCAGGAATATTAGCATCATATTATGTATTATTATGTTCAATACAAACAATCATTAAGTTACACTCACCCCAACCGCGTCTCCGCATTGCATCGAATCCTATGAAAATGTGGTTTTTGGACATAGCGATACTTATTTTTCACAATTTTTATTTTTAAAAATTACTGGTCGATAGGTTACTTTATTTTGATGAATAAATGTTATAAAAAGTTTTTTTCTAAAACTGATAGTTTAGCTGGAAAAAAATATTTTCCATGCCAATAGTACGCCGGCTGCGCTCGATTCGGATATAATGACGTCACGCGGCCCTGCGTACGTTGACTTTTAGCGGCAAAAACGGCCTATGTTTATTACTTAATATCTTCGTAAGTAATGGTTCGATTTGGATAATTCAAAAAGATATATCTTTCTTATGTCTTAAAGATTAACGTAGATACTAGTTTTATTGAATTTTCTACAACAGTACTGATCCTCATTAATTTTGTATTGTGTATTTCGTGCACTATTTCAATGAATAATAGGTACATAGCTTGAGTGTGTGACATAATGTTTGATGAGGAATAAATGCCTATTTTTAGAAAAGACATGGCATTGTGGCGTTAAAAATCATCGGGTTCTTTAGTTTTCTACCTGCCGAAACCACACGGCGTTAAAAACTTTCTTCTTTTTTTTATTTTGTTTGCGGCCAGGTATCAATAAATGCTTATTACATTCCAGGAGCCTGCATAAAACGCAGCACGATCCTCCGCGGCGCGTGCGTCAGACAACACGCGTGGTTAGACGGCTGCATAGTGGGATGGCGCTCCGTGGTCGGACGCTGGGTGCGAATGGAGAACACGACGGTGCTCGGGGAAGACGTCATCGTGAAGGACGAGCTATACGTCAACGGCGGACAAGTGCTGCCTCACAAGTCCATCGCTCTGTCCGTGCCCGAGCCGCAAATTATCATGTGAGGGTAGACGGAGTGTATCAGTGAATGGGACTGTTGGAAGACGAATGCAATAATTTTATTATATGAAGAAGTTTTGCCAGAATTCAGTGATTCCAAGATGAGACGTATTTACTAGAACAGATCCACACACTAGGTATTTTACAGTACTAGGTGGCACCTATTCCAATTTTTTAAATACTTGATCCACCTAGTATTTTATAAATTACACGATTTCCGACCCTATGATCAAAGTAATAGAGGTTATTATTGCGTAATCCGTAGTCGTGTATTACGCGCACCTAGTATTTCTCGCTAAGCTTATGTGCGAACGTAGAGATTCTCTCCGTCTCTGTCTGACCAAACAAATTTGAGCGCGACGAAGAAAACGCACACAAACATAGTCAAACCATATTCATGTAAATAAGAAAAAATATGTAAATATTTTTATAAAATTGATATCTTTTAAATACGCCAACTTTTAAGTTGACAGTCCTAAGCCAGTTGAAGTATGAAGGGAGGAATTATTATTCAATTTCAAATTGCATTATTCATACTACGGTTGTATCTTTTAAAAAAAAATTTATTTTAAAGTCATATTACGTGGATTAGTCCGCACTAGTCGCGTCAAGTATGCTAAATTACTACGTACTAGGTGGAATAGGTATTTGGATCGAGTATTAATAAATACTAGGAATAGGTGCACCTAGTATCAAATTTACCTAGTATAACCCATCTCTATTCCAAATGTTCAGAATTCCAACTCACACTTGAAACCGATACTTAAACGTTATTCCTCGTTGTTTTCTATTTAGAACAATATTAAGGCACCAATTGGTTTTCACCTTAGATCAAAAAGATTTACGTCTAGGATCGACAAGGTTAGTTTTGCGTGACGTCAGTCATCCTCCGACCATAAATAAAATTGTGCCGTTTGAAGACTGATTGTTAAGTGTTGGTATTTTGGCTAATATTCTGGAATTGATTCTGCAATGTGTGTTTTTGACGAGTGCAAAAAAAGACTTCTAAATATACTATCTCCGATCCCTTTACTTTAACATTTAATAGACAATTTTTGTGCAATATATTTTTTATATACGATCGCCGTGAAGTGTCACGCACACAAAATATAGCGTTAGTTTGTAAAACAAAGTTATTTTTATTTACCTTAATTAAATATTGGGATTTTTTTTCAAGCAATTTTATCTGTATCTGTTCATTCTTGGCCTGAATCCTGAATACAATATTTATCTAAATTACCACTCGGCTGTGCCGAATAACACCGGCCCTCTTTAGTGTATACTGCCCTTATTTTTTTAGATATTAATTATTTTTATTGGTTGATTTTATGTTAATGTTAAGGTGCTCTCTCATTGGTACTTTCAGGGGTAATAATTACATGCTCTCGATGAGGGGAGCATCTTTTTCTAACCGATTTAAATAATAAAAATGATTAAAACGTCGGCAACGCTAACAATAGTATGTTTCAAAACATCCTTAGCCGCTTGAGTCCCAGACGGCATTAATTAATGTCATAACAATTGATTATCTATTGTGTCTAGATTCGCGGGCCTTGAAGGATTAAAATAACAATCGGTCAATTATAATACAAAGTTGCAACGTTTCAATCAATATCACATTAGTCATATCTCTATTTCAATTTTAAGTTTATGACTTCATAGGTCCAGTTCTTATTTAACTATATATTTATTGTTATCTTGTATCATTAGTGAGTGCAGCATGAAATTATTTAATAAACATTCCTATCAATTAGTAAACATTATTAAAATACAATTCTATTTTTGTATCATATTATACATAATTTATTGGTGTTATCTTTAATTTTATTGTATTTAATTTTAATTCTTTCAATGCCATTTTGTATGGTTGATTACAATGATTCATGTGCCGTCATAAGACACCAAAACTATTCGATTTAGTACGTATTTTTAATTTAATAAATAATTTTATTATAACTAAGAAGTTTTAGATAATAACTAACATGTACCAGAAATAAAAAAATGAATGATATAAAACTTTGTTTCATTTGGTAGGCCGACGACAAGCAAGAGTATTTAGGCATTGCATCCGATTCTGAATACGCTCATCAAGTAATAATAATATTATTAATGCTCTGTGATTGTTTAGACTTTAAATAATACACAAAATTAACGATTGGTAACATAAGCAAAAATACAGTTCAGTCGGCAGTTTGACACCATTATTTTTTCATTGGAACTAATATAACTCCTTAAAACTAGCTACTGTACCTTCTTACCCTACACTGAATATTCCCGCTGTAGCTAAACAAAGAACGCTCGCTGCACCTCCTGTCTGGTACAATACTCAAAGTTGCATTGACCTTATTTAAAAACTTTTCAAACCTTCGCGGCAAACTTATATTCGAAGACTTTTAATCGTGATTCCTTCTTTTTAGATTTTTAAAAAATCAATCTGTCTTATTTTTTGACATTGACAGCTGTTAGTGCGCCAAAAATCGTGCAAAAAACAGGCAAAAATACTGGCAGATTTTTGTTAATATCGCGATATTTAATGAATATCGTAAATTAAAACGATGTCTAAACGAAACAGTGCTGGAGCATCTAATACGCTTTTCAATTATTTTACCAAAACACCGCCGGCGAACAAGAAAGTCAAGGCGAATGATGATGCCGGCGGCAGTCCTAAGTTAGATTCCTCGGTAAACAAAGAAAAAGATAAGAAAACGGAAAGTAAGTTCAAAATTCAAATATCACTAATGTATATCTATATTTCATTAATTTCTATTCAGAAATTAACATATTACTAGGTGTAATTCACAGCCATATGTTTATGTTGTGTCAGGTTTTCTGTTGCGTATTTCTCATAGAAATAATACAATTTCTGTCAATTTTTAAGAGAAAAAGCGCGAAAGGCAGCCAACCCCTTCGCCAGAGGTGAACAATCATGACAGCGATGAGGAGGTGCCGATTGCCTCAAAGAGGAGGAAGAGGATCAGGCTCAACCCCATGGATTCTGATGACTCAGATGTTGAGAATAAAGGTAAGCTTTCTATTAACCATGTTACCATCCATCTAACTTATAGTAAAACAAAATCAACAGTATGTCGAGTAATTGGCAAAATAAATTATTTAATCAAAAATGACATTTAGTTTAGTTGGAAAAATAAAATGCTGAGCGGACTGGTTTGATAAAGAGAGAAACTTGACAAAATGATTCATAGCATTCATTCATGTCTGTATAGATTTTCCCTCGAAACCAGCAATAGTTCTTGTATTGCAATGTCTATAAGTGATTTTTAAATTCCAAACCTTTCAGCAGACAACAAAGTTGAAGAGAAGGAGAAAGTTTCTTTGGAGAAGAAGCTACAGGATAGCTTCAAATATGAGCCCAACCAATCCCCAAAGGCTAGTAAGGCCAAGGCCAAGACACCCAGCAGTAAAGGGTAACTAAAGATTAGACATTGTTTTATAGATAAAACATTAGAATGTGGTATAGAAAGAATTCCACTATAGTGGAGGAGGCTCATAGTCCAGCAGTGGACTGTAAAAGGCTGTTGATGATGATGATAGAAAGAATTAACAGTCTTGGTTTGGTACTTGTTTATTAACTAGGACAGAAGACAGTATTACAGATTTTTTGTGAGGCTAAGAGCTTTTCTTCTTTAAAGACACATCTTTTGGTCTTGTTATCATTGCATGCTTTACTTGTTTGTGTAAAGAAAGATGTGTTGTTGGTAGATCTTTGTCAATAAATAATAATAATAATAAAATACTTTGAATAGCACTGGAACACATCCCTAAAGCAGTAGTATGTTTCAAGAAAGATTTTTAAGTATATCAAATTACCAAAAAATTGATTAGTTGAGTTTTGATTTTATATTTTTCATTTTGTTAACTACTGTTAATAAAGAGAAAAGCTATCAACAAGTACAGCAAAAAATATTTGATTGTCTTCAATAGACCAGCAGCAACCCCAAGCAAATCAGAGGCACAAGAGGAATCCACATCGGATGAAGGCAACTGGACCCACTGCAAGCTGGAATGGCTGAAGCCGGAGAAGATCAGGGATGCAAAGAAGCGGAGACCGAACCATCCCGATTACGACCCCAGCACATTGTTTGTGCCGCCCGATTTTATGAATGAACAGACTCCTGTGAGTATCATTAGAGTTAATTGAATCAAGCTAGAATAAAGACTAAATCTTGAATGGATCTTACTTAAATTGACAATACCTTAAATAAGTTTGTGCCAGTCCAGTTAAATAGAATAAAACCCCATTAGAAGAAAGATTAGACCTTAAGTCTCTTTTCTCTATTTACCCATAATCATCATGAAAAAATAAAGTAGTCTTAGATCAAGTCCATTTTAAGCAACAGAGCAGAGCAGTATAGTGCAAAAAAAAAATCTAATTTAAATAATAAAATATGTTTTCTCATACTAATTCCTATAATAATATTGTGTGTTTGTTTATAATTTCAGGCCCACCGCCAGTGGTGGGAAATGAAGTCTTCCCACTTTGACTGTGTGCTGTTCTTCAAAGTGGGCAAGTTTTACGAGTTGTACCACATGGATGCAGCTGTGGGAGTTAATGAACTGGGATTCTCTTATATGAAGGTATGGCAAAGCACCTTAAATAATTAGAATTGCTTTAGTCTAAGACCTTATGAACATTGTGGTTTGAATGAAATCACTTATTGGTTGCTTTTAATTACTGAAGTCACAAAAAATAAAGTGAAGTAAAACTAGCTCAAGATTAATATTTAAAGAATCGACATGTTTTGTTTACTTAGTATACTTTCGCTTGTATTTTCTTCATACTGCAACAAACCCTTGTAAATCCCAGAAAGCTAGCAGCCTTTCCTGGTTTCTGGTAATGTTTCTGGAGATTAAGGAATCAGTGTCCATTACTTATAGGAGTGTAGATTGGAAAGTTCTCAGCCTGACCATTAACAAAAACTCCTATCCAGGCTTCAGTCAATGATGCTAGATAGAGGATCTGTGCCACTACTTTTTTTTATGCTGGAAAAGGCAGGCATTTGACCGCAATCGTACCTGGTGATAAGTAAGATGCAGTCTAGGATAAACATAAACTATGTTTTCAGGGAGCATTTGCCCATTCCGGGTTCCCAGAAAGCGCGTATTCCCGCATGGCCTCCACACTAGTGTCAAAAGGATTCAAGGTCGCGAGGGTGGAGCAGACCGAAACGCCGGATATGATGCAAGACAGGTGTAAGAAGAGTAAGTTTACATTGTTGTCTTTAATTTTACTTATTAGGTATATATCGTTTCATCCATGAAGACGCGCCCCACCAATTTTTGGTCGAGGGAAGCGCGGGTGTTTGGTCCAAGCCATCCGAGCGTCATTATTGTAGTGTGCGTGTGCACTCATGGATAATTTGTCATGTACCGATAACACTCAAACATTAGCAGAAGAATGGTGGGGCGCGTCTTCGTGGATGAAACGATCTATAACCATAGTTTACCTGTCCATATGCACTACATATCCCTTTTGTAAGTTCAACAAAATATGTTATAACTAGACATCGGATTATATGCATTTGCATTATTGCATATGCAAACGCATATAATGCTATTTTTATAGCGTTATTGCATATTTTGGTACTTTTTCATTGACAGTGCTTATTTTAGTATTTATACATGTTAGACGTGTTGTACTTCGCCGCCGTCCCCACACCAAACATCAACACAGCGAGAGCGCATTGAGAGCGCAGTGTTGCCAGTCGGGTCTTGTCAGAAATTACCAGAAATATAAAAAAATTTAACCTTTTTGAATAAAAAGTAACCTTCATACGGGGGGGGGGTTGCGGAGCGAAAATGAATGACCATTCCATGAAGACCGAAAAGTGACCGGTCGTATAAAAACGTTTCCTGGATTTGCGTTTTATTATCGAAAAACATTCGCTAAAATTCATTTTTTTTAACAAACAATAAATCAAATTCATGTTAAAATGCAAATTAAATGCTGTTTTGTATAAAAATCCGTGTCTCGAAGAAATAAAAAAAGTTAACGCATTTATCAACGGCACCAGTCAAATTCTGCCTGAAGAGGTCTCGGCAGAAATGGCGCCAAATTTTAAGTTCTGTCCGGTAACGTCAGTGGACGTTGAAAGGTCATTTTCAGCATATAAATTAGTTTTAAGTGACAAACGTCACAAATTTGCGCCAGAAAACCTTGAAAAATATGTTATTGTATATTGTCACAAGAATTACAGCCAATAAGTACCTATACATATAATTAATTAATTATGTATTGTGAAAATTTTTCGCGTGCGTCCCTGTTTCAAAAACCGGGATAGAAACTATCCTATGTCCTTTCCCGGGACTGAAACTATCTCTACCCCAATTTAATTAAAATCGGTTGAGTGGCTTAGGTGTGAAAGCGACACAGACAGATAAACAGGGTTACTTTGGCATTTATAATATTAGGAGGGAGGCCTCCCTGTATTATAATTTAGGCTACACATCTGCACTGTAACTTCTTAATGATCACACAAAAACAAACCTTATCGCAGTGGGTCACAGCACAAAATGGGACAAGGTGGTGCGTCGCGAGATATGCCAGGTGGCAGTGAGGGGAGCTCAAGTCTGCGGCTTGCAGGACGCCGGCCCGGCCGACGCGGGCGCTTCGTATATGATGGCCATCGCTGAGGAGGTAATATTAATGTCTTCTGTAGACCTAAGATGCGCGCCGTGATAACTTTAATCGACGCCAAAATGTATGGGCAAAATCGATAAATTGGCGTGATAACCGCTTATCGCGGCGCGCATCTTAGGCCTACTGGTGTTTATTCATCATCACCTAGGATGCGCGCTGCGATAAGTTTTTATCGCGTCATTGCGCGGATAATATTCCGGCAAGTCATTTTATTCTTCACTGCGTGTGCATGACTCTGTCATAAATCATGCCCACACTGATTGGAGGATTTGGTCTACATTCCATTTGACTTAAAGAAGGCCTTCCGGCATTAAGTCTGCCGCTTGTACGTCACCTGCACGCAAGGTGTTGTACAAGTGGCGGACTTAAAGGTTTGAATAAATAGATAAATTCCTCTTACTCACGATGACTAGAGGGGTTGGGGAGGCCTAAAATGTTCTCATGTTTGTCCCATAGTCGCCCTACGCAACATCCACGAGAAGATTAGAAGTATCAATTAAGTATGGTGTCAAACCCACTGGAATTTTAATGTACAGAGTACAAACTATAAATTTTGTTGTAAAATAGCACCGAATACAACTACAAAAGAGGCTAGTTCTTACCTTGATGTCGTTCATACAACGCCGATATTTCTATTCCAGGAAGGTGCGAGCTGCAGCCAGTTCGGCGTGTGTTTTCTGGACACTTCCATCGGCATCTTCCACCTGGGCCAGTTCCAAGACGACAAGCACTCCTCGCGACTGCTCACCACACTGGCTCACTACCCGCCTGTTCTGGTAATTATACAAAAATGATCAGTTACTATAATGTTTGGAGGTTAAATGAATGTGTTACCAGTGGTGATATATGGCATTGAAACGTGACTTAAGCTGTCACCTAATAAAGTTCAAAGTTGCACAGCGTGCTATGGAGCTATTATGTGTGTTTCTTTGTCAGAATAAGAAGATCCGTAAACGAACTTAAGTCTCTGACATAGAAAGACGGAAGCAATGGTCAGGGCACATAGCACGCAGAACTGACGGCCAATGGGACAACAAGATTCTAAAATGTAGGCCAGGTATCGACTAATAGAGTGGAAATATTACCTTATAAAGCAGGAAGGTGCTGGATGCAGGTCGCTACCAATGGGACAATCTGGAAATCATTGGGGAGGCTGTTCAGCAGGGAACGTTCTGTGGCTTAAATGTTGTAAACAGATACTCGCCTTTTGATAAATAAATATGTTTTGCACAGGTAATCTACGACCGTAAAAGCACAACGCCTCGCGTGAGCAAACTGCTCAGCACACACTGTCATAGCGCGAGACGCGAGCCTCAATCCCTATGGCCGCCTGAAAAGACTCTCAAGATACTCGCTGAGAAATATTACAAGACCAACGCCGATGGCGACTGGCCGGAGGGAATCAAACCTTATTTGCATGAAGGTAAGGTGTTTATTTAGTATGCACTCTCATAGCGCTAAGACTCAAGATACTTGCTGAGAAATATTACAAGACCAACGCTGATGGCGACTGGCCGGAGGGAATCAAACCTTATTTGCATGAAGGTAGGGTTTAATTTGCAGTATAATAAAACCTTTATAGTGCGAGACACGAGCCTCAATCCCTCTGGCCGCCTGAGAAGACTCTCAAGATACTCGCTGAGAAGTATTACAAGACCAATGCTGACGGTGACTGGCCGGAGGGAATCAAACCCTATTTGCATGAAGGTAGGGTATCTATTCAGTACGCACTCTCATAGCGCTAAGACTCAAGATACTCGCTGAGAACTATTACAAGACCAACGCCGATGGCGACTGGCCGGAGGGAATCAAACCCTATTTGCATGAAGGTAAGGTGTTTATTCAGTACGCACTGTCATAGCGCGAGACGCGAGCCTCAATCCCTCTGGCCGCCTGAAAAGACCCTTAAAATACTTGCTGAGAAATATTACAAGACCAATGTTGATGGTGACTGGCCGGAGGGAATCAAACCTTATTTGCATGAAGGTAAGGGTCTATTTAGTATGCACTGTCATAGCGCGAGACGCGAGCCTCAATACCTCTGGCCGCCTGAGAAAACTCTTAAGATACTCGCTGAGAAGTGCTCCAAGACTGATATTGATGGTGACTGGCCGGAGGGAATCAAACCCTATTTGCATGAAGGTAAGGGTCTATTTAGTATGCACTGTCATAGCGCGGGACGCGAGCCTCAAGACTCAAGATACTTGCTGAGAAGTATTACAAAACCAATGCTGACGGCGACTGGCCGGAGGGAATCAAACCCTATTTGCATGAAGGTAGGGTGTATTTTGCAGTATAATAAAACCTTCATAGCGCGGGACTCAAGCCTCAATCCCTCTGGCCGCCTGAGAAGACTCTCAAGATTCTCACTGAGAAGTACTACAAGACCAACGTCGATGGCGACTGGCCGGAGGGAATCAAACCTTATTTACATGAAGGTAGGGTGTATTATATAGTGCAGTATGATAAAACCTTTATAGCGCGGGACACGAGCCTCAATACCTCTGGCCGCCTGAGAAGACTCTTAAGATACTCGCTGAGAAGTACTACAAGACTAACGCTGATGGTGACTGGCCGGAAGGAATCAAACCTTATTTGCATGAAGGTAGGGTGTTTATTCAGCACACACTGTCATAGCGCGGGACGCGAGCCTCAATACCTCTGGCCGCCTGAGAAAACTTTTAAGATACTCGCTGAGAAGTGCTCCAAGACTGATATTGATGGTGACTGGCCGGAGGGAATCAAACCTTATTTGCATGAAGGTAAGGGTCTATTTAGTATGCACTGTCATAGCGCGGGACGCGAGCCTCAAGACTCAAGATACTTGCTGAGAAGTATTACAAGACCATTGCTGATGGCGACTGGCCGGAGGGAATCAAACCTTATTTGCATGAAGGTAAGGTGTTTATTCAGTACGCACTGTCATAGCGCGAGACGCGAGCCTCAAACACTGTGGCCGCCTGAAAAGACCCTTAAAATACTTGCTGAGAAATATTACAAGACCAACGCTGATGGTGACTGGCCGGAGGGAATCAAACCCTATTTGCATGAAGGTAGGGTGTTTATTCAGTACGCACTCTCATAGCGCTAAGACTCAAGATACTCGCTGAGAAGTATTACAAGACCAATGCTGACGGCGACTGGTCGGAGGGAATCAAACCTTATTTGCATGAAGGTAGGGTGTAATTTGCAGTATAATAAAACCTTTATAGCGCGAGATGCGAGCCTTAATCACTGTGGCCGCTTGAGAAGACTCAAGATACTCGCTGAGAAGTACTCCAAGACTAATGTTGATGGCGACTGGCCGGAGGGAATCAAACCTTATTTGCATGAAGGTAAGTTAGTAAGTTCTTTTTAAATTGCAATTGATTGAACTCCCAAAATTAAGATAAGTGTTTACTGCTTGGATGCCCGGATCGAACTGAGGCTCTGAACTGAAGGTTCAGGCTTGCTGCATCATAAAAATGCTCACTCTGCAGGTTGAGATGACAATTCAGCAGTTTAGCCAACATTTTCAAGGTGTAACAGTACGCACTGTCTACTGTCGTAGGTATACCTACTGTCTAAAATAAGCCTCTTCTTTTTAGACTCTTCAAAAATCAATTCAATCCTGACTATCATAAGGCTCATTTTCGTTTTCAGGCGACGCCCTAGGCCTCACTCCGGCTGCCCACTGCTCACTAGCAATCAAAGCATTAGGCGGCTGCGTCTCATACCTAACAGACTGTTTACTAGATATACAAATACTAGGCATGTCTCAGTTCGAAACCTACGCTCCGCCTGACGTGCTAAACAAGACCTTATCGCAAGAGGAGAAAGCTGAAAATCGATGGGAAGGCGGCAACACGATGGTTTTGGACGCGATCACGCTAAGGAATCTGAGGATAGTGCAGGACGATGGGTGTTTGTACGAGAAATTGAACTTCTGTTCCACGGCTATGGGGAAAAGGTTTGTACACTATACTTCCATAGTGTATGTTGCTATATTCATCTGATAATCACTTCTATCAACTTGGAAAAACTTGGTGCTTACTTTGCCACAAAACCGAATCTAGAGGCTACAAATGACGCAACGAAAGAGCAAAAGCCAATATTTTGCTACTATCTCATGCAAAAATAAGTAGAGTTTGATGAAATATAATGTAAGTTGTCAAAATCCAAGCAATATGCTTACTAGCTAGAAGACTATTAACCCTCTATAAGGCTAATGTAAAATAAATTATAAGTTTACGATCTTATGGTGAAAAGAATAAGGTTCAAATTATGGTAGCAACATATTCACCAGTCATATAAAGGGTTGAAACAATCATAAACTCGCCTGAACTGTACAAATTTCGACCTTACAACATGGGAATGATGTTAAGATTTAGGTGGCAATATATTATATTATTCCCGTTTTCACAGATGGTTATACCAGTGGGTGTGTGCGCCAAGCTGTAGCCTGGCCGTGATCAGAGAGCGCCAGGAGGCAGTCAAGTGCCTGTTTGAAAACCAAGAGCTGTGCCAAGAGGCCAAGAACATCTTGACCACTCTGCCAGACCTGGAGAGGCTTTTGGCCAAGTAAGTAGATATTTATAATGATCATTAGGTCATTTAGTCTCCACTGCAGGAGTAGAGTTAATAATGGGACGAGTAAAAGTGCTTTATAAAAAGCCTATTTGCAAAAATAAATGATAAGAAACACAGAGGATTGATAAATAATAATGGCCTAGACTTCCTACGCTTCACAGGGACAGATCCAAGAGTCTGCAATACAAGTTACCTCCTTTCAAGGCCCTCTTTCGTTTTAATACGCTATTAATTTTTAAATGTTTAAACTAATTAAAGCCCTTTTTGTGTGGCGATTATCTGCTGCTCATTCCTGTCATTATTTATTAGAGACTGGTTTCTGGTCATTTATTTCCAAGCCACACAGCTGTATGTTTCCCCATCATATATCTATTCGTACAGAATTTCTGTTAGCCGTGTAGAAACTAGACAGGTTATGTTGCCTTCACAATCAGTAGGACTTTGATTGGTCTATAAAAATATTTTATACATTTTCTACAGCTGCCTCATATTACTAAATATTTAATTGCAGAGTCCACGCCCTAGGCAACTTGAAACGTTCAAAGCACCATCCAGATGCTCGCGCCATCTTCTACGAAGAGAAGACCTACTCCAAACGGAAGGTTCTGGACTTCATATCGGTGTTGAACGGGTTCACTGCTGCTCTGAAATTGATTGAGTTGTTTGAAGATGTAGAATCGGGACTGTTGAAGAGAATCACACAGTTCAGTCCTGATGGGAAGTTCCCGGATTATAGGGATACTCTGAAGTTCTTCAAGGTAAGCACTGACGAAGGAATATTAAGTAATTAACGATATTTTAAGTAGTTGTAACGGGTTATTTTGCAATAAAAAATGTAGTCTGTAGGCCTAGGATGCGCACTGTGATAAGCATTTATCGCGCCATTTTATCGATTTACGTGATAAGCCGTTATATTTGTTGTTTAAAATCATCGATAATATTTTATCATAGTGCACATGATAGCTCGGCTGATTGTGTCTTAATTTTGTTCTTTTGGTTAAAATAGATGAACCTTATTTTCCAAACCTATCAATGCCCTTTTCTATCTGATTATATCTTTTTGTGGATTTAAGACATGTGCTATATATTCTCGAAACTACAAAATGTCATTTGTATGTACCTCACACGAACCTTTTATTTTGACCATTATTTAAGTAATATTTTTTATGGCAATGAAACATACTCTATTTCAAAAGCTACAAATCCCCTATTCCCTTAACAGGAAGCCTTCAACCAAAAGGAAGCGGAGAAAGAAGGCCGAATACTGCCCGGCGAAGGAGTGGATCAAGAGTACGACAACACGCTGCGGCTCATCGGCGACATCGAGAAGGAACTCAAGGAATATCTCAGTGAGCAGGAGAAATATTTTAAGTGTCGAGTAAGTATGACTATTATTTTGGGAAAATTTTAGAAATGAATGGACTTCAGTATTTGGCTTTGTTACTTTTCATCGATTCCCGCCTTAGGCAGTTCGATTTTTCCAAGTTATTTATGATTTAATTTGAGAGGCGACTCGCTTAGAAATTTTAATAACTATTTGTCATTTTTGCTCAGCAAAAACTGCGTTATAACTACACAAGCTGTTCAGAATAAAAATTGTGTCACAATGTGGGTGTATGTTAATTTAAAATACTTCAAATTACATTCGTGGATCTCGTAATACCGTCACTGGTAAGTGCATTAAAAATCCATGAAGATTTTAGTTCTTGAAAGTAGCCGCTCGACGGTTAAGAATCAATACCATCTATCTCAAGTTTTGGCGGTTTTCACTTTTTAATGCCAATAGATTTAAAGTCCAATTTGGCACAGGTTGTTCACACTCTTATCTCAATATTCACAGTATTTCCAAAGTTATTTGCTATAGAAATACCACCTATGTTAAGAGCACGAAAAATTTTCTGCCAATATTGTCTATCTCTCCTCAAAGAATTACAGAAAGGTGGTAAAAAGTTACTTTATTCAGTATTTTTTACTTTCATTGTACAGTAGACGTATTCCATTATATTTATAGCGTATGAGAACTTGATAATTGTAAGTTGAAAATCAGAAATACATGAGATAAAGTTGACAAAATGTTCACAACTTTAACTAATAGTACTCTTATTCAAAAGGCGATAGAGCGGAACCAAGGCTCCAAAGTGTTCGCAAGAGACAACTCTATTAAGCTAAGCCAGCTCACTAAGTTAAAAGACGGTGTACGGTAGTGTGACCGAGGTTCTGGGTGAGACTGAGAGGCTTTACAGTGCGTCAAAAAACCAACATCTGCAAGAACTCAAACTAGTTCTACCAGCAGAATGCCATGACTTTTATGATTCTTTGCCTCATTTGTAAAATACAAATTAATGTAAGGTATTTAACAACCTCATTTCATGTTATTGATTAATAAGCTACTTGATTTTTTACTAGTTATTTTTGTCCAATAGCACCTATCTAGTAGATAAATATATTTTTTTTAACTCTTTTGAACCAATACCATCTAACTCAAGTTATCTTGGTATATGGCAATATTACGTCAATCTAAGTTTACATAACATTTTCCAGTATTTATTTACCTTTTTTAGCGATTTTAACATTTCTAGTAACTTATAAGCTGAAGCGATGAAACGTTTTTTTTATCTCCTGTAAAGTTGACTTTTTTGAGATAGATGGTATTGATTCTTAACCGTCGCGCTAGGGACGTTGTCACATTTTTTATCCTTAACAGTTCCTTTTAGAAATCTACGTTTTAGTCTTATTTCCACCACCTACTCACAACAAAAGTAAAAAGAAAACTTACTTAAATATAAAATTTACTTTTATGTAATAAATCTCAGTAACATCATATTTTTACACAGCTTTCCTACGTGGGGTCAGACAAGAAGCGGTATCAAATCGAAGTCCCGCAGGGCGCCGCGAGCCGTGCCGGTGGCGATTACCAGTTGGAAGGCACCAGGAAAGGGTACAAGAGGTTCTCTACTGCTGAGACTAAGGTAAGCTTTATGTGCTATTACTTAAAGGTTGAGAATGGCACGCTTTTACGTGAAACGAGGGTATTAACTCGATAACTACCAGTTGGAAGGCACGAGGAAAGGGTACAAGAGGTTCTCCACTGCTGAGACTAAGGTAAGCTTTATGTGCTTTACTTAGGGTTGAGAATGGCACGCTCGCTGCGCCGGCGGCGACTACCAGTTGGAGGGCACCAGGAAAGGGTACGAAAGGTTCTCCACTGCTGAGACTAAAGTAGGTTTTGTGTAAATTAAGTTAAATCTCATTATAAATGCAACAAGGTTAAAAAAAGCAGAGGAAACCTTACTTTGCATAAAATTCAAGATGTAGGCGCTGCATGATTTAAATCAAACAATATTGATTCGCACACACGTTGTGAGAGACAGAAACAAAGAATGTTGCTAATAGTAAAAAATAAAATACTATACTTTTATATTCGAAGTTGCCAACAAAAGTCAATTTTTTTGACTTATGCTAAGAAACTTTTTATACCAAAGTAAAAGTTGCCATATTTTGTCTACTAATAATATCAGATGCGTGATGTTACTCTTAATTCAAAAACTACTGAACGGATTTTGATGTAATCTCTCCACCCACAGGATTTGCTAGCCCGCATGATAGCAGCCGAAGACCAGAAGACCTCAGTACTAAAGGATCTAAGTCGCAGAATATTCGAGAAATTCTCCTCGACTTACGACCAATGGGAGTCGGCCGTCAAGTGCATATCTACATTAGACATACTACTATCGTTTACGGAGTTCGCTCGCCAACAGAGCGGCGATATATGCCTGCCTGAAGTCACCTTTGATAGTAATCAAAAGGTATAGTTCCAAAATACTGAACTGTCCTATGCATGACATTGACAGTGGGGCGCCACCGTCAATACCGGATCGCTGGTTCTGATTTTTGCCATGTTGGAAACCATATAGTTGAACGATGGTAGCGCCCCCCTGTCATTGTGTTTGGTGGGACAGTTCAGCTTGGGTCATCTATAATTTCATTTTGTTTTAAAAAGGATTTTTGAAGTTTTACTAAAATAACCTTTAAAAAGGTCTCTCCTCTCCAATGACCTCTTCCCAAAACGTCAAATGCCTTGCCATAATGAGCACTAAATAAAAGTTAATAATGGAATTACAACCAATACGGAAAACCATGTCAGATATTTCCCAATAACGAACCGCATACTGATTTTAAACATAGTCTAGTTCTTGTTCATAATCACACCAACCGAAAGCTGTTCTATTTATGAAGCAGCAAGCTTGCTTACTTGTGGAGAAAACACAGATTTTGATCAATTTTAATGTAATAATTTATCGAATGAAAGACGTAGGCAGAAGCTAGTGTAATACAAATGAAGTTCAAATTAATCACTGTTTATCGTTTTCCAGCCGTACATAAACATAACAGAAGGGCGGCACCCATGCATTCCGATCGTGAACGATTTCATCCCGAACGACACCAAGCTTGGAGTTGATGGTGCTAGCCTGCTGCTGCTTACCGGGCCCAACATGGGAGGAAAGTCAACCCTCATGAGGCAGGTCGGCTTGCTGACCGTTCTTGCACATTTGGTAAGATATTTATTAATGCTATTGTAATATTAACTAATGTTTAACTTGGCATAACGTCAGCTACGATGCTTTGAGGTACGAAAAGAGTATGTAGAACATGAGCGTGAACTGTATTTCTTTCTTCATTCTAATTTTATAATCCTACTTAATAAATGTAACATTTTGTGTGGAAGGATGGATGTTTACTTTGTTCTTTTACGCAAAAAAGAACTAAATGGATTTTGATAAAACTACTGTATTATTGTTTATACACAGAATCAGATCATAAATATAGGCTTTAATCTATAATGATCTGAGACAAATTGTATTCCATGCAAGCAAGCTTTGGTCTCACAAAATTGTAAGCAGAGATCTTGATTCGTAAAGATTAAAAATGCTCCCGCACCGTAGTAAATCTGCTAGTCTACTACTAACCATAGCGATATTTAAAAGATAGAAAACTGATAGTGAAATCAATTCTTCTTGTCGACAACAAACCCAAAGTTAGCCCAAAACTCCGCTACAAGAGTGAGATGAATGTAATAATATGATAAGGTTAATAATGAGATAAGGAGACATGTGAAGTGCCCCATAAGGGCTACCTTTTTCTTTTTTTATTATTTTCTATTGACGTTCATAAGTGCCACTTGTGGTCTAAACTGAATAAATATTTTTGATTTTGATTTTGATTTTTTATTTTGATTTCAAAGAAAAAGTAAAAACTCACCACAAGTGTTCCATTCTACCCTCAGGGTAGCTACGTGCCTGCGCAAGAGTGCCGCTTGAGCTTAGTAGACCGCATCTTCACTCGGCTGGGCGCGTCCGACGACATACTGTCGGGCCAGTCCACCTTCCTTGTGGAGATGAACGAGACAGCCGCCATTGTTAAACATGCCACTACACATTCATTGGTGCTACTTGATGAACTGGGTAAGTCACTTTTACACAGGGTTCAGTTTCAGGTCACACACACGTTAGGTCAGATTACTGACTTCTGCACCACACAGCCTAGCTTCTACCAGAGTAAATACAAATGAGTAGGTCATCTTCATAGAAACGCCCGAGCGCGGTTTGTATGTGAGAAGATGACCTATTCATTTGTATTCACTCTGCTTCTACCTAACGCTGATTCCATATCTACGTTAAGAATCTTAAAATGTAATACTAGGGCGTATAAACGACTTATTTAAATGTAAATTATAATAAGTAGTTGCTCAAGCGGGAGTTTTATAAAGTTCACAAACTTTTACTCATACCCCCTTATTACAAAAAGTTATACCCGAGTTGATCACCAGTTTAAATTGACATTTAGTATGAAAATGACATTTTAAACCAGTGTTCATCGCACGTTTAGCCTAGGCACAGACCACCGATTAGTTATGTCGGTAGTTTAGTCGGGCAGTTGCCAGTTGATTTTCATAGAAATTAAAATCGGGCCCAACTATCGGCCGACTAAAAATCTGCGCCTAGATTTAACTTTTTTGTAATAAGAGAACAACACCATGTTTGAGGCAATTAAAGATATTAAATATTTTTTGTTTATATTACGAGTGTTTTACCAATAGTAGCAAATATTGGGAATGTGTGTTCATTAATCAGGGCGAGGAACTTCGACATACGACGGCACGGCGATAGCTTCGGGCGTGTGCGCAGAATTGGCGCGTCGCGGGCCTCGCACCGTGTTCTCGACGCACTACCACTCGTTGGTACAGCACTTCGCGGCAGACCCTGGCGTTTTGTTGGGCCATATGGTGAGTTTCACTTGCTAAGTAACTTGCAGAAGCTACACATTTAGATGGCTAGTAATAGCTTGCAGTACTCAGACAACTTTACTAGGAATTTCCTCGGCTATCGCGTAGACTGTCTTTTAAGGAACTTGGTGGCTGTCGCCATTGGTCTCAAATATAGTCAATCCAATCAACGACTTTATGCTATTACTTTTTATCCTTTAATTTTTTTTATCATTATTTAGTTGAACTTAGCGTATAGATCCCTTCTGACCCACTGCACTACCAAACCTTAAGATAAATATGCCGTGTTTGGTATCATTTGAAAGCGCTTTACTTGTAAATTTACCGTAACAATACATAAGCCCTTTTAGGTAACATTTTATTTTCAGTAAATTTCGTCAAACTGCAAAATTGCACAGAGGTTAGGGTTGCATATAAACATAATTTATTACAAAACAATCCAAAATTTTGCAAATTTTACATTCAGTTATGGTAGTAGTGTCGATGGGAATGAAGATGTAAGGCCCTCAAAAATTACCCACGACACTACTGGCTTGGTAGTGTAGAAGGGAAAAAATATTCCCCACGGCACTACTGGTAGTGTGGTTTGGTAGTGCGGTGGATCAGAAGGGGTGTAGATCGTTTCATCCACGAAGACGCGCCTCACCATTCATCCGCTAATGTTTGAGTGTTATCGGTACACGCTAAATTATCCATGAGTGCACACGCACAATATACAATAATGACGCTCGGATTGCTCGGATCAAACTCCCCGCACCCCGCGCTTTCCCCAAAAATTGGTGGGGCACGTCTTCGTGGATGAAACGATATATACCTACTACTGTCTTAATTTCTTGACCTTATGATGATGATAATTACCGAACATAAAATAAAATGTTTGTACTGTAATTGAAGATCTCAGAACTCCAGTAGACAAAAACAAAGCGCCCATCAGCAAACAGATTTCAAACGTTTGATTGCATTTCTCCACAGGCCTGCATGGTCGAAACGGACGAGTCAACAGCCGACAACGAAGACCACATCCCTGAGGAAACCATAACCTTCCTATACAAGCTGTCCCCTGGCGCGTGTCCAAAATCCTACGGTTTCAACGCGGCTCGTCTCGCTGGAATCCCTAAGGAGATAACCAGGAGAGCGCACCAGGTATCTAAAAACCTGGAGAAGGAAGCCACGTGCGTTAGAGCCTTCAGAGATCTGATCAAGATGAGTGATGTCAAAGAAATGAGGCAGCTTTTGGCTTCTTTGAGCATTTAAGATCTGTTTTATATCTTTATGGCCAAGATCTGTATTGGAGTATTTTATAGAAACCCATTCACGGTACTTCTAAATATGTTACTATATTTCGTGAACTCGACACGACAAACGGCAGTCGTATTTTTATTGTTCATTATACTCGTATTATTTCATGTTTTAGCGTAAGAATGATCTTGTTAACTTTTTAAGGGTATTTTTTGTGAACCAAATTATTTTGTGCATAAACTACCTCTGTTGAACCTCGTTATTATCGCCATATTATTTTGTGATATGAATGAATGAATAGGATTCATACTTGTTATGTGAATTTGAAAAGATCTGTGATTTGAATGTAATCAATGTACAATTCCCACCAATAAACGTTTTAGTAATTAATACCTTCTTTTATTTCTAGACCTTCATAAAAAATCGTGTTTCATTCATTTTATTTCTTTATATTTCATTCACCTTTAGCTAAATTACAAAAAACATTGCACATCGTACATCCTTAAAACAATAAATATCTATGTAAATCTATTATTTGAAATCTTTTAGCATTATATACAGTTATGTATAGAACAAATAAAATATCAACAAGAAATCTATAGGGTCGTTACAAAAAAACTATCAGTTTTGTATAATTATATCACTCACTCAATTTACTTCATTAATCCATTCATTGTAGCTTTAATGAAACGACCTAATACATAATGTTATAAATGCTCTGATTTCTTTTATCTTACAATAGTATATGATTTTGATAATGTAATCGGAATGTTAATGAGATGTTCATATAATTGTATAGTAATATTGCAGCGATACTCAACCTTTTTTGTGGCCTCGGGCGGTATATCGTGATTTTTTCTTAGTGTTAATAAAAAAAATTAAGCTGCATAACATTTATAAAAGTTTTGCGGGCCGCAAGTTGAGTATAACTGATCTTTTTTTTTTGTATAAACAGGTTCGAGACATTTAATTATAAAATAATTTCACCGTTTTAAAATATGCAGTACTAAATGACTAGATCGCAATAAGTACATTCTTCATGGATAAACACAATAACAGCCATGATTAATAAACAGTGCGATCACTATAAAATTAAATCTAACATCAAAATGCATTTTCCTAATGGGTGGTTACAGTCAGCGTCAAATAGTTCAGTGGGCTGAGTGTGAGTTTACGTCAAACGCGCTCACTAGTGAGTGCATTTAAAAAATGTATGAAAATTTTCGTTTTTGAAAGTTTCCCGCTAGCTGTACAATCCGTCAAACATTTAATGTCATTTATTGACGCACTCACTAGTGAGCGCGTTTGAAAAAAACTCACACTAGGCCCTCAGGACACCCAAAGTGGCCAAAAACTTGACAACACATATTATTATGTAACAAAGACGTGGCCCGAACCTTTTGACTACTTTGGGTGTCACGAACTATTTGTTGCTGACTGTACCTAAGACCTAGTAAAGTGGCCCATAAACCCTTACAACAATCACATTTCAGCATTTCTCGTTACATACATGCTATACTTTTAGCATTGGAACTGCTTTTTGGCGACTACCCGCGACGCGACATCCCTCGTTATTTGCGCAAATAGTTTTTTGTGACATTACTCTTCATCCGGTAAATTGGAGAGGGACGTCATCATTTACACATACAACTAGTATATTTTATTTAAAAAGAATTGTGACATTTCATACACACTGTATCTTCCATCCATTCCAATAAATCATCTATGTCATGTAAAAAAATAAATGTAACATTTTGAAATTATAAATGTACCTATCATTCTAATAATTTAAAATCCTCTGCACCATGAAATAATTTGTACGTATAAAATATTCCCTATAAAAATATTGACGTAAAATAAAAGAAATACAAAATCAAGTGATGCGAAACACTTACAATAGTCATGAGATAAAATTACTTAAAAACCTACGAATAACAAAGTTGATGTATAATGATTTAATTATTATTCCATTTAACATTTATTTATATCGACAGGGAGACATTTAACTTTTTAATCATTTATCTCTCTCACTCATATAACATCTAAGTGGGAAATTTAACGCTCCACTATAGTTTAATTCTTAATTATTCTGTATTATTATATTAATTGATGGATAATGAATTAAAATGCGGTGGTTCGATTGATGTCTCATGTCGTATTACCCCTTTACAGCAGTCTTAATGTCAAAGCACTTGTTATGTACAAAGCTCGAAGCCCTGTACGTCTTGCGGACTTCCTAATATTAAGGAAAATATTTTTTTAAACAAGCTGATAAGAGAAATAACTTGTTTTCTCTAGAGTCTAGAAGTTCCATGAGTAAAGTCAGCATCAAATACATCGTGACACCGAAAGTGACCAAAAAGTTGACAGAGGGTTTTCGCGATTGAAAAATCCGCCAGATGGCAATACGTAGACGCGAGGTCCAAATGCTGCATGATTGGTTATTTTTGACATGACATAGACAGATATGTCAAAATCCACCAATCACGCAGCATTTGGACCTCGCGTCTACGTATTGCCATCTGGTGGATTTTTCAATCGCGAAAACCCTCATTGTAACAAAGACGTGTTGATAACTTTTTGGCTACTTTGAGTGTGACGAACTGTTTGACGCTGACTGTACATTTGTGTCGACCTAACATCCTGGAAGTTGGTGTTAGATTCCAGCAAATTACTCTTAAGCATATTTCAGATAAGTAGAATTTCAGTATACATTTTTTCGCCAAATCTACAGTAGCCTTCGTAAATCTCGATAATCAGCCCTTTGAATTATCTTTACATCATTCAGCACCATTTATTGTGTCCAATCCGCCACGACATTGTAAGGCTTGCATATTCTACGAGTCTATAACACACTTAAACACCACACTCAACTCCAATACTCATTTCGCGTTTAAACTAAACACCTAATACTTATATTGTACTTTGAATAAATAAATACAAACATTCAAAACGGTCATCATCTAAGTATTTTTAATCCTTTAAAATTAAACCGGTATTCCAAAACTAGAATGTTAAACACGGGTCATAGAAATGGACGTTTTTTTTATGAGTATTTCTCAAAAAAAATGTACATTTCGAAAAAAAAAGTGTGCTTTGAAACAGTTCAAAAGTTTTATATTTATAAATCATCACACAAAAAAAACACACACACAATTTTGAAGTATGAATATTAATCTTTAAGATAACGAAGAATTATAGCTATAATCCTACTTATTACCAAATATTTAGATATTTTAAAAATAGTCCTTTTTTACCTTTCATACAAAAACCTGTTTGCCACCCTAGCTTTTTCATGTATTTTTGTTTCATAAAATGCGATACGTAACTAAATTATTGTAAATTTCTTTGTATTATCGTTCTACAGTAATCGCAGTTTCTGTATCAAATTGATTTTCTATGGGGTGTCATAATGAATTGGCAATTTAAAGCAAAAAAACAAAATGAGTCGCTCTCATTTACTATTTCGTTATTTACTCTTTAGTTACGATTTATTTCTACTTTCCCATGGTTTCTGAACAATTCCGTATTTATTTTACACGGACAACAATAGCTGCACTCTGAATGGCTGTTGGCCTGACGTCTCCGCCATAACATCTATCGCGAAAATTAGTGAAAACGTGTGTGTTTTGTGGGATTACTTTTTCGTAACAGGCAGTAAAATCAGCGATTTTATATAGAACGGTAAGTCTTCATTTAACCATTTTTTGTAATACGTGTGGTACGAACATTTAGTAAGCTTTTATATTTGCTGTAACAAATTTTATCAAAAAAATACTTGTTTCTGATCTCATTTTGTCTAATATTTCGTTACGTTTTTTACGAATTTCGTTACGTTACGAAAAAGTACAACATAATGCTGAGTGTATACTGTTATTACCTGACTAAGCATAGTAATATTCACTACTTAATTTATTTCAAAAAATATAGAGCGTTAATAACAAAAGGATTGGATACTATCTGCTTTACAGAAGTGCCACCAGCAAAAAATTATCAAATCATTTAGATTACGTTTTTATGTGATTACTTATTTTGTTTTTTTAGGAATGCCGCCAAAAACCAATGCCGAAAGGCAAAAAGCTTACAGAGAACGACTCAAAATGGATAAACATGATGGAACAAAAATAATTTTATTAAAATAGTATGAATGATTACTCCCTTATTTTATTTCTAACCCCTTAATATTACCCCGTATTTGGGTGCATACTTACAAATATTTCGAATTGAATAAATGAAGAGCATTTACAATATTTCGCCAATGTATAACAAGCCTTATGGCCTTACTATTTCGTTACTACCGTTTCGTTACGTACATTTTTTTTGAGAAATACTCTTATAATAATCTCAGTTCAATAAAGCTCTGGAATACCGGTCTAATTTACTAGGAATTTCACCGATTTACAGGAGTTACACAACAGTCATGAATAATATACACAGCATTTTATTATTATCACTAAATTTTTGTCTAGTAGAATTACGTGGGCGATGTTATTGATTATTGGGTGCAACGTCTTTTTTTCAGAATTCCTAAGTTCTTTTGTTTGAGAGTGGGTAGCTTAGTTTCGATGTGTATTATTTCTTGACGAATTTCATACAGTTATACTTCAAACGGGTTTCATAAACAATATAGAGTAAACATAACCGGCATTTATACGGAGCGAGCAGAGAACACTTATAGAGGAACTGGACTGGCCCTTGCGTAAGGCCCGGTGACCAGCAAGGCGGAGAGAAGTAATTTGAATCAGATGTCCTGGTTTTCTAACATCTCCCTTAAGTACGCCTTGATGGAGACCGAGCCTTAAACGCACGCTAAACTGAGCCCCGATTACGGTAATTTTTAACGTCTTCCAGACGCGCTTCTGATTCTGCGATACGATTGGTCAAAACAGCTGACGTACGCTGTTGAACGACCAATCGTATCGCAGAATCAGAAGCGCGTCTGGATTGGAGACGTTAAAAATTACCGTAATCGGGGCTCTGTTCTCACTAGCTCCACATAAAGCCTAAAATATTATGCGCTGAGCCTCATAGTTCGCGAGCGTGGCGTGAGCGCATGCAGCGCGGCGCCTACACTCATAGCTCGTCGTAGCTCGAGCTCTCTCGCTCGTCGAAGGGCCGCGCGCGCTCGCCCCAACGCTCCCAGCGCTCGGAGCTAAGCAGCGACTCTGTGTCCTCTTCCTTAGCGGGCAGCGGGTACACGATCCCATCGCCGAAGCTAGCGCCACCATACACAAGTTTAATCATTTCTAAACCTAATAACCGAGCGTAATGATTGTGAAATCGCTTGATTGTAATCTGTTTGTAGGTACCTCCAAAGCTTTGATTTACCTATGCAGTGTCATGGCAGGTTTTGAAAATGTTAACGACTAATGGGCCTTTTGAAGCTGGACGGTAAAATAAAATACCTCGACTCTATAGAATTATAACTATGACCATAAATAAACTTATTTTCAGAGGCGATTCTACTGCTTTATATCATAGACGAATAAAATGTTGACTCTCACATACAAACATACAATAACAAATCTGATAATAGAATCTGAGTAGGTACAGTCAACGTCAAATAGTTCGTGACACCTAAAGTGGCCAAAAAGTTGACAACACAACCTTATTTATTCCAATGATGGTTTTCGCGATTGAAAAATCCGCCAGATGGCAATACGTAGACGCTAGGTCCAAATGCTGCATGATTGGTTATTTTTGACATGAAATTGACAGATATGTCAAAATCCACCAATCATGCAGCATTTGGACCTCCCGTCTACGTATTGCCATCTGGCGGATTTTTCAATCGCGAAAACCCTCATTGTAACAAAGACGTGTTGCGAATTATTGGCTACTTTGGGTGTTTTTTTTTATGTGACAGGAGGCAAACGAGCAGACGGATCACGAACTATTTGACTCTGACTGTATCTGAGCCGTAAACACACCACTGAAAATAAATGTATTTAAATAAAGAGAAAAGTTACACCGTGTTTACATGCCCGTGGTTTATACAACTGAATATTTGTGTAAAAGTGTGTTACATACAAATTATGTGCAAATGATTGACTGTAATGATTGTTACAACTAATTTCTCACGCATTCTACATCTATAAAGCTTGATCAATATTGTCTTTATTCATACTGGTGAGAGCCTAAAATGCTATCAAACTAACGCGCAGTACACCTAAATTGCTAAACAAAATTAGCATGCAAAAGGACACTAAATAATCCATTAATCTGGTCTACAATAAAAAAAGAAGTGAATGACAATAATTTTGACATCGTTTCTCGAAAGGGTGAAGTCGCCAATGAATGAAAAGCATGTTTAGTTGAACAGATTTATTTAAATATATTGTAATAAAAATATTGTGAAATGGAAATAATATTAATTAATAGGTAAATGCTATCCTTATACTATTTGGGGCACGGTCCGGCCCTTTCGAGGGCAAAGTCTCCACCGTTCAGTCTCGCGGCCGAGCTCCACGCTAAAATATCAAAAATCCCAATTTCTAATTTGACCCATACAATTTTTAGATTTAGAAGAAACAAGAAATAGAAAGTCGAAGATAAAAATGGGTGCTACAGAAGGAGGTATTTAAGATAATATAGAAAAGAGAAGATGGATCTTACCTGAGAGCATTTCGGTAAAAAATATACGCAATGTAAAATAATAATAGTAGAAAATATGAAAGATCTGAGCACCCAACCCATGCAAGAGATAAAAGAAAACGAAAAAGTTTACGAATATACTTTGTACTCATATACAGCACACAGACAGTATTATTATTTGAGTATTATTTTTGTATCCATTTGCTTGCTAATGGTAAGCATCTATGCCATGATGACTACAAAACCAAGCGTGTAATTTGTTTATATTGGCAACTAATCAATTATTTTGCCTATGTAGCCAATCCATTATGATGATAACCGATTAATTATCAAGTGTACGCGATGAAAGCTTAGTGTAGCGTTATAAAAATAAAAAACCAAAATAAAGAACAAAACATTTTATTGTGCACAAAACATACTTACAAAATATGAACAGTACTATAACTTTGTCAGTCTTGTGTGTTGTATATAGCTCAGAAACTATAAATGCATAAAAAAGCTATTTGCAGATATTTAACAATCATGTATCTCAGGTAATTAAGGTAGAAAAAATATTTTTATAAAATTTTATCGGCAGCCTAGCTAGCACACATAACTTGAGTATGGATGTATAGAGTAATAAAGCAAGTACTGGACATAATTATATTTTAAAGCTCCGTCATATTCGATTATTTACATTGAATGAGTTTACTTACTGTAAAACAGTACAAGGCCAAATTCATAATACATTACGTATTCAGTTTGTCATATAAGCTGACTATATTTATCTAGATTCTAGTTCAATCTATAAATTAACCTATTTATTATGTAAAATAAAAAATGAATCTAAATTATTTAATAACTAGTATAACTTAAATAGAACTATAAATTTTATTGCATCTCAATATTTATAATATATAAGTATATAAGTAGTATATCCGTTAAGCTAGCACCCATAACACAAGCATTAAGTTGCTTACTTTGGGGCTAGCTGGCGCTGTGTGAAATTGTCCAAAGATTTATTTATTATTTATAATATGAAATTTTTCAGGCAAGGTAGAACAACGTTGTAAAACAAATTAAACTAACATAGATTTTGGCACATGCTCAAGGAATAAGACAGTACTAAATAAGAGAGATTTCTGAAGACGACTTGAAGTTACGTCTTAGAATCTCGAGGAAATGCCAATGGTGGTGTGAGAGGTTTGGTTTTAAAGCTAGACACGGCACCCTAACCTAAAATAGAGATCCCAAAATCGGCATGATGCGTGTTGATTTGTTCGCACAGTTACAAATTGATAGTCACTTGACTGAACCTGCTAAAAAATCAACGCAATATTCTTAAATACTTAAACGTAGTTGTCTGTAGGTAATAATACGGTCATGCATATAACAAAAGATAAGCGTTGAGCTGTAAAACAAAGGAATGTCGACATGGAACATTCAGGCACCAGTCAAGTGACTTCACCCGTAACTCGCGTACAGTGCGTACGTCGCGCGCCCGTACTCGTAATTTGACACGATAGTCGCCCGTATTGCTATGGTCTATGGACTCGATTGTGAACCCTATTGTGTGGACTCAAGGTATGTGTTTAGCGTCGGCCGCTTCGTCCGTGAGGTCTGACCTGGACCGCGTGGTGCCCATGGACTCGTACCCGTGCGCCTCGTGCGGCGCCGTGAAAGTCTGGAGCTGGTGCTCGCGGCGCACTGGGAATTCGCACCCGTCGCCCAGGCTGGATAAACGACCACGGTTCAGAGGGCTTATGCCCGCATTCACTAACATTACTATTAGGTCTCAGCGCGTGGACGCACAGGGCGACACACGAACCAATCACAGAGCACTATTTAACCCTGTGCGTTCGATTTGCTTCACTTAAGCAAGCATCGTTTGTGAATACGGGCGTTAGTGTGAGTTTACATCAAACATCGTCACTAGCGAGCGCGTTAAAAATATATTAAGATTTTACTTCTTGAAAGTTCCGGTAGGGGCGCTGTACGATCCGTCATAAATTTAATGTCACTTTGTTACGCAGTCGACATCGAATGCGTTTGACGTAAACTCACACTACGCCCAAGAGCGCACGCGGTTTCATCACAATATGCTCCTTGACAACTAGGCGACGGTTGTGGTGATATAGTTGGTTGAGCCGCCAGTTCCGTTCAGCTTGAGCTACTTATAAGTACGTTGTTCCGATTGTTCAAACGCATAAAAATTTGTAAAGATAAATCTATAAATCTGCGGCTAAATTTACGAAACAAAATCACTAAATAACCAAAAAGAACCATCGAAGTGACATTATAAAAAATAACAACTGTTACTGTTAAAGTTCTTCCGAGAGTATATGCTATACCTAATTTATATCTCAGATTGTTGTAACCTATTTTGTTCTACGCTGAAATCAAGAGGCCAACTTAGCCCGTATTATGTAACGACATCTCAACACTCAAGATTCAAACTGAATACTTTAAATATTTAAAATTACTGAATCGAGTTTTGAGTCTAAAACCTAATAAGACTAAGACTAATAAGAGTACCAAAACGAAATCACTGTAACCGATAGAATAATAACTATAGGTGTACCAGAATCTCATGGCAAATAGGGAAAATAAACTTTGTTGAGAGCAATACTGGTGAAATTGGAATAAACGATCTTGATACTGTTTAATTTTTTACTTTTATGACTAATATTAATGAACATGAAGTACGAATATACATTTTAGGTAGGTATGTGTATGAAGAATGTTGTTATACATAGGAAAATGTCTTGAAAATTAAACAAATCGTCTGTGAGAAAAGAAATGTCTGAGAAATTAATTATTTTAATTACCTACATATTTTCGCGTGGAACTGAAACATAGGCGGTGCCGTTCTTTTTGTATATGGCCAGGTCTGGGCTATTTAAAAAAAAGGTTACAAAATTTTACTGAGAAAGAATCTTGAGTGACCCTAGCTGAAAAATTTAAAACTGCTAGATTTTAAAAAAAATGAACTGGCTGGATCATGGTGATTTACTGTTTGTACTCCGAATGACTGTGTGAATACACCGATCAAAATGGCTTGAATAGTTATGCGCAACTTTAGGGCCCTGTAACGTATTTATTTGTAGAGATATTTTCATGATTATTTCACAATTATTATTAGTTCTACTTATATTTATTTCAAGTTTATTTCAAAGAAAAAAATTGGAAACTTCTCCATTATTCAATCTTGCTTTATGAAATATTTTGCAATTTTCTTAACATGGTCATAACATCTGCACCAATTTGTGAGATATACCTGAAAACCCCGATAAAGCAGCTATTAACTAAGAATAATATAAAAAAACACAACCCTCCTTCTGACACAGTTGGGTAATAAACTAAATGTATCAAAACATTTCAGTCCAACTTACTGTCAACTCGACGACGCGCTTTAGAATCAAAGATCGACTTTGAATTATGCCTTATTTTACAATTCACATTGAAAACAATATGCCTTGCTTGAACTTTTTCGATTTTTTCCCAATAATAACAAATAGTCAAGAAGAGATTACAAAAAAATTGCAGCGGCTGACAGATTTCATAATTTTCTTTGACAGGTGACAATTAAACCATAGACAATTGCCATATGAAAAACACACTTTTCCAATATTTTTGTTTGCCATGAGATTCTGGTACACCTATATAACTAAACTGAACTGACGGCCATGGAAAAAATCACGTACGCAATGTCAGGGACCATGTTATAATGAAAGGATAAATATATCGGACACAAAATAATACAGGAAGGGGTATAAAATAAAATAAAATCATGTGATTAGTGAGTCAAACCAAAGTGTTAAAATATGTGCATAGTGTTAATAAAAATAGGTGGGGTACGGGCTATAATATAGCTGGTATTATTGAAGTAATTATTTCTATTTATACATAATACACGCGTTAGCAAGAATGCGAGGTAAGCTATACACCACTAAATTTTTATCACCGAAAAAGAAAATTCTGGGTAATGAGTTATTGATACTGATCCTATTTATGCAAAAAAAAAGTTAAATAAAGTTACTCAAAATTTCCTCCCAAAATTGGTAATTTATGGACACACGCGTCGCTAGCACTATTTACGTAAGACAATGTAACACTTATTAGAACTGAACATGGTCTAAGTTAGCTAAGTATGTAATAATAACATTGGAAGCGTGGTCGAGGCGTGAGCGAGACAGACAGATCGGGGCAATATGCGAGCGCGTACGACTACTCTAGCGAGCAGCGGAGTGACCCAGCTGTGACGCGTAAAATACGGACTAAAGAAAATTAATTAAAAAAATTAAGCTTATGAAAAACATTTCTTTTTTTTTGCTTTAAATTTTTCACACGTTTCTACATAACCTGTTAAAATTTTTTCGGTGATAAAAATGTAGTGGTGTAGAAGTGGTTATGATGCACAGGATGACGTTGATGAATAGATGGCGTTAGAGTAACTGATTCATGATCATGAACATCAATGAATTTCCCTTAAAAATATGATAATAATGATACCATTTAATGATTTAGAATATATCAGAAAACCCACAGCAGAAACTTAATTAGTTTTTTTTATTAATTGTTGTTTCATGCCGAAAACTTTATTTCCAATAGACGATACGGGATTTTTACTAATCTAAATATAACACTCATATTCCATTTTGTTAGAATTGGTCATTCACTTCTTTTTTTCACACATTGAGTCATGCACACTGACCCACACTTTACAGAATCCGACAAGAAATAACATTGACCTATGGCCCACAAAAGTGACTTCAATTTCTTGATAATGAACATCTATTGGAGGAGTTTTTAACTTTCACGAGTTGAAAACTTATCATGTTTGTTTTTAAAAGACTGAAATAAAGACCCTTTGGGTAGAAAACGCAAAACTACATAAGAAAGTACCACTTTAAACTACCAAAGTGCGCGTGTTCTCTGCATATAGTCACCGTTAATTTGATTTATTTGTTTCTATGTACAAGTTTTGCTTTGTTTTTTAGCTGTATTTTGTTCATAGACGTACAATTTACAATTTGGCTTATCGAAACATACAAACAATTAGGTTTTATGTAACAAAAATTGTGTATTTCTTGTCGGGGTACTGTTGTTAAAACATAGACACATCTATTAGTATCAACACATGCATGTGTATCACATCTTCAAACTATTCATTTGTTATTAGCTATTTTACAGACATCGATGTGTACCTACGCAAAAGACCAGTGCCATCTTTTTGCCTAAACTTTTAAACCACTTCTAGTAAACTGATCTGTTTGGGAATTGAACCCAGAACTCTGAAATTGTGCTAATCCTTTCCTATGTTTACGTTTATACTATTTTTAGCATGCATAAATCTCTCTGTATCACTATTTCAACTGCCTAGAGCCAACAACAAGTTGGTATCACTTGGTAGTTTTTATTGGTGTTGGCAGTGTAAGAAATCACGTGGTAGTTTTTTGGTGTTGCCAGTGTAAAAAATAAATGTGAATGGTAGTTCTATGTTACCTTGTGAAGACGGGAATCATCCAGAGGTTGGGATTGTTCCCGAATACCTCCTTGAAGTTGTTGTAAGCACCTATAGAGAAACCGTTCTTGTCAGCTCCACCTCGGAACATTGGAGCCCGGAACGCTTCTGTAAATTTATAATATGAAAATTAAATCGACTTTCAATAATTTCGATTTTAGGTGGTTTTGTTGAGTAAAACTTTGGACAAAAAAATATTGTATCTTTTTTTGTGAATACAAATTACTAATATACCCCTCGAGGTAAGCTAAATATGCTTGTGTTAAGAATGGGTTCACTACAAAAGTCCAGCGGCCAATGCGATACCGAAAATTGACACCATTGGTCTATTTGTAGCTTATTTTTATATTAAATACATGATGTAATTTTATCTTTTCAATATAATTTTTCCACATATCCGGGAGTTTCAACTCTACAATAAACTAAATACGGTTTTACAATCATTAGGTGGCAATTAACATAAAGTCTATAAATACAGAGCGACCTAAATATTATGTTCAAACATCAAGTAAGAGATCCTTAACAAACTATACGCACTTTCTAGGTTTTTGTTTACATCTAAACTACTCAAATAGATTGCTAGTATGATGATTGTCAAATTGTCTACATAATATCAGAAGTGACGGTGTTACCGTTGACCAAATTCTTTAGGAGGGAATTTATAATCTGACCGGTTGGAGTGCCCGTACGGCGGTATGATACCAGCATATCTGAAATCAAATTGTGCTTTAATATGTTGATAATAACGTTCAAAATTGTGTTGGGAATTCATCAGCACATAATTTACTCTGGTATCCTGACAGCTAGATAGAGAGAGATAGATATATATATGAGAGAGAAGAGAGGAGGGAGAGAGAGGTGGTATGTTGCAAGTCAGGATAGTGAAAGTTACAGTTAAAATATTTGCATTTACTGTCACTTCTGATATCATTAATGTTAAAAAGAAAATACATAATTTAACCTACAACAGAAACTGATACATAGAATTAAAAATGATGTTTTACACAATTTAGTTCACTAAAAATACCAAGGTTTACCAACCTAGAGAAGTCACATTTATTGGCGTTTAACTTTATGTCACCATATTTTACACTTTATTAAAATAATATAAGCTTTACAAACCTAGAGTAGTTGACCAGTGATGTAACTGTTGTCAGTGCCACTGTATTTTGAACTTTATTGAAATAACATAAGGTGTACCAACCTAGAGTAGTCCTATTAGAAGCGACCAGTTCGGACTGTTGTATTTTGAACTTTATTGAAATAGCATAAGGTGTACCAACCTAGAGTAGTCCTATTATTGGCGACGAGGTAGCAGTGATACCCGAAAAGCGAGCCCAACGATATCGCAAACATCAGCGACACGAAGAATGCAAACACGATGTGGTATCGGCCCGCGCCCGCTGCGGTTCCGAAATCACCCTGGAAAAAAAAATACGTAAGAAAAAGCTACTACTAGGTGGACTGACGATCTGGTAAAGGTCGCGGGAAGAACGTTGATGCAGGCAGCGTTCATTATGGAACGCCTTGGAGGAGGCCTTTGTCCAGCAGTGGACGTCATTTGGCTAAAACGAACGAAGAAAAAGCTGGACGCAGGCAGGAATCATGTGATTGAGTCAATGTACATACAGTCAGCGTCAATTAGGTTTGTTGTGAAAAAGTTCGCGATACGTCTTTGTTACAATTTGAAGAAGGTTGTGTTGTCAACTTTTTGGCTACTTTGGGTGTCACGGACTATTTAATGCTGACTAAAGCCCGGTCTGTGAGCACGTAGAATTTTGTCCAATGACTCCAAGCTACCCATCCTTATCGCTCGCGCGTAATTATGTTGCTGTCGCGCTCGCACACTCACTGCGGGCGCCCGTCGCACAGTCGCGACAGCAATATAATTACGCGCGAGCGATAAGGATGGGTTGCTTGGGGTCATTGGACAAAATTCTACGTGCTCGTAGACCAGACTATAGAAATCATTTACGCCTACAGGTCTAACGATTAACTGGGTCAGGCCTGAGGTATGGGTGTGACACGGGAGGGGTGACATTCGACGTGACAGAGCATACAAGTCTGAAGCAAAACTGAAGTTTCGGTGACGTTTGACGTCACAAAAACCCCGTGCCACTCCTCAGGCATTGAGTTATACGTTAGAACTGTAATATTAAATGCTGGTAATCATAAAAAATGTGACTAATGAGAATCAAACACAACGTAACAATCGTTCAATCGGTCGTCGATCGCGTCACGGTACAACGCTGTAAAGAATATAGTAACTTGTAATCAATTAACGACAATGCTAAAGTACTTTATTTACACAACATTCCATATCTAATAATCTACTACCGTTTCTAATCGAGTTTTGTTTATGTTTATTTGAACTTCAGGTCGCAGTATCTAATATAAACTACGATTACAGCGCTAATTATACAATAACTAACTACACATTTTGTTCCACATTGTTTGTATAGAAATTATAAAAAAGTCAGCCCACTGCGCCGTTCAAACAACGTGGAACACTATCTATTTCTCTTTGCTAATTACGGTTTTACTAAATAATCATAATCTGTTCCGTACACGGATAACTACGTCACTAATCTTGTATTCGGCCAGTGTGTATCTATCAGATAAAGATATCAGATAAAAAGCCCACATGCCCAGTAAATAAAACGAATACGTAAAATTACGAACTCGAGATATAAACACGAATTTCTTGCATAGTAGTTTGTAATAACCAATTAATTAAAAATCTGCAAGTTGCACAATTTATTTTCGATTACAAAATTATTGAGTCAATCTGTGTAATGTATTTTTAATGACTTTACGACTATAACTGAACTAAAATTAATTATTACAACTTGTACACTAATACGCAAACCGACCTACGATTAAGTATGAATAGCATGCATTGATTACGTTCACAATGTCCATGCAAAGCTTGGAATAGGTCCCCTTTTCGATCAAGCGGTCGCAGTGGGCATGCTTGTATTCTTCGTACATCTGGAAATCAGTATTCATCATCTTCAGGTCATATACGCCCGTATTCACAAACATTACTATGAGGTCTCACAGTGCGCGTGGACGAAGGGTCACACACGAATAAATCACAGAGCTCTATTCAACGCTGTTCGTTCGATTTGCTGCTTCACTTAAGCAAGCATCGTTTGTGAATACGGGCGAGAGAGTCATGAATGTGACTATGACGGTCACTTGACCAGTAAATGAAAGTTAAAAAAATTAAAAATAATTTATTAGAACATGTTTGTCAGGCCGACAAGGACCTTAAAACCACATGAAAAAGGATCAAATTCCGTGGTTAATTTTGTCTGGAAATATCTTGATGATCGCGGTTTGTTACGTCAACAGTGACCACACCCGCCATGTTAGTTAGAAAGAAACTGAATAAATAATAAAAGGCAGGGCAATGATAATGGAATGATAAGCAGACCACCCGTACTATTACTGATATGATTTTTAGGGCCACATGAATGTTGAACTAACCAATGTAAGACATTTGTAGCAATATCGTGGAGGGGGTACTTTGTAACCCATCATTGAAAGCAGTAACTGCAGATCAAAACTTCCAATACATCGAGACTATACGTCTTAGATAGTACATACCTAGTACTTATAGTATGCATAACATATCAAATAAGGTAAACAATTTCGCATAATGACAGCGATCGAGTCTTTTTTTTAATTAACATAATTATTCACTGGTGAAAAAATATTAATAGCCTAATTTACATCTGTAAATAAATAATAATTTGCGTTTTGACTGACAGTGAACAAGTAGTGTGAAGACAATATTAGTGAATAGCGACTTGTACTAGAATTTATTGTCATGCAATTTCTCTTGCAATTTTTCATAACTAGGAAATCAAAATTCCTCGATATCGCCCTCATACTCGTAAGTAGGTGGACCGACGATCTAGTGAAGGTCGCGGGAGGTGCCTGGATGCGAGCGACTCAGGGCCGATCTTTGTGGAAATCCTTGGGGGAGGCCTTTGTCCAGCAGTGGACGTCTTTCGGCTGAAACGAACGAACTCTGCACATTCCGCACTCACCTTCCAAAACCTTATGAAGTAGGGCAGGCAAGTGGACATAATGAAGAGACAGTACAGCAGCGCGTATCCCAGGAACAGCATGAAGAACTTGTAATTGTAATAGCAGACGCAGTTGTTGACCCACGGGCAGTGGTGGTCCATCTTGAGCACGCAGCGAGAACAAATGCTGCAGTGGTGCGCTCGGTCTGGCTTCACTAGCACGCACCGGTTGCAGTAACGGACGGAACCAGACATTGTTCTGGAATACGTAAATACTATTTTAAAACCTGCACAACAAATATCTAGCACTAACTTATTCCTAACGGAGTGGTTCAGGCAGACCGGAATTTGAAGAGACTACTCCCGTGGATTTAGTAAGATACGAGTAAAGGACAAACCTGTCGACAGTGTGATGTTTTGTGACTGTATGAAATAATAATAATAATAATAAATCTTTGGACAATTTCACACAGCGCCAGCTAGCCCCAAAGTAAGCAACTTAATGCTTGTGTTATGGGTACTAGCTTAACGGATATACTACTTAAATACTTTTTTTTTAAATACATACATATTATACATAGTAACACCCAGACCCGTCAGAAATTAAAATTCATCATTTCAATTTCTGCCCGGCCGGGAATCGAACCCGGGACCTCTCGGCATAGTAGTCCGCTCTGAACCACTACACCAAACGGCCGACATAATCATAAGAAATGTCACACGCACTTTTCATTCAGGCATAATGTCAGAACATGACATTTGCCACACCCGAATCGAAAGAAAAAACGCGCGCGGTATAGATGACCCACGCTGAACTGTCCCGCCAAACTCAATGACAGGGGGGCGCTACCATCGTTCAACTATATGGTTTCCAACATGGCAAAAATCGGAACCAGCGATTCGGTATTGACGGTGGCGCCCCGCTGTCAATGTCATCGACAGGACAGTCCAGTATTTTGGAACTATAACTAGGATCGCTTCCCGATTTGAGATATTGCAAGCTACAGAAACGCGGCTCCAAGCAATTAAGTCTTATGGAAGTTCAAGTTATATCGTGGTTGCTGGTTACAATCAGAGATTGAAATTGACAAATAATATGAAATAGAACCATCAAAATTCAGCAACTATCAAACGAACCAAGCATGGAATACTTTCACATTCATGGCTTAAACAATGGTAGGCGCACGCCTTACCTCTGCATGAATATTCAAGTATTGTTTTGGTGTAGAAAACCGTACAAAGAAGAACGGTCATCTGTGACCCAGGCCCGACAGAAACGAGACATACCTCATTTTTTTTGTCATGTCTTACTTAGTTAAATTATATATTTTTTATATTCGAAATCTATGTATAACACCAAAATATTACCCTTTGTTTTTGTTCAGGCGTTATACAAAAACTAATACAAAATGCCTATTTATCACCAAAATTGGTAAATGTATGTACCTAAATGTCTATTACAGCTGCTATGGAATGTATCTAGGTGACCTGGAGATACAGCCGGATTATACAGGGTGGAAACGAGAAGTTACAAAATCCAAAAATTCAATGTTACCAGCTTCCATAATCTGTAACCTATTATTGGTACCATTTGAAAGAGCTCGTGAAGCACTTTCAGAATCAGTTACTAGTTTTTCGATATCTTGTATAGTTTAGAAGTAATCGAGTGAGATCACTTATCGTTCCATATGTATAACCACCCTGTATAATCCGGCTGTATCTCCAGGTCACCTAGATACATTCCATAGCAGCTGTAATAGACATTTAGGTACATACATTTACCAATTTTGGTGATAAATAGGCAATTTGTATAAGTTTTTGTATAACGCCTGAACAAAAACAAAGGGTAATATTTTGGTGATATACATAGATTTCGGATATAAAAAATATATAATTTAATTAATTAAGACATGACAAAAAAACTGAGGTATGTCTCGTTTCTGTCGGGTCTGGGTTTTTTTTGTATGGGGCGTGACCGTTCTTCTTTGCGCATATTTACGTGGACATCAAGAGAGTATATTTCACATTTCCTCATTTGTTATCGCGTAAAATTTTCTCTAGCTGCCTTTTACCTGTTGAGATAATGGTTATCCATGACTTTACATTGTTTATTGGTAAATCGAATTCAGAACTAAGTACATAAAATACATTTAAAGCTAAGTACCAACTTTAGGACATAGACATAGGTAGATATTAGCATGGGCCTTTATCAACCTACCTTACATTTATAACTAAGTCGCATCGAGAAAATAGAAATTTTGCATTGCAGTAGTGTGGCATTTAGTTGCTGAATATAAGTGGTACAACAGGTTTGGACATTTTATAAATGGAGCCGAAAATAGATATTAATCTTAATTGACTCTGCCGTCCTGCGCCATGACAAGCTTTTAATGAGTCATCATTATGATTGGTGTTGGTTGGTTTACCCGGGATCATATCCGCAGTTCACAACTACAGGTAACTATATAGTTCTATGTTTAGCTGATAATGTATAGTTAGTGTCGTTATATCTTTAGACATTTGATTATAAAAGATGCGCAATATAAACTGGGTTGGCTTCTGCATTATCCAATATGAGTTGAAATCCTTTGGTAATTCAATATTATACAAGGAAATACATCAGTTAAAATCGGTACAATCGTTTTCTCACTTAGGTACATTAAATGCATACGATTTAGTCCATGTATACATATAGGGCAAACTGGGCGACTACTACATTGTATACAGGGTGTCCCAAAAACAATGGATAACCCTGTAACTATCGATAGGCCTTGCCATGGTCTCCCTAATGTCCAATTTTGACCCCAGTAAAAATATCACCGTTTTCAAGATTTTTAAGTTTTTGTGCATTTTTAGAAAATTGCCACCTGCGTTTACTTTTTCTCATGCCATTTCTACAAATGAGGATACTTTTCAATCTAGTTTTTTTCCTTATCACAAGGGATAGTTGGGCTATCAAAAGAAAAGATTAAAGTTCAACAAACTAGTTTAAAAGTATGAAAATTTTAAGAAATTGCAGAGAAGAAGGAAAAATTAATTCATTGTCTTGCACTTTTGATCAGCCGTCGTGTAAAAAAAATGTAGGAAGACCATCGTGCCCATTACCTTAAAAACTTCCTTGGTTAATTGAGATTCTAAAAAGATATCACAAACCTATGTATTTTGTATTATTTTTATCTTATGGCTACTTGAATAGAAACTATAGTCTATCCAATATAGCTTGATTAGAATGACAGCTGCCATCAAAAGTAACGACATAACTTTGTAGTAGCGATCAATGAGAGCTAAATATTGGCGGACAAGAAATAATTCACGTCTGACCTACAAACAATATTTTCGACGACAGTGCTTCCAATAAAAATGATAATTTCGTGTAAATGCAGCGTTAAATTACACCAATAAGTAGTAATTCGAAATTATAAAAATCAAGCTAGAGTATTAACGACGTCTCTACAAGGTTATCTCGAGTTACAAAAATGTTAGTGTTGGGACATATCGACAAATGTCATATTAAATTAAAACTAATTTTTTAACATATTTAACAGATTTTTTTTCTAACTAATTTTTTAACATATTTAAGTCAAGTTATACGTTTTTCTAAATGTTCACTATTAAAAACCAAAAAACATTTCATTCTTAAATAATCAAACATCGGAAATCAATCACCGGTAATTTTTTGGGTATTCATAGCACCGTTGCTCTAGAAGAGATGCCCACCGCCCTCTAGCGAGAGGAAAAACCACTGAAGAACACTGATGATAATGACTACGACTTAGGTTGTACACCCTTGACATGAATTTTAAATTTTACTGTCGTTAAATTTAAATCATAATTGTCATTTTTATGAATAAATATATGAAGAAAAATTGGGTGCATTTTTTTATATCATTTTTTCGAAAACTTATCGATACATCTATGTGAACCGTACGAAACATACCCAGCACTAGTCACATTCGTTTGACAGCCGTCATTCTAATCAAGCTATATTGGATAGACTATAGTATGAAAACTGCAAAAATGAGTTTTTCTCGTAATAGTTAAACTAGGACTGCATAGTGGCATTAAATACAAAATTGGATAATTTTTAGCGTAGGAATTTTAATAAAGCAACATTTTATCATCATCATCGTCATTTCAGCCATAGGACGTCCACTGCTGAACATAGGCCTGTACCCCAATGATTTTCATAATGACCGCTTGGTAGCGGCCTGCATCCAGCACCTTCCTGCTTACCTTTATGAGGTCGTCGGTCCACTTTGTAGGTGGACGTCCTACGATGCGCTTTCCGGTACGTAGCCTCCACTTTAACCCTGCTTCCTCAGTTCTGCAACCTACTGTGCCCTGCCCATTGCCACTTCAGCTTGCTGATCCGTCGAGTTATGTCAGCGACTTTAGTTCGTTTACGGATCTCCTAAATTCTGATACGGTTTCGTGAAGAAACCCGAGCATAGCCTTCCATAGCACGCTGTCCAAAAAATTTACGTTTCCGAGCCGTGTATTATCACGGGTCATCTGTCTATAGGCACATTTATAAGGTTTAAAACAAAAATTAAGTAATCACAAAAACGCAGAACGGACGGCCAATGGGGCAACAGGGTTCAAGTGGAGGCTACGTACCGGAAAGCGCATCGTAGGACGTCTACCTACAAAGTGGACCGACGACCTCATAAAGGTAAGCAGGAAGGTGCTGGATGCAGGCCGCTACCAAGCGGTCATTATGAAAATCATTGGGGTACAGGCCTATGTCGTAGGCCTGGGGTAGGTAGGAGAAAGAGGTCAATCGTCGAATCCAACTCGGCTGGGCAGCGTTCGGGAAGCTACGCAATATACTCACGTCCGAAATACCGCAGTGTCTCAAGACAAAAGTCTGGCGACCACGGGCTGGAAGACGTAGCGTGGGCAGGCCTCCTACTAGGTGGACCGACGATCTCGTAAAGGTCGCGGGAAGAGCCTGGATGCGGGCAGCGCAGGACCGTGCATTGTGGAAAACCTTGGAGGAGGCCTTTGTCCAGCAGTGGACGTCATTTGGCTGAAACGACGACGACGACAGGCCTATGTTCAGCAGTGGACGTCCTATGGCTGAAATGATGATGATGATGGTGATAAAATGTTGCTTTATTAAAATTCCTACGCTAAAAATTATCCATTTGTATTTAATGCCACTATGCAGTTCTAGTTTAACTATTACGAGAAAAACTCATTTTTGCAGTTTTCATACTAGTTGCTATTCAAGTAGCCATAAGATAAAAATAATACAAAATACATAGGCTTGTGATACCTTTTTAGAATCTCAATTAACCAAGGAAGTTTTTAAGGTAATGGGCACAATGGTCTTCTTACATTTTTTTTACACGACGGCTGATCAAAAGTGCAAGACAATGAATTAATTTTTCCTTCTTCTCTGCAATTTCTTAAAATTTTCATACTTTTAAACTAGTTTGTTGAACTTTAATCTTTTCTTTTGATAGCCCAACTATCCCTTGTGATAAAGAAAAAAACTAGATTGAAAAGTATCCTCATTTGTAGAAATGGCATGAGAAAAAGTAATCGTAGGTGGCAATTTTCTAAAAATGCACAAAAACTTAAAAATCTTGAAAACGGTGATATTTTTACGGGGGTCAAAATTGGACATTAGGGAGACCATAGCGAGGCCTATCGATGGTTACAGGGTTATCCATTGTTTTTGGGACACCCTGTATTTAGCTAATATAAACGACTATGTAAATCTAATATTTATAAAGACCAGTAGTAGAGTGACCACTGTTTGATTACTATTTAGTGATTTATCTCAGCTTATTACTTCGTACTTGACATTCGCTGTTAAAATAATTAGTTAACTGTTTTGTTTGTAAAGTAAATTAGCTCTAGATAATTATACTACGGCTTTAGTCGTCAGACGAACGGAAACATAATTGCATTTTTTACTACAATGTATTTTTAAGAAAAATAGAGTTCAGTCAAGTAGGTATTCTTCAACACCGAGGGTGTATATCTCTATGGTCCATGAGCTTCTACTCTACACTTTCCGAAGATTGGTCCGACATGTATATTACACTTCAACCCATGTGTCATTGTTATTAAAAGGAGGGCAGATCGCAATCGTTGGAGATAAATAAACAGTGGATGTTTTAGTAACAATCGCCCAACAGTTACAAATTGAGGTCCATTTTCGGCAGTGGACTACTAAAGACAAATTTCGAACTCCTCCTATGTTCTTCTGATTAATTTCGTTGCGGGTCCAATGACAGTTTAACTTTCCCCCGGCACAAACTTGACTTCACTGGTTGGGTTTTTATGGCGGTCAAGCAGTAGATCCTGGCTACACAGGAGTTGCAGTGGTGGGAACGAGAGGTGGGAATAGTCCCGTTACTGAAGACAAAAAATATGGTGACTGAGCACACGAAAAACTTTGTCGCAACAGAACTGCCTTCTAGCAAGATGCTGGCACCTGACAATCATAGGTAGACGGAAACACAAGACAGATTTCCTGGATACCAGTAAAAGCTATGCTTCTGGTACGTCCAGAAGGAAAAACATTACAATCATTCATTAAAATTTGTAGAATGACCCCCATAATGAGCGTCTCTTACCGAATAACCAACACAAATTAAAAAAATAATGTCAATGGGCAATAGCGATCGCCTACCAAGTCACCCACGAACCTCTAAAAAAGTTTAATTTGCATATTTGTGTAGGCAACTGAATTCTGCGAGTATATAAAGACGGGAGCGGATGTTGGTCTCTTATAAATATAATTTTCGAGTTCAGTGACTTATAAAAAACTCGGTCAAGGACTGTTTTGCATCGAGTTAGCTGAGCTGCTGTGAACCGCACGTGGAGTAACGGCCAACGCGGGCGGCATCTAATTATAGACTACTTACTTCGTTACATCTTGTTAACCGAGGTGTTAAGTAGTAAGTGGCTAATCCTTTGTGAGCAGTTTAAATTTGCTTGAACCGTTTGTAAAGTATACGCGAAGACACTGGTTTTTCCGCGAGGTATTTGGCCTAGTAGTCGTCATAGTTTCAGCTAAAAATCCACACTGCTGGACGAAGGTCTATCCCAAGGATTTCCATAACGACCTTCAACGGTAGTTACTTCTTTCCTTGTCTAGGTGGGGCAGATCGACTTAACTATCGAACAAAACGAAATCGCCTTTCATGTTAAAAAGATTGTTGAAAGCCTGTTTATTTATCTTTACTCATCTGAGAAGAGCATATTTATCACAAAGTTAAAATAGTAGATACGACTGAATTGATTGATAGTGATTGGTATCGAATCAATTTCCAATACGGGCGATCACAACAATCGGTTGGTAAATATAACTTAAATCCGAAAAGGAATCTCTTTCAGCCACTTGTATTTTGCGATCATAAAACAAACAAGGCGCCTATCCTCTATCAGGTGAATTATTTAACGTTTCACGCCCAAAAGGCTGTAAAAAGAATTTTATGGCGATCTACAGGGTCAATCTACGTACCTACATATTTATTATTCAACACGCCTTTTCCAAGAAAAGGTAGAGCTACCTACTTATGTACTACAGGTAGGTACGAGGTATAGCCAACGGGTCGTGAAAAGAAATGCGATAAACAAAGTAGCGATTGCTATTCAGCAAGTGAACGTAACGATTATAAGCCTTCTTGTAAAGGCATGTAGGACTAGGCTAATTGCTAGAACGGTACATACTCTATTAGTCATAAACAACGGTTTAACATAAGAATTTTACGAATGATTTCACTATTATGTATCGAATGTTACGTTAAACAACTTACATCATCGTTACAATGATCGCTAAGTACGATTCTAGAACTTATTTAGTAGTTAAGACTCAACAAATGAGGAAAATCTATGACTTATCATTTAAATGATTTCGATTTTTAATGTACTGCTATTTTCTCAATTCTAGCTACATCAAGAAGAAACTGAAACAAACCTCGTCAACACGTTAGTGGAATTACCGAATTCCTCGATTATCTCTTTTTTGCTTTGAATCCAAAAGAATTTACCATAGTATCTTCTTAACGCAATTTTAACTCTAGAATTGAGAAAATACCAATGTATAAATAAATCTTAAAAACGTGGTGCAGTGCAAACCTATTATAACTTTAAAACATTATAATTTTCCTCTTAATTGACTACACAAAAGGTCATCAGTCAGACTCAACGTCGGCGTTATTTCCTGCAATATAAGAGCTACTTTTGCAATGCAAATGTTACATCTGATTGATATTTTGTGACTATGTGTACTTCCTCAAGGACAGTAGTAATAGTACACTATTAATATTTAAAAAAATACCCGTACTAGCATGATAATGAATCATGTTAATCATCATTGATAGTACAGACAAGATTATTTTCCTTCTTTGATAAAGTTATCCTGCTAAATTCGTTTATTTCTAGTGTGACTCATAATTATCTAATAATGATGATTAATTTCGCACAAAGTTAAAAGAAATTATGTGTTACAACACAAGTATTAAAGAGTAGATTGGAAGATTAATATGTATAAGTGTTCAGAAAATCTCCTCAACTTCTTTGGGATCAAGTAAATCCAGTCTCTCAAAAGAGAAAATAAGCAATTTTACATGTAATGAAAGAATTTCACTAATGCAAAACAGTATGCAGTACATTCTTTTGATGTTCATTTTATATAAAAAAAATGATTTAATGAAAACTAGTATTGAGACCCACTGAAATATTGAGATATTTCAGTGGGCATTAGCTAAGCTAAAAGGTTTAATGACATGACTTTCAGATGATGTATACTCCACTGAATGAGGTAAAATGTGCAATTACTTTTATCAAACATCCACCATTAACAGAGTGATAAGATTTAGCTGATATTGTAGTTTTGTGTAAAGGTAAGTACAGACTAGACCATTTACTTGTAAAAGGAAAACGAGCTGCTCTACTAAATGTTCTAGTGTCAGTATCAGTGTAACCCTGTCACAAACTAAACATACATTTTACCTGTATTATATCATTTATAAGAACATTACATAGAATTGCTCTAGACCCCTTATTAATAAAAAGTTACACCTAGGATGAACACTGGATTAAAATGATATTTCCCTACCAAATGGCAATTTAAGCCAGAGTTCAACTAGGTTTTTTTTTAATATTGATCTTTTATAATGCCTTGCAAAAGGTGCTATTGGATTACCCCAGTTGCAAGACGGTGTGCTATTTTTTTGGATATGAGTTGGACTACATTCTATTTGTTGTATTCTTTTAGGTGAGAGTTCAACTAGGGTGTAACTTTTATTAATAAGGGGGTTAGTCTATACTCTCCTTAACATTACAATCATGGCAAATATTTACCTTGTGACTATAGGCAGGTCTTTGGCAAAGTTCTCGAGGATTGTCCTTTGAGCATCCTCTGATTCTGCACTGAGTAATTTTTCTAATTCGGCTTCCGGCAACTTATACTGCAAAAAAGAAACAGGGATGTTATGCTGCATAAATCTATAATTATTCGGAACCAGGACATGCATATTTATTATCAAGTTTATATAGATAGATCCTATGTGTAAATCACACCTGGACTCCTCTTATGTAGGACCCAAAGAAAACACAATTGTAAACACTTAATATGCAATAAAAAATTTGAATTTGAACAATTATTTATCAAATTGATAATAATTGATTGATTATTTATTACACTGAATTGAATCTTACTATATTACTTAAATTTCCCCCAATATTATTTAAGTTTTTATTAAAATATGAAAGAATTTTGGCCAAAAATAATTGTTTAAAAGCAGAGTTATTGAAACACTACGGTCAGAATATGCCAATAAACCAATTAGATTTATGAGAAAGACACAAAACTAAATCATTCACCAACTTCTTTGTTAAATAAATTATTGCTAGTGATAGTTTAAATAAGTTTCCTGATTTTCAAATCAAATATTTTGTTCATTCACTTTCAAACAAATAAATCAGAATTTATTTCAAAGTACACCCATGAAACAACTTTTAAAAAGAATTGGGGATAGCTGTGCTTCTAGCAAATAGGGAATAATACAGGGATAATTAATACGTTTTTTACCTTGTCCGGAATTGGTTTTATATCAGCAAATATAGTTCGCCAATAAGACCAGGCGAACATGATCAACAGAATGTGGTACAGCACCAAGTAAATACACTGCTGAACTGTCGTTTCAATTGTGACTGAAAAATAAAACAAGTTACTAACACAGCACAGGAATTAAAGCCATATTAATCAAGTTAAAATATCAATATTTTACTAACAAATGCACAGCTGAATAACGTAGGCATAATACGACCAAGTTACGATCGAAACTATCAACAACACAGGGAGCCACTTGAAGGCTCTCCAACACCACATATTGCACACTCTACAACACACGCAATAACCCGAAGGCGATACTCTACTATTTTGTATTGACGATGCCATATTTATTAAATTGTACGAACATTGAAAATATCCATGTTCACTGAGGAGACAATAAAAACTGACAGACAAACCAAAGACGAAAAATGAAAGTTGCAGAAAATCATTGCCAGTTTAGAAAATTATAGTGACACATTTAAAATCTGTTTCCGGTTACACTTCTGCCAACCTAACCGCATTAAATTAGGGCACCCAAATTTACCGTAATTACCGGTTTTTTATTTAATGAAGAAAGGAGTTTGTAACTGTAGTCCTTAAAGTTATTCTTTCAAGCAGAAGGAATAATGCTTTTGTTCGTTTAGCAATGGTTTAGCACTTGAATAGCGTAACAGTTTGGAAATAGAAACAAAAAAACTCCAATCTGAATCGACTCTTTAATCGATTCATTTGATTATTCAATTGAATGTATTTATTTTTTATTGTGGCAACACACACTAACTCATGTCAAATTGATTGAAGTTGTTTCTCGCAAATTGAGCGTCAAAAATTTTGTTGTTTTTGTATCAAACCATTCCCAAAAAAAAACTTATTTTCTATTACCAATATTAAATCATGGAGGTCAAAGAATGCAACGATTTGGCTGAGGAAGTAAGTAACTTTCCAATACCATTTTGTATTATTTATTGATTCAACTGTATACCTACCTGCATGACGTGTTTCAGAACCAATTTATTGTGGACGATGTGAGTAAAATCATCAAAGAAGCTATTGAAAATTCCATTGGCGGCACTGCATATCAGCACAATAAAGTGAATCAATGGACTTCGGCGGTAGTGGAGTCTTGTTTGGGTCAACTGACGAAGTTGCAAAAGCCTTATAAATATATAGGTACGTATAACGGTTTTCTACACATAAATGTACCTTCAAAAACGTTTGTATTTGAAACTTACTTGATAGTCAACATGATGAGCAAAATATGCTCGAAAACACATAAGACTGCTTTGTTCACGAAAAATGTCACGGGCATGGCACCACGTATTTTCAATAAGTTACCGGACAACATAAGGAATAAAGAAGAATTAATTTCCTTTAAAAATGCACTATTTCTTTTTCTGGTTGAGAAGGCATACTACTCCATTAACGAATTCCTCCTGGACAATTTAAGAATGTGATCATAAAATTTTTGCATGTAAAATTATAAAATGAACAGGTATTAGTATTAAGTAACCATTTATATGTATATTGCACGCCATCTGCTTGGCAAATTGTAGCTGAACAATTTTACGTTTAAATTTAAGATCCATCAATGTATGATATGTACCTACAATTGCAATAAACTAATTTGATTTGATTTGATTTGATTTGAGCATTATAATTGATGAGTTTGATTGTGTAACACTATGTTAACATTCTCATTTTACTTTTTTCAGTTACATGTACCATTATGCAGAAGAACGGAGCTGGCTTACATACTGCTTCGTCATGCTTTTGGGACAACAACACGGACGGCTCTTGTACTGTGCGCTGGGAAAACAAAACTATGTACTGTATCGTGTCCGTGTTCGGACTTGGCATCTAACATTAAATTTAATCTTGGAATTGTAAGTTAACTCCAGCATCGGTTGCAATTTGATTATGCCTTGCTTGTGATTAAGAAGAAAAATATTTTCTGTCCAATTGCACTATAGCAAATCTCTAGTATAATGCAAGTAATGTTAACAGCATAAATAACATTGTTTTCAATAGATGATTGTTAAATCAAAATCATAAATAAAAATATATGTAGCTCTTGCATAGACAAAATATAGTATTACTATAATAATATGAATAAATCAAAATCAATTAGGTACTGTAGCAGTCAAAGTAAACATTGCATTTATATAATTTTGTTTTAAAAACTAAACAGTAAACACCATTAAATGACAATATCTTCTTTTATTAAATTCACTTATTAATTCAAAACACTTTTCACTTAATATTCAGTTCATACAGGCTTTCTTAGTCATTACTTAATTTTAAGTAAGATAGGTTATATTTTCATACCTAATAAATATGTCTAAAACTTATTTTGCTGTTTTATTATGTTTCAATCATTTTATCATCAGAATAACATCAGACTTTTTTTAAGTTTTATTTATTTTTGTGGCATACCTACTTAATGTAATTTCCATTCCAATGGAATACTTCTTTCAGTCTGGAATAGTTTTTTATCTGTAACTAATTATATGGAGGTAACAGAAATCATACTTGCGCCAAATAAATGCCTTTTCACACTCTTTCTGCCAAAATTCTTTTGTTTTGTATATTCACCTCACACTTAACTACAAACAATAGAATCCTATTTTTAGTAAGGAAATAAGGCCAGAAAGAGATATTATTTTGTACCTTCACATTCATCATTTTTATCTCAATGTGTTGATTGACTCCAATAAGCCAATCAATTCAATTGGCCTCTACATAAAGGATCTTGGAAGTGATTTGTGTCACAGATAAGACCTCCTAATTGGCCTCTAGATGTAATGTCATTAGTATAAATTAAAACGTGGTTTGAGTATACATAGGTATAACAACGAATCCAGTCTCTATTTGATATTTTCATATCTAAAACTAATTTTATTCTACGAGAATCGGCCCTTTATCAGCAGGATGCGTATCTTGGAAAATTCAAGTCTGCGCCAGTCATCTAGGTAGGGTAGGTGAAAAATTCTGCTAGCCGCGGACGAATGCTCAATTTTAAGGACAATAACTCGCGACTCCGTTTCAATGGCCCCGGAGACATCGTCTGGTTATAGATGGTAGGCCCATCATTTGGTGGGGAGAGAGATTCCCACATAACCCACTGACCATCCCTATTGGCCTGCGGTCCCTGCGGAAAAAAAGCTAAAAAAACTCTGAGCCTTAAATTCATATTTTAGTGGACCTATGACGGTATGGTAGCGTCACTTTCAATCATGTGAGATGCAGGTCAAGAGCTTCTCTATATCAGGTAGGAAAAAACTTCCAATCAACTAAAAAAAGTAAATAACTTAGCAAGTTACACAATATCAATAATCTATTTTCTAGAATAGGTACATACCTACATATCACATGATCTTCGATTAATATTAACATAATTAATTCATGATAATGTCATTAGAGCAGGCCTAATGACGGATTTTGTGGCCAAGGTCGCTAATTGACCTGACCTACACGGAAAAATCACACCGGGTTTTGCGTTCAAATAAGTAATAACTTTTAGTTGAGCTGAAAAGCCCCTCTTCAATAAAAAGTCTTCGTTGGTGTTGTATTAGTGAGCAATCGCTATGCCTAGGCCTCCTGCCTATTACCAGTATGTAGACAGGTTTCTTACCACTGTATGATTCACAAAATAAACCCGTAGAGGCCTTGAGTGTACCTTGTTGGAATAGAACAACGTGATACCTGTGGTGATATTCCGAATGGGAAGTCGGAGTAAGTAAGTAATAAATATCGCCAAATGGCTTTCCAAGTAAAAAATGAATTTATCGGACACATGCTTCTCATAAAATTTGGCTACCACGATTGAATGAATGACAGGTGCAGCGTGTGCAAGGGGTGTGAAAAAAATAATTGCTCAATGCGATGGAAGAGGCGGACTTATACATTACTAGGTTTTAACAGGCGTTCAATATGGTCGGTAGTCAAGTTAGGTAGGACGTAAACCTTTCTAAAAGTCAAAATCTAGCTTCTGTGAAATCATTAAAGTAATTTCGTTAAAAAAGATCACCTCAGTTTTTTTGTGTACAAAATGATTTCCAAATGTGTGATTGAATAGGTAAGTAAGTTAAGTACATACAGTACATTGTGGCATAGGTTGTGATGAAGATCAAATGTTTTTATTTTGGGCACGCCTATCAATCATTATGTCACCTGCGCATTTTTGCAAAAAAAATAAATTTCAATTGCTTTGAATGCGTGTGTTGTCATGGTGTAATAAGCTTAGCAGACGCAAGTTGAGTAAAAATAGATAATTTACACCTCAATTTGATATCGTGAACAATATAATGAATCAAAAATTCATTTTATTATCGTTACCGTGTGTCATTTGTTTCTTTGCGTTACTGAACTAATGCTACGATTCAAATTTTTGCGGGCGTTTACAAAGCGCGACATATTTGTGTCACGTGACCGTCATCGATCCAATGGTTGAGCGCGTCTCGGGTCCATTCAACTCGGTCTCGGCCAGCGCCGGGGAGGGACACCACTTCACAACACCGATTCTATTCATACATAGGAAATATTTATATATCTCCGTCTCTTTCACGCGTATTGAGAAATAATTAAATGAATGGTGAACGAGTGAAACGGGAATATGTTCGAGTGGAAATTATTGAAAGCTGGGCCAGGCCAGTCGCCATGTAGAATTTTTTGATGTGGGTGTTGTGTCTTGGGACGTCAAACGCTTCAATGATTATTATTTTCAAGTGGACGTTAATTTTTGTGTAAATCGCCATTAACATTGCGTATCGTGGTATTTGTTGGTGTTATTCGGACTAATCCATTGTGTTAGTGAATCATTTTGATCTGGTGACGGCAGATAATAAACTGGTGGGGGGCTGCTAAAATACTACGACAGGATAGTAACAACGTTTTACAACTCGAGAGGTGTTCGGTGCGCTCATAAAATTTCTCATCTCGGTGCGGGCGAGTCGGACTTCCATTTTGTTTTATTATGTGGTTGGACTGTTTACTCGGTGCGTTGCATTCGGGACAATGGAAAGCGACGGTGAGTAGGTATATTAAGTGGAATTAAAAAGGCGATGTCTGCGCATGTAGGGCGCACATGACAATAAACATGCAAGTGAATAAGTAATGGTATTCGATTTTGTGCATCGTGTGGCGCAGTCGTGGTGGTGTGGTGGGTTTGGATTAGTCATAGTGAGGTGAGGAGTATGGCCACGGTGCTAGCTGGGTCTACGTGTCGCAGGTTGGGCCAGCTACATAATTGATTTCGTTTGTCCGTAAGCATGCGCCGCGAGTGTGCACTGCTTACATTAAGCGCTGCCCCCTTATCAGCTGATTACACTATACCTATGCACAACTAAGCACTTGTTTTCAAATCTCCACTTCTGGTGATTTTAAAATTTCATTTTTTTCATTCGCACGGCCACTGGATACTTATCAGTCTGATGTCAAAATGCCTAGATATTTTTTCCGGCGAAACTACAGATTATTTTTATTATCAAGTAGGTATATTATAATAATTTTACTTAGAATAAATAAATAAATAAAATAAATACATATTTACAATACAAGAGCACAATCAAGCTGAAAATTCAGTGTCAGTAACTCTAGCCCTTCAATCAAAATAAAACTGGCATATTCTTACACTACTTGACAAACATAGATGATAGATCCACATAATTCCATCATTTCATATTAAATAATAGTATTTTGCATGTTCTAAATAGATAGGAGTGGGTGGTGAAGATTAACTAGTACATTTTTTGACATGTTAAAAAGTCTATCTTGTTTTTAAATTCAGTTGGAGAATAAACAAAATAAGATCAAATATTCATTTCATTATGAGTTAACCAAAACATCTTGATCTTATTTTGTCATTTAATTTTATCTGATGTTGATACTATCTAAACTTAATTACAACTCAAGTGGCAATGGAAATATTAAAAATGAAATTCGTAAGAAATCCAGATTTAATATTAACAATTAAATAAGTGAAAAAGTTCCAAATTGAATAATGTTCCTTAATCTCTATTCAGAACATTATATAATAATGTAAATCTTATTGCTAGCGGTTATCAGAAATTCATGAGTCACTAGGTCTACCGTCCACACACACATACAAGTCGTATGAGTCCATACGCTAGTCCATGTGGGGGTTAGGACCAAGCCAAGGCCGTTAGGAGCAACATGTCTGAACTTGCTATAGATAATGAAGAGAGTACTACACGATTAAAGCGTATTAGATCTTTGAAATAATCGGACATGTTTACTGGTAAAAATAATATTTCGTTCATTTTCGTTGATATTGTGCAAAAATACTTGGAAACTTCAAATGCTGTCTTATCCGTTGGGGAGGCAGGTAAGGTTAATAATTATTCAACAGTAGCATTATAATGATGATTCAATTTCTTTTTAATTGAGTTGGCTAGTGTATTTAAATAGCAATCTTTTACAACTCACTTATGTCTCATGCATGTCCTAATCTATTATTTAATAGCAAAATAATACTGATTAAGAAACACATTAAAGCATCAACTTGTATTGCAGTGTAACTGTAATAATTGGCATAAAGTTATTGAACGATTTTACTTATTAAAATTATTTATCAACTGACATATTCCTCTATTATTATAAAAAAGCATATCAAATTAAACATTGGTATTTTTACCTATGATTTATGATATAAGATGGCACAATATCTTCATGTGCAGTAAATTCATAATATTTGGCAATAAATGCACCTCTTTAATTAATTGCATGAAGAGACTAATAAACAACAAATCAGTCTAAAATACATCTAATTATTATGAAATTAATTATAAGTATCTAGAATTTATTTAATTTTAATAATGCATTATTTTGCTAATTGCAATATTATCTTTAAAAGTTTTTTAATTTGTGGAAGTTAATTGGTAATTTAAATTTGGGTTAAGTACTTATGTGATATTATGTACCTACTTACAAATTAATTTCAACATGATTCATCTGAAAACTATCCCTTTCTCAATTAGTTGTGTTTATTTTCCTCTTTCGTGTGGTTCCATAGGAAGCTGTGGGCAAAATTAAATAATTAATGTGAAGAAAATAGAAGTTAGTTAGGAAGGGTATTTATTTATTTATACCTATGTTTATCTTGCATCAGAGAAGACGCGAACTCCCCTAACTCCCTAACTCTTTCTGACATTTGTGGTTGTCCTTACAGCTTGCTGCTGCCTTTATGAAGTAGTCGCCCAATAATGCGCCTTAATAATTGGCATTGATTCTTATTGTGCCAAATAACTTTCGCATAGATACGTTGTCTTTGATCATCTACCTACTTTCTCTTTCTTATCTCTAGGTTCTAGACTAGTTTACCTGATGCGATGCTTTGCCTTTATAACACCGATGCTATCCCTTGTCTCAGCGTTAATATCAGGATCTGACATCCGATAGGAATCGCTAGAACTTCGATTTCCTCTTTCCAGTTCTAGCAGCTAAATAAGGCCTGGTTCATTTGCATCTAACTGTAACGACACGGTTGCCGCCTCAGAGCCTCTTCAATGAGAAACACCTAGAAACAGCGCAGTTATCTCACGTGTCTGAACCATGCCTTATTTCGGCTGTTTATCAATGTTGTGTCCATGAATGTACTGACATTCATTTAAGATGCACCGCTAATGGTCAAGTGGTCGTCCCATATAACCTGCTCTTGCCCATGGCAGCATGTGTACGAGATGCATTTGTTGTGTTAACAAAAACAAACATTCTCTACTCCACCTGCCGTCATCGCGTCTAGCCGTAGCCACGTCACAAATTCATTATTACTTCGCTTACGTCACACCTGATAGGTAGATAGGTACGTCTGAATTTCAGGCCTGTATTCTATGCCAATAAGTCGATTTATTCTTCTCCATGACTCTATTTTTGATGATAGAGACTTGAGAATATTAGGGCTTATTAATGAAGATGCGATAGAAAAAGGTAAAATAATCTGGCGCTCTCCATACTTATAACGTGCAATTTTAGTACATAGTCGGAAAATATAGAAACAAGTAGTAACTAATGCCCTGTCTATTCATCAGCCTTTATTTGAAAGCCACTTCAAACGATCTACTCGCTGGTATCACCCACCGAAGTACTGTAGTTATCAATCATTATTCTATTTTTAAATAAACTATTTACTGTGACGACTGACCAGATAATTCGGCGTTATATTTATGGAAAAATATGTATCCTGTAAGTGCTCAGTTACTAATGTTTGGTTAATTACAATCGAAAAGGAGATTCGTTTGATCTCTAACAGATCATCTGTAATATTTTTAATTATGTAAATCTGAAATCTAGATGTGATGGGTGTTTACGTCATTACCAGACATAATGTACTCATTATTCAAGTTCCAGTTACTGTTAGCAGCAATAAAAACAGTAGGCACCATACCTATCTGTTTAGATTACCAAGCTGTTTCGCAAAACAACTGGCAAGTAATCTACTTCCAGGAATACCCGATAACTGTTTAACATAAAATGACCGTACCAACTTGAAGTTAAGCCAGAGCGGCAGAAATAGGATTAAATAATGCACTCAGCGTTATTCCTTTTGTCCTGCCCGTAACTTAGCATAGCAATGCGATAAAATATTCTACCATTTCCGTATAAAAAACGAAACAAAGAGAGAGACCTTTGTGCCCCGGGTTATTGATCTGAGCTAAATCTATTCTGAATTAAACTAAAATAGTTACAGTTGCCACCACGCGAATGCATTTCGAGTGACCAAGTTTGAAAAAAAGACGATCGTGTATAGAGCTGTTAGGTAAAATGTGTCTGTATAGCGTATCTACAGAAACTTTAGCATCTGTATTAAACACTACTGTTTCGTTTTTATCACTTAATGCCAATTACTCATCGCGGGCATTTGATTTTTTCTAGACCAGTTGGACAGGTTTAGCTGATGTTGCTAGCTCTTATGTTACCTAACCATAGGACCAATATATCATTATACATCATTTTATACGACCATTAATTTTATTTAATGTTAAATGCCAAGTTGTAATGGCATTTAATGAGTTTTCTTTGATGTTAAAACTCATAAAAACTCATAAAACTCATTTATTTTTGCAAATAGGCTTTAAAAAAGCGCTTTTACACGTCCCAATATTACGTTACGTTCACGTGAGACTATTGATATGTAATCTTATTCGTTTATTTTATAAACGGGGTATTGTTTAAAGGTGTATTTATTGATCGTATTTATGACGTAGAAAAACTTAGCATCGAGGGGTAGGGCTTTGTGCCGAGGTATGTCTATCTTTTTATATCCATGAATAACTTAGTAGTTAGTAGTTCGTTAGGCAGCACCTTGCATTATACAATGATGTCAGAATATGCTCCTATCGCATTACACCGAATCACCGTCATGTCTTAAAGTTAAGGGTGTATTTGTTTGTTTACGAGTCAACTAAGTATTGAAGATTGTACCGTTTCTATTAGTCATTCGAAGATTGGCCCGGCATTTCCCAAACCCCGTGAGGTATTGTTATAGTAGGATAGGAAGAATTTATTTGTTTATACAGGTATGAACATAGCAGGTACTAGGTATACACCCTTTTGTACTCAAAAATGAGATAGGGGTGCCTCCAGAATAGATAATCCCATCAAAAACAATACTTGTCAAAAAAACCAAGTCTCGCAACTCAGTTGTTCTACGGTAAAAAGTTGTGAGATCCATGTAATACCAAGTCCAGGCCAGGAAATCTTTAACGTTTTACATAAATATATTGACTTGGCCATCGCACTAAATAATTTAATTTACACGTGTTTTCATGCGATGGCCAAGTCAATATATTTATGTAAAACGTTAAAGATTTCCTGGCCTGGACTTGGTATTACATGGATCTCACAACTTTTTACCGTAGAACAACTGAGTTGCGAGACTTGGTTTTTTTGACAAGTATTGTTTTTGATGGGATCTCATTTCTTTTTGTATTTTGTAGACAGCAGTTATGTATCTAGAAAACTGGACCGAAATTGAAAAATTTTACTCGACTTGGCGGTTGCACTACCGTGCCCCCAAATATTTTAGTTTTTCCTTGATTCATACACCAAACACTACTTATATTCCAAATTTGAAGCTTCTAGGTCTGCTAGAAGTGCCTTAGAGTTTTGATGGTCAGTGAGTCAGTCAGTGAGTGACAAAATTAAGTAACTTTGACCCGTTATAATTCTTAAACTACTGGTTCAAATTGAATGAAATTTTAAATATACCGTGTCTTTACAATGCCTGCATAGCTAATGAAAATTCAGCCTTCTAGTTTTATCCACAACGAAGTTACAGGCGGTCGAAAATGGCCTGAATTGCTTCGAGAAAAGGATGGTACGGCCGTGCCGCTTTTTAGCTCGACTTGGTGGGGGCACTGCCGTGCCCCCAGATGTTCTGAGATGATGGAATCTATAGGTACCTACTACCTATTCAATGAAAGTTCTATCACTCACTATTTGCCTTGGGAGTTAATTAATATAAAAGGTTAACACTATGAATGAATATGACTCTACCGATGCATGAACTAGAATGAGTACTTCAACACACGCGTGTAGACTTAATTAAAAAACAATCATTGTCTTATGTTGCCATCGCTTCTCTGTAACAACTGCGATGTCAGATTTAAGATCCTGGGATTCTTGGGCGTTTGACATCGCAGGAGACATGTTCAAATGAAAAATCTTGACGTGCTTACATGAATCAACTTTGTAATGGAGTTGTAAACCGGTTGTAATTTGTCCACTTTATCGTACACAATACGGGAATATTCCCACCTCTCGTTCCCACCGCGCTGCAACTCCTGTGGAGACATGATCTACAGTTTGACCGCCACAAAAACCCAACCAGTGAAGGTAAAGTTTGTCCCGGGGGAGGGAAAGTTAAACTGTCATTGGATCCGCAACGAAATTAATCAGAAGAACATAGGAGTTCGAAGTTAGGGTTAAGATGGTAGGTAGGTACATGATTGTTCATTGTAGTATAGGGCAGCTCCCGTATCGTAAAGTAATAGAGCGATCCCGTATTCTTAGGCCTATATTCCGAAACGATTGTCTAAACTGAGTTCAAACTAGAGCGTAGTTTTAACCTTGTGATTGATAATTTTCATAATTGAAGTCTGCGATAATTAATAGACTAGCATTGAGACCGAACTCTCTGTAACCCTGTTTCAAATAAATAAGCTTTTATATTGCCTACTTGTATTGTACCTATTACAACTTTGACAACAACAAAAAAATTCTAGCCAGATCAGCTTAAACCAATACAAGAAATTATGTCTTCAGGTCCGCATTTTGTACTATGACACGAGATACCTCTCCTCTCCGCTAAAAACTGGTGGAAATCATGCCTTACTGTGTACAGCTTAACTTGACTTGTAGGCGTTTATATCTGTCGCCGCTGTACTGGTTACATAGCACCACTGGGTGCCCACGACACAGGTTATTCCTAGTGTGGGACCCGCAGACAAAGCAATATAATGTTTACCGAATAAATTGTTACTAATTGTATTTGAAGGTGTATGCGTAAACGGTGATATTTGTATTTGTAAAGGCTTGCACACTCACTGCGGGCGCCCGTCGCACAGTCGCGACAGCAATATAATTACGCGCGAGCGATAAGGATGGGTAGCTTGGGGTTGGGGTCATTGGACAAAATTCTACGTGCTCCCGGACCAGACTATAACAGCCCATCGTTTTTCCCAGGTGGTGGGGGCGCGAAGCTTGAGTGAGTGGTAGCGGAGGTGATGCAGCGAGACCACGCGGGCGGCGCCCCGCACCACCCGCACTCCGCCGCCGCCCCCGCGCCCTCGCATCCCCACTACCGGTCGGCGATCTACGACATCGATGACCAGGTAAACAGCATTCGAAATTCAAAAGTTATGTCATTTGTTTTTTTTCCCAAAAAAGGTTTTACACGTCCCACTCAAATAATTTTAACCCTATGCTTCAGGACAATAATATTATGGGCCAGTGCTAAGAAGAAGTAAGAAACTCAGTTACATTGTCAGATTCTTTGTATCATTAAAATCACAGATTGATAGTCGAATAAAGATGTCGTCGAGGTAGTCAACTGATTTCCATAAAATTTCATATTCACGTAAACATTTCATGACGTGTAGGTATAGCGCATAAAATAAATAGGTAAATTCAAAGAAACTACTCACAGTTTGTTGAGGGTAAATAACTCATTTTTGGCGTGACCTAATAAAAGCTATAGATGTTATGGTATGAGGAAGGATAACTGTATTTGAATTTCTTTTGTCTGCTCCGAAAGCATCTACGCCAAAATACCAATATGATCATGGGGAATCCTCTATCTACCGATGAAGATGTGAGATGACATAACTAACAGTATTACCACTAATACATCAAGATGTCTTGTCAGTCGAACACTCCTCAATATTCCAGGGTCAATATTTACAAAATAGGTTTGTCTGTGTCCAATCCATTATCCATAATACATAAGCTCTTATATTTCAATTGTTTAATTTACTGAATAAAGAGAGCTCCAGTTTTGTACTTATGTATCACCCCAATATCGTTACCCAGTGATCATTACTGATACTGATGATCAGGTAACCTCTTAACGTAACGACACGCTCCGCTGCCTGAGATCGTTGAGGAAAACGTAAACGAAACCTCTCAGTTTCCTCAGCTAATATCTCGCCGCAGATAATGTAATCATAACATTTTTTATTTGATTACAATCATTTCAAAGTTTCGGATTTTTTATCCGATCATTCATGGTTTGAATGTATTCAGTAGCTTAATTTGGTTTTTGTATGTAAAGGTAAATGTAACATTGGATTAAACAATATGACTCAGTAATGCTTTCATAACAAGACATGGAAGCCAAACAAGGGGTGTTTTCCTTCAGAAAGTGGTCGGGAACCAGAGGACAATCAAAGTTTCAGAAACGTAGAGTAGGTAGGTAGTGTAGAATGGAAGAAAATAACTTAACTCATTGTTCTAGATACCGGCATCGGTCATCAGCAGCGTCGGCACAGTGAGCCTTTCGCAGTCGTCCACAAACCTGACGCCGAACATAACTATGGCTAACCCAACCAATCCCGGCAACGCGAGTAGCGGTAACGCTCCGCAGCCGCCGCCGCAGCAAGCGACCCAGGCGCCTGTCCGCAATCTGCCCAAGAAACGCAAGTTCGACCCTTCAGAGCTCGAAGAGATCGAACGCAACTGCATGAACAACATCGCCATCTCCGCTCCTCTCCCAGTGGAGTACCAACCGACCATTCAAACTGTCCCCCAACCCTCCCCCATTGTCCAACATCCCTCTCCCCCGACGGATATCAAGCCATATTCCATCCATTACCCCAACATTGACCTGTCCGAGTGGCGCGACCATCGCGTGCTCGCCAAGCAACGCGGCATTTACATCCCGGGCGTGATTCGGCAAGCGGACGGCTGCAAAGTGATAGTGGAGTTGGACGGGCAGGAGAATGACCCGGTGGAGTACAGTGACATTTTCGGCAAGAACAAGTTCGATGTGATAAGTGACGCGAGCCCGCAAATGAGCCATCTCCTGATCGGCTCCGCGTGTGTGGTGAGGACTGCTGACCCTCTCCGGGAGTGTGGGCCAAATGTGTTCCTTGAGGGGATCGTGTGCGAGGTTCTCAATTCGCCTAGGAGGATCAGAGTCCAGGTGAGTTATGCCCGTTTTCACCATCAATCCCTAATTTTTAAGTGACCCCTATGGTGACAAATAACAGGAATTTTATTGATATAGGGGTCATTTAAAAATTAAGGATTTATGTCTCGGCAAATATAGTGCAGTGCCTCTTCTTCCTTGATGGACTAAATTGAAGATAGTGTTGCGGAAGCTGCTTTGTTTAGCTCCTTGGGGGAAGATTACGTTTAGCATTGGATTGCCATTGATGCCAGATGATTTTCTGGCTGGTGGCCTACTACGTATTATGATTATAATCAAGCATACAGTTTTTATTTATTGCAAATGATAAAGTTACAATTATTTCGCTTCGTCGTTCCCCTTATAAAACTACGTAATTAGATCCTTGTACATTACTGAAGATTAGACCCATTTATCTATTAGCATACGTCATTATCTCCAATTTGCAGGTCACCGACCGCGAGTGTAAAGAGATGGTGGAAGTGAAGCGAGCCGACCTCAGGCTCCTCCAGCCTCCCTGGGCGGACGAGTTGGAGGATGCTGGTTCGCACTCAGTGTCTGGGATGCACATGATGCATTCCACGCCTCGTGTGCAAATGCATCCTGCGCCACAGGTGAGTCTTGCAGCTGTTAGGGTTCAGGTGAAACGCATAGTCACCTTCAGTTAAATATAGCACTTAATACGACGTCCATAATACCCATTACAGATTAGATTAGCCTAATGTACTACCTAATGTAACGCTACGTCATAGATGGTAAAACTGGATAGGTGCGGTCTGTAATGCAGCTTTATTCATTTCTAACTTGTAACCGCAGTTAGGAGGCACTTCAGAAAGTAAATATAAAATGCTGTTTTTATAGTTATTGAGGATGTAATTGTTTTAAAGTAAATATGTCAGGATGCACATGTATCCGACAGAAATGTTGCTGCGGATGCATTATATTCTGCCACCTGGCGACGATCGTTCAACTTTATATTCATTCATTCATTTGCTAGGTAAAGTATTCTTGTAAACATCAAGTATTCCCATTTTTCCTGTATATATGACAACACTTTCTGCATGTTGTTACTCATTTTTGTAAAACATTTTTAGTTGTAAAGAACCCTAATAACAAGGAAGTTTGATAACCGTTTGGCAATAACCTACATCAGCAGCTATCCTTATGCCCAATTTCCTCAAACAATCATTGTCACTCGAAGGTTGTTGATCAATAATTGACTAAGGTTGTTTTGAGACCTTAAAAAATCTGCTCATACTATAAATGCTGCTAATTGTAGATCCCTATTATATCAGATATAAGGGGCTACATTGTAGTGATGCGATGCCGTTGTAAAGCGTTTAAAAATAGACTAAGGACCACATTGCTGCGTGAACCTTGCAGAGATTATTTGTACAATATCACAAGTAACGTTAACCGCAACAATGACTTAACTGACCTTGGTATCCACATACTTATTAGAATTTTTGTAACTGGAAACATGACGTGATTTGTTTATTAATCGAACATCATCCCACTAAAATAGGTCTCTTTGAGATCGGGTCATTATCTTAATAGGTAGTTAACTCATGCTTGATTGCTCATACAATTACCTACAAACAATATTAACTGACAAGAAAACCATTGCAATATTGTGAGAATACACTTCTCTGAATAGATTCTTGTATGTGGGTTTTACCAAAATCGGTCCGATGGTTTTAACGGCTGCCATAAAAACTAAGAAATTGCATTCTTATTGCTAACGCGGGAAGTGATAGTTCGCGGTTGTGTTGCCAACTATAATATCTTACAACTTGAATGAGACAAAGGCAAGAAAATTGCAGTGTAGACATTTGGTTGCATTTGCACGTTGCCGATGCATTGCGTCACAGTGTAGGTCAGTGATCTTTGATCAGCGATGCTTCTATCGTTTCAGCTATTATAGCACCCACTGCTTAAGCGTCTGTCAACAATGAGCTAGTGAATATATTGCTGATTACACGCGTGCATTGTAAAGAGTAAACGTAACTTATCAGGCAACGTTTTTGTTCGATACGTCAGCGACAAGGCATTTCCTTCTGTTTAAACTTTAAAGAGACGCTATGCTAAGCCTATGTATGTACTACGAGTAGGTTCTGTTAATTAACGTACAAATGCACGAATTCTTTTGCCAGTCTTCTTTACATATTTGTTAACTATTAATCAAATCGATTTTATAATTATTATGTCATCGAGTGACGAATTATTTTAGAACGGGTTACATTGTACAAACTGGAATAATTTACTATACAATTATTGATTGAGTTACGTCATCCTTTCCTCGTTTGCACTATGTGCAGTTTAGTTATAGCAGTATGATTAATACTAACGTTTAGTGAGTGGGTTCTTATCTGGTGCTTGTGACAGCTTAATTAACTATATTCATGATAGTGGTACTAGTTTTTTTCTTTGGACTGTTCCTGCTACTTTCCTGTATTTGTTTAAGGAAAATAGACTTTATTTAAATGAAATTATAGTTAAATAGCTACATAGATTAATATTTAAACGATTAGTGGAGCTACTCACTCCCTCACGTTTCTGTATTTTCGGGGGTCTGTCTGTATTACAGATTCTAAAGTTTTCTTGATAGTTTCTTTGGGAGATTTTCATCAGGGTGCTTAAAAGGACCTATTTTATAGATATGGGGTTTAAACTAGAATGGAACATTGAGGAAACATCAAGCTTTCCCCAAACATTGAATACCTATCAATTCCTACTATTAATGGCCGGTCGATCTATTCTCATAAATAAAACACTGGATACTTAACTTTCACAGTATATTGCCTTAATTTAAATACAATTCATCACTTAGCACAAAAGCGCGCGGAGTCGTCTCCGCGCGTCCCTCTATTCTGACGTTTGATTCTCGTGTGACATTGACGATACGTCAATGTCACTATGACAGCAGCTCATTGGCTATAACGATACCGCTATTTTAACGTTTTATATTTTTCACAATTAACAGTTCGGCCTTCCTGCAATTCCTTCGCCCTCGAAGGTCTGCTCATGGCACACTTGACGCCTCGTATTGGGATCCAGCTGAGCACCTGGCTAGATCCACTCTGCCTTCTCCACCACCATTCGCACCACACGCTGACCACCTTTGGTTCTGCTGAAACGAGAAATCATCACACAATACATCTATATCATCGTAACACGGTACATCTATATCATCACACAGTACATCTATATCATCATCACACAGTACATCTATGTCATCACTACACAGCACATCTATATCATCTAGAAGCTCAGCGTGCTCCTCAATCAGTAGCACCACGCCAATGGTCATACAGACGCTATCACAATTATCTCTTCGTTCAATATTTTAGAATCAGCTGCTTCAATAATGACAATAATGTCGATCACACACATGCCATCTTAATCTAGGCACCATAGCTCATATGCCCAAAATGTTACCACCGACGAAACTCATCCTTTGATGCCCAATTAGGCCTTTATCCAAGGTTTCTATCAAGTTTGTTCAACCACCACAAAAATACAACTTATTGGTTCCGATAAACTCTAAATCATAGAACTGTAACCCATTCTACTTCCAAGAATGGAAAGAACCCTCACTGTTGATGAGCAGTGGACTGCATGTTCGTGGGCTAGGAACCGGCATAAATCTTGAAGGCAGAGTACTTGTTGTAGACAGCTTTATTTCTGAGTTCTTCACTTTTTCTTTTCGACCACTTTGATTTCTTAACTCGCTTCTTATCTGAATTAAACTAGTCAGCTGGAATGCCCTGCTCCCTATTTTATACTCTTCCCTTTCTCTCGCGATATTGCCATCTCTGTCTCTCATGTTCTAGAATATTCAAAGCGAGAGGTCCGATGTNAATATACCTACAAGTATAAAGCTTTGAAATAAAATACGTTTCATCTTTGTCCGCCGTGGGGCATTTTCTCATATTAAAGTTCCCAATGTCCTTTGCAAGCATAAAAAAGAAAAGAGAAATAAATATTCAAACACTTGTAATGGCTTATCACTGTACAAGTGTATGCCATGTTGACCTTGAAAAAAATCAGCAGCCGCAGTTAGGTGATTCCCCTGAATAAATATAAGTATATGAATAAGATATAGTGCTGATTTGAAGTCAGATTTTGTTACCTAGATATAGAGATTAATCTTAGATGCTTGATCTTAAGTGTGTATCAACAGTTTGTATCAAAATGAGAGTGAAGCTGCAAAATTGACGGAACGGATTAAATGGAATTTAGTTCAAAGTTGGCCTTATATGTTTCTATTTACTAACAGTCCGAATATGTACTAAAATGTGAATAGCACTCTATTGCATTAAGAATAAGACTGTTTGTTGTCCATCAGAAGGCTGCAACAGCAAACGCAGCAGTATGCAGAGCCGAGGCAGCACGTCCAGTTTGATGGAAGGCAGCCTCACCCCCCGATCTCAACCCCCTACTCCTAGGTAAGTTATACATTGTTTACAAGTAGTAAGTACCTACACATTTTTATACATACTTAGAAATAAAACCACACAAAACTGACAAATAAAATAAATATATTATACAGGGTGTTAGGTAAATGGGTATATGAGCCGACACTAGCCCATGTTAACATGGGCATATAAATGGTATGGTGAAGTCAGAAATTTGATATCATCATTTTAATTTTTTTAATTTTCATACAAAATATATTTTATAAATTCCGATTTGTATAAAAATTAAAATAGTTAAAATGAAGATATCAATTTTCTGACTTCACCATACCATTTATATGCCCATGTTAACATGGGCTAGTGTCGGCTCATATACCCATTTACCAAAAGGCGAGGCCGAAGGCCGAGCGATGGTTCAAATCCCCACAGTACCCATAGATTTACTTGTGTTGCGTCAAAAAAGCAAAAGAGCCTAGCGACAAACGATAAACGCCCCGTGTAATTTTTGCGAGGCCGAAGGCCGAGCTCCGAATGCGAGGTCGCAGGCCGAGCGCCGCGTAGGGCGAAGCCCGGAGCGGCCAGCATCGCAGATCTAGCTTTTGTAGCCCGCGTAGCGGGCGACCAAAGCTAGTTATCATAATAAACTTACTGTTATTGTTGTGTTGACAGCAATACACTTCCAACTATTATCTTTGGAAACTGCACATACTTCCATGAACTTACCATCCTCAAATAGGAACAAGCATTCATGGAAATATCCAAGAACTTTAATTTAACAAGTACAATACTTCTCTTCTCAAGCTTGGCCNCAAGAAGTCTCTGTTCTGCTTATCATTGACTAGCCGTTGTGAGCGTTTCACACGTGTCGCTGCAGTCACGATGTGTATAGTTCACACGTGTATCGTTGCAAAAAAAGTCGCCTTGAGTAAAATGGCCCGTAATGTTCCGATTTAAACTTCCCAACCGTGGGCAGTTAATTATAGTTGCTACGGTTATTACGTGTACGCAAAAGACAACTTTGTTAAGTTACAATATTGAGTTTTAAAGCAACTGGTTTTTTAGTCTAGTTCAGTAGCCAGAGCAGTCAATTGGCGAGGAAAAAGTATAGTCCCATCTGATACTGCGGAGATTATCAAGTGTTAATAAAATGTTCTACAATACTATTGAAAATGCTAAAATTGTCTCAATAGAATTACCATGGTTCTCTTTTGAGCAAGGTTTTCGAGAGTATTATTAGACTGATCTAATCTAGGTCTCTTGGTCTTTTGATATAATGACAAATTCCGACTAACCCTCGTTATTTTTGACAACATAAGTTATTTCATAAATGAATATCATATCATTTCATAATCATTTCTCCTTCCAGCCGTTCCAGATGGGCTCCGAAAACTTTTTCACCTCATCCCCAATGCTGGGCAGTAACGTGGTGACCGTCGGCGCGCTGTCCAACGGTTCTATCGACGACCTGCGCAAGCGCACCTTCGACGATTACTGCGAGAGCGACGACGATCTTCGCCGCGAGGATATATCCTTCTCCGCCGATCCTCATATGGGTCAGTATTTATTCTTTTTTCGGAATTTGAACCAAGGAGGTTCTACTTCTGAGGTCCTACTAAAATTATAGCATAAGAATTTGTGTTTTGTTTATTTATGGCAAGATTCAAACAAGAAACGTGTTAGATATACGGTCAAGGCCATGAAGCAGAGTTGAATAGGACCACTTTAATTCTTCCTGTGCATGTCGTAAAAGGAGAGCATGCATGCATGTCGTGTAAATTAAGGAAATATGTCCTTCCTAACTCGTTCGGGGCATTGTGGGTCGTGTAGCCAAAAATCTATTGTGGTTTGGGAAATTTTATAGTCTTGCTTCTACAGTGTAAAGTTAAATGGCCCGATTTATTTATTGGGCTATAAACATGAGATACAGTAATAAACACAACAAAAAAAGATACTGAAGGAGATCCAGGAAAAAATCTTCATATTCATTTGAAATGTTTAGAATGGTCGTCGTTTCAGCCAAATGACGTCCACTGCTGGACAAAGGCCTCCCCCAAAGTTTTCCACCTAGGTATTATTCATGAATGAAAATGACATTGGGAACTTATTGCCCCACTTTTCGAAAAGTAGCGGACACAAACGAAACCTATCACAGATGATACATACTAATATCCAATGAATTCCCGTGCATTTTTTTTCTCTCTTATATGGGAATATTGAGAAAATGAAGTTTTAATATTTTATTTTATTTTACATTAAGGTAACATTTTTGACGAACTCCGTGGCGGAGAGGCGCACACACCGGTTTTCAAGGTGTGCCGGGCCAATCCTGAGGTCCCGGGTTCGATTCCCGGCCGGGACAATATAGAAAACGATCTTTTCACATTGTCTCTGGTTTGGGTGTGTTGTGGTTCGTCGTTCCCGATTTCCATAACACAAATGCCTTAGCTACTTATTTTGGGTTGGAGTAATATATGAGATGTTGTCTAATATTAATTTAAGTATTTATAATATTTTATTTATTTATATTATTTTATTTATATTTCTCTACATTTAATTGTTTTTGGTCCTTAAAACGAGGGAACAAAGTTAGAAATAATGTGGTTACTGCTACCATTGACTGTTTAAGTGTTTTAAGTGTTAACTACACTACGGCTACCAAAAAATAATGACGATTCCTTTGTAGGATGTTGAAAACCGTGTCATACTCAACTTTATAATGCTTTCCCATATATTATTTGTTTTGTATTCTTGCTTGATCATCATTGCCTATTCAAGTGTCATTGTGAATCTATAAAATTTTGGACATAACGTAGATGAGAAATAAAACTATCATTGATAACAAGACAGGTGTGTGCGCAGCTAATCAACATATTTGTGAATGACGATTTAAAGATAATTTGTACAGTTTTTATCGTATTATCTAGTTCCAAAAGATAATCTTAGGTTGCGTAATTAATTTTTATTTGTAAACTCTTGCAGGTAACGTTACTATTGTGTATATTCTGCATGTTTGTCTTTGACGAATACAATGTTACTGACCACTCCACCTGGTCTATATGAATATCTGATATTGGTAATAGCCTTGCTTTTCAAGAGATTCGGGAGTTCTGGACTTTCAGGAAGGTACCTTTTTAACCCTTGGCTTGGAACTTCAAATCTTTCAGTGTATTGAGCCTTTAGGGAGCGAAATAAGGTTGAAAAAAATGACCTAAATATAACCATTCTTAAATCTGACCGTTAACTTTAACGGATAGTTTTTCAGTCTAACTTTTAAGTTCAGTAGTTAACTAAGATAGTCTTTTAATAGGCGACCAGATTTTCTCCTCTCCCTGAGAGGTCTGGAAGATACTGCTTTCTAAAGCCTGATCCGCGAGCACGTAGAATTTTGTCCAATGATCCCAAGCTACCCATCTTTATCGCTCGCGCGTAATTATATTGCTGTCGCGACTGTGCGACGCGCGCCCGCAGTGAGTGTGCGAGCGCGACAGCAACATAATTACGCGCGAGCGATAAGGATGGGTAGCTAGGGGTCATTGGACAAAATTCTACGTGCTCACGGACCAGGCTTTAGCTATATACAGGGTGTTAGGTAAATGGGTATATGAGCCGACACTAGCCCATGTTAACATGGGCATATAAATGGTATGGTGAAGTCAGAAATTTGATATCATCATTTTAATTTTTTTAATTTTCATACAAAATATATTTTATAAATTCCGATTTGTATAAAAATTAAAATAGTTAAAATGAAGATATCAATTTTCTGACTTCACCATACCATTTATATGCCCATGTTAACATGGGCTAGTGTCGGCTCATATACCCATTTACCAAACACCCTGTATATAGCTAAAGCCTGGTCCGTGAGCACGTAGAATTTTGTCCAATGACCCCTAGCTACCCATCCTTATCGCTCGCGCGTAATTATGTTGCTGTCGCGCTCGCACACTCACTGCGGGCGCGCGTCGCACAGTCGCGACAGCAATATAATTACGCGCGAGCGATAAAGATGGGTAGCTTGGGATCATTGGACAAAATTCTACGTGCTCGCGGATCAGGCTTTAGAAAGCAGTATCTTCCAGACCTCTCAGGGAGAGGAGAAAATCTGGTCGCCTATTAAAAGACTATCTTAGTTAACTACTGAACTTAAAAGTTAGACTGAAAAACTATCCGTTAAAGTTAACGGTCAGATTTAAGAATGGTTATATTTAGGTCATTTTTTTCAACCTTATTTCGCTCCCTAAAGGCTCAATACACTGAAAGATTTGAAGTTCCAAGCCAAGGGTTAAAAAGGTACCTTCCTGAAAGTCCAGAACTCCCGAATCTCTTGAAAAGCAAGGCTATTACCAATATCAGATATTCATATAGACCAGGTGGAGTGGTCAGTAACATTGTATTCGTCAAAGACAAACATGCAGAATATACACAATAGTAACGTTACCTGCAAGAGTTTACAAATAAAAATTAATTACGCAACCTAAGATTATCTTTTGGAACTAGATAATACGATAAAAACTGTACAAATTATCTTTAAATCGTCATTCACAAATATGTTGATTAGCTGCGCACACACCTGTCTTGTTATCAATGATAGTTTTATTTCTCATCTACGTTATGTCCAAAATTTTATAGATTCACAATGACACTTGAATAGGCAATGATGATCAAGCAAGAATACAAAACAAATAATATATGGGAAAGCATTATAAAGTTGAGTATGACACGGTTTTCAACATCCTACAAAGGAATCGTCATTATTTTTTGGTAGCCGTAGTGTAGTTAACACTTAAAACACTTAAACAGTCAATGGTAGCAGTAACCACATTATTTCTAACTTTGTTCCCTCGTTTTAAGGACCAAAAACAATTAAATGTAGAGTTAGACATAAACACAACAACTCACCTTGCACACGAAATCTGAGGGGATCTCTTGTTCTCAGATCTCAGGCGGCCACACCGCATAAGTACAAGAAAGGTGACGTGGTGTCAACACCAACCGGCATTCGTAAGAAGTTCAATGGGAAGCAATGGAGGCGGCTCTGTTCCAAAGACTCGTGCACTAAAGAGAGCCAACGCCGCGGATTCTGCTCGCGCCATCTTTCCCTGCGTGGCGTGACGTCACGCTCGTCTAACACGCCCCTGGCTCAAGGGTCAACGCATACTCCGCAGCAGAGGTGTGTATATTTCTGTTCCTTTCTGCTTAATAGCGAAATCCCATTCTTCATTAGGCTTTAAGTTCTATTAGTTGCTTTCTCTCGTTCCTAACACGATTCCTGTAGTTAGACGCTAAATCCCAATATAGCAAGCCTTAGTTAGAATTATTTATGAGTTAGAATATTGGCGTAAGATGCTGTTAAGACGTCTCTCCTCGCCACCCCTAGCTGTAAATAGGATATTTGACAACATTAAACTTTTGTGAAGAATAAAATTTTTTTAACACAAACTTTTTTAAACAATCCCAAAATTACACAATGCGTATGGCGTTTGTTATTAAAAATATTCCGGGTTGATAAAATGACGTCACTATCAAGTTGTCTGCCGCGTAGACTGTAGCTCAGCATACGATTTCATTGTATCTCTTTCAATTATTAACCTTATGTACTAGTATGACGTTATATTTTTCAAGATCCCGTTTCGAGAATAAACTGTGATTAACAAAGCAATCTATAAACACGTTTAAAATTGACTAGGAGTGGCGTGGGTAGTGTTGATACTAATCAACACGCGCGCCTAGCGTACTTTCTAAAACTGCGTAGGTATATTAACGCCTCAATTTCTAGTCGGTGCCTCGCCTTATTTTTTCTGTACTAACACACAAAGTAAACAAGGGACGATCAGTTAAATTACCGGATTGTTCCAGAAGCAGTAGCAAGTCGCTATCATCGAGTGGGACCGGCGTGGAAGGAGATGAGACTTCCCGCGAGAGTGACACCACACCTCCTCACTACCGCGTCACAGGACGCTTCGACCCCGACGAGACCGAGGCCGCTAACATGCTGGGTGAGTGCACGAGAGGCCTGACAGACCTCAGCTAGCGTGGAGGGCGACGAGACCTCCCGCGAGAGTGACACCACACCTCCTCACTACCGCGTCACAGGACGCTTCGACCCCGACGAGACCGAGGCCGCTAACATGCTGGGTGAGTGCACGAGAGGCCTGACAGACCTCAGCTAGCGTGGAGGGCGACGAGACCTCCCGCGAGAGTGACACCACACCTCCTCACTACCGCGTCACAGGACGCTTCGACCCCGACGAGACCGAGGCCGCTAACATGCTGGGTGAGTGCACGAGAGGCCTGACAGACCTCAGCTAGCGTGGAGGGCGACGAGACCTCCCGCGAGAGTGACACCACACCTCCTCACTACCGCGTCACAGGACGCTTCGACCCCGACGAGACCGAGGCCGCTAACATGCTGGGTGAGTGCACGAGAGGCCTGACAGACCTCAGCTAGCGTGGAGGGCGACGAGACCTCCCGCGAGAGTGACACCACACCTCCTCACTACCGCGTCACAGGACGCTTCGACCCCGACGAGACCGAGGCCGCTAACATGCTGGGTGAGTGCACGAGAGGCCTGACAGACCTCAGCTAGCGTGGAGGGCGACGAGACCTCCCGCGAGAGTGACACCACACCTCCTCACTACCGCGTCACAGGACGCTTCGACCCCGACGAGACCGAGGCCGCTAACATGCTGGGTGAGTGCACGAGAGGCCTGACAGACCTCAGCTAGCGTGGAGGGCGACGAGACCTCCCGCGAGAGTGACACCACACCTCCTCACTACCGCGTCACAGGACGCTTCGACCCCGACGAGACCGAGGCCGCTAACATGCTGGGTGAGTGCACGAGAGGCCTGACAGACCTCAGCTAGCGTGGAGGGCGACGAGACCTCCCGCGAGAGTGACACCACACCTCCTCACTACCGCGTCACAGGACGCTTCGACCCCGACGAGACCGAGGCCGCTAACATGCTGGGTGAGTGCACGAGAGGCCTGACAGACCTCAGCTAGCGTGGAGGGCGACGAGACCTCCCGCGAGAGTGACACCACACCTCCTCACTACCGCGTCACAGGACGCTTCGACCCCGACGAGACCGAGGCCGCTAACATGCTGGGTGAGTGCACGAGAGGCCTGACAGACCTCAGCTAGCGTGGAGGGCGACGAGACCTCCCGCGAGAGTGACACCACACCTCCTCACTACCGCGTCACAGGACGCTTCGACCCCGACGAGACCGAGGCCGCTAACATGCTGGGTAAGCTCAGTTATTCCAACTTGAATTTATTGCAGAAACTACTAAATAAAAATTACATTCAAGTTCGCCTATTCGTTAGACCAGTGTTTTTCAACCTGGGTGGTCGCGAAGCCTCTATATGGGGGTCGCGAGAGGTCGTAAAAACTACCTCAGTAAAAAAGCCAGAGTAGTTTAAAAGCTAGATTTATCCGAAATCTAATTATGCAAATGCATAAATGTTGTATAGATTTAAGAATTCGTTCCCTACAACATCTTTGTAAAAGGCATGAAAAAAAAAGTGAACGGTCGGGGGGTCGCAAAATTTTATTCATGCTAGGGGGGTCGCGTCATGAAAAAGGTTGAAAAGCACTGCGTTAGACAAACGATGTCCTCAAACTTCATCTTCTTCTTATCGTGTCGACAACAAACCTACACAGTGTCAGCCCAAAACTCCGCCACAAGAGTGGCGTTATCAGCAGCATTCATTAAATAGATCCTCCTGCATGCAGTTAGTTGCTCGGGCACTCAGGGCATGACATCATGTGCTTCATCGACTGGGGAACAAAACTGCACCTGCACTCCATGAGCCATTCAAGAATCCCCACCTGAAGAAACCTTGGTGGCTTGCAGTTAGCTGTCTGCAGTCTATTTTGGACTTGTACCTTTAGACAGCACCATTTAGTCTCTTGAGTACTACTGTATTACTTTTTTGTTAATATTTAATTCATATTTGCCACCACCACTGCATAAAAATTAACAATCTTAATTTACTCTTTATTATTGTTAGGCCATAAAGGTTATCTACTCCCATGCTTTTACGCAAAATTAAGCATATTTCACAACTGATCCGCCCATTCAGAGTAGCGTACGCGTCACGCCCACGCGTCGCTCGATTCCATTCATTACGTCACAGGAATGCTATTCCGAATATAAAAATAATCCCGCCGACTCTCGTTTACGCCCGAGGCAAACAATTTGTAATGTTTACTCTAATTTTTGTTCCGAAATAATATACTCGTAATGCGTACTAATAATTTTGCGTTTAAAACTTATCGCGTAAAAAGTTGTAAGAAATTATCTCGTTCCGGATAGCATTTAAGTACATAATATTTTAATTTATTATCTATAGATTGTGATTATATGGATTTACTAAGATAATGAGAAGAAAGTAGGTTTATTCTCAACAGTTTGATGAAGGATAGATATGCCTACGCGAAATGTAACACCGAATCGTTTGAGTGTTCCTAATACAATATATTTAATTCGTTGCTGAAAGGCCACATGAGCACTATTTATTTAAAGACTCCGTGTATTTTGAGTACCGCGTGTCCTCGTCATCATCAGGTCTTGTATTCTGCAGAATGACGACCCTCTCTAATTTGATAAGGCGGAGAAGCTCTGGCCAGGCGAATAAGGGAGGTCTGAAGTTTACATAATTCTCCCTTAGTCGCTTCTTATGACATCCACGATAAGAGTGAGGGTTGTTCTATTCTACTATCCCGCACGGCTCAATGAGGGCTATCGTTTTAGCGCTCACCAGATGGCGCCACTGTAGAGTAAGGTCCTGTCACTTGCTAGTAGCGAAGACAGGGGCGCCAACTGGTGAGCGCGAAAGTGGTAGGAGGACTATCGCATTTGCACTCATCAAGATGGCGCCACTGTAGAGTAAGATCCTGTCAATCGCCAGGGGTGCCAACTGTTAAGTATAAAAACGATAGCCCACAAATTATTTATAAACAAAATAAATATTGTTCCAGTGTCGCTAGGCAGCTCTCGCTCGGGCAGTCCCGGGGCTTCCCCGGTAGGCGGCGTGGCGTCTCCAGGGCTTCGAAATAACGTGTTCGTGCCGATATCCAGTCCGCAGCCGCAGCCGCCGCACGGGCCCACTGTGTACCATCACCTTATCAGGTAAGGGTGAAGGGAACGCCGTAATATCACTCTTGAAATTACCATGGAGGCTTTTTAAACTACTAGGAGATCAAGAGAGGACTCTTTTCCTCTAAAAAATGGTAAATGCGAAATTAATCAAACTTTTCAGTGATTAGTAACGTACAACTGTTAGGATTTTTTTTGAGAACAGACTGGAAACCGAAAGACCCGCTGGGTCGCGGGGCCCGATTCTGCAAGCGTTCTCCGACAGTCCTTTTCCATTGGACTTATCACTGATAGGACGCGTCGTTTTTGAGAGATTCATCGACAGAATGCACGTGCTCAAGAGTGCCTAGTGAGAAAGAGGGGTCTTCTTAAAGGATAATCAATAGGTGTCTATTTTGAACACAACCCAACGTTTGATGTTTTATAATGGTATATTGTTCGTTTCGAATTCAATAATAATTAAACAGGCCCGCGCCGACATGTCGCCGTTAACTGACTAAATTAATGTGTAATTGATTTCGAAAGCAATCAAAAACGAATTTTACAAATAATTGGAGAGGAGCCAGCTTCACAAGAGTGTGTTTATTTGATGTCTTTAATTAATTTATAGGTGCATGCCATTACTATTAAAGTCTTTAATGTATTTTTTGAGATGAGCTGCAGTGTACTTTTGTTTATAAGTACTTAACTACTTTCTTTTGTTTATTAAGAGGCCAGCTAATATTGTTAGGTTTTGTTTCAAGTTAATTATTATATTGCAGGCCAGAGCTGGTTCGGCCCGGTAGAGGCAGTCCTCCCGTTGGAGGTGTAGCCACTAGCGTCATCAGGGTATCCCCTGCGCCTACATACTATCAGGTATTTAAGACTCCATACCTTAATAGTTTGTAATATTTGTAATGATAAGTTATTAATTTGATATTTTGTTTAGGTCTCAGAAAACCGCAACGGTCCCACTAATCTCCACCCAAACATAACTTCCCAATCCAGCGTGATCGGCGTCCAAACGTCGGGCCTAAATAGCCAGAGCACGATCCAGATAAGTCTCAACGCGCCCACCAGTCTGCAATCCAGTCTCTCCCTCCCTTCCAGTATATCCCTGAACCTGAACAACCAGAATCACCAAACCAGCATCGCAAATACAATTCGAAGTACGAACGAGATCCCGCACAATTTAGTCGTACACCGCACCACTAACGGTATCGACATAGACGTATACAGGCAGCAGCCGTTACATCTAAGGAACGGCATCCACGAATACCGTCGCGAGGAATCGCCAACAATGAATAGCCATGAGAATTTTTTAAATAGACGAGTCTCGGAGTATGAGGACGACGATCACGCTATACCTCAGAGGGAGAGAGAGAACGCCCGCCCTGGGGGTCTGTCGGACCCCCGCCCGGGGGGTCTATCAGACCCCCGCCCGCCGGAAATGTCCGAGACTCGCGTGGAAGACAAGAGGATTGTGAAGCCGGCGCCGGTGCAAGCGAGACTCGTCTCCGTGCTGGACACGGAGTCGAAAGACGCTATGAAGAGGTACTACGTGATACCGCAGAACACACTTTGTGAGAAGAAGATTGTGCTGATTAAAAATGAGCCGGAGACTGTTCAAGTAAGTGTTTAACAGTCGTTGTATCGTTCGTTCGTTTCAGCCGAAAGACGTCCACTGCTGGACAAAGGCCTCCCCCAAGGATTTCCACAAAGACCGGTCCTGCGCCGTTGGCATCCAGGCACCTCCCGCGACCTTCACCAGATCGTCGGTCCATCTAGTGGGAGGCCTGCCCACGCTACGTCTTCCGGCTCGTGGTCGCCTCTCAAATCCACTCAAGTCGTCGTATAAAGAAGCTCGATTTAGTTTCAAGCATATATTGAGGCTTGATTGGTTCATCATCATTACAGCCACAGGACGTCCACTGCTGAACATGGGCCTCCCCAATGATTTCCAGATTGGTAGCGGCTTGCATTCAGCGCCTTCTTGCTACCTTTAAGAGGTCGTCTGATGTTTGATTGGTTGAGACCAATCACAGTACTTAATCTATGACTGACTGAATCGAGTTTTAAGTTACTGAAATACCTGTACATTAGCTTTAAACAGGTGCATATAATATTGAAAATAACTATTCCAGATAGAGCAGAAGATGTCTCAATTGGGTCAGCACCTCAACAACAACGAACCAGAACACGAAAGGGGTCTTGACAATGGAGTCAATGACCATGTAAGTAATTTATTAATTTTGATATAAAAGAAATAGGGATGTTGCCTGGATGAAAAAGCAAGAGTTTCAATTAGTCCGTCCGTTAACTTATCAAAAAATAGTCGACACGTATTTTTCATTTTTTCAAACTAATGAACATTAAAGGAGATAAAGCGCGCCAAAGTTCAGTAGTAGCACTTTGTGACGTCACGTGGAACTTCAACGCATCATAACTTCGTAATTACTTGATTGACAAATAAAAATATACGTGTCCAATATTTTTTGATAATGTCATTGACGGACTAAACGTTTTTGTTTTTTTAGGAAACTATCAATTCCTATATAGATAATGTAATGTGTATAATTTTGTTTTCAGGTAAATAATGTGAACAATAGTGCTGTGATAGTGCACCCCAGTCAGCTGCTGCCTGTCTTGCCTCCGCCTACGTCACACACAGCTATCATAGGTGAGCTTAGATTTTAGTGAGATTTATAGTATTACACCTTTAAAGTAAGCTTTTATTATAGCAGCAGCAGGAAAGTGCGGGTCCAATGACAGTTTAACTTTCCCCCGGGACAAACTTGACCTTAATTGGTTGGGTTTTTATTGGCGGTCAAGCTATAGATTCTGGCTATGCAGGGTTCAGGTTCAGGTGGGAATGAGAGGTGGGTGTGAGACTAGTCCCGTTATATTTACTTACGAACTTCCAACAATTTGATAGATTTTTTTCAAATCAATGTAGTTTTGACTGCCTATCTGTAATCTGAGGGCTTAGTGTAAGTTTATATCAAATGTCGTCACTAGCGAGCGCGTTAAAAAAATATATGAAGATTTTAGTTCTTGAAAGTTTCCGCTAGGGGCGCTGTACAATCCGTCACACTCAATCCGTCCGTACAATCCGTCAATGTCTCTTTTTTACGCAGTCCCTAGTGAAGACGATTGATGTAAACTCACACTACGCCCCCCTGTTTGTGAAGAACTCTACAATAAACACATGTTTATTCCCCAGTATCAACAAGCGGCGTGCAAGGCGGCGTGTTCCCCTGGCAGTCGCTGGTCCCGCTACTGGCCGCGTCGTCCCCACCCCCCGCGGCGCCGGCGTCCCCGCGAACGCCCCGCACGCCGCGGACGCCCCACACGCCCCATACGCCCCACACGCCGCAGACGCCGCACACGCCCCACATCAAGACTGAGGACCAGATCAAGACTGAGGCTACTGGTGAGTGAGATAGGATTGTGAAGGTTGATATTATTCTTTATTGTAACGTTTATTATGGCCGGGTAGGGTCGCCTAGAGCGAGGCACAAGTTAAAGTAGGTACTAACAACTCAAGAATATGATTATTAAAATTTCTTAGCGATTAGAGTCGCTTCGCAAACTAAATTTTAAATAAACTTGAAAAAAATCGAACTGCCTAAGGCGGGAATCGAACCCACGACCATTCGCTAGCCGGGCGTCTGCTCTTCCAACTGAGCTACTTAGACACGGATTGTTGTTTATTTAAAATCAAGAATATGACTTTATTATAGTCTTAACTCCCCCCTACGTCTCTAGTTTCCCGAATACTGACTTATTCGGCCTCTTCAAGGCAAGTATAAATGAATAGGCACTTATTGAGCTGGTGTGTACCATCCCTGACTGCAAAAAGGACATTCGTGAGCTAACCAAACAAAACCTCAAAACCGCCGGAACTTTGTCTTTTTGATTGTTGTTAAATACCTGCCTAGTCTAAAAAAGCCTAATCAAACTTCATTCTCCAGGTGACGCCACCGCCGTGTGTACGGAGGAAGACGACGACGTTTTCGAGTGTGAAGAAACAACCGGCACAGAAGAGTCCAATAAGCGCCGGTCGCAGAGCCTGTCTGCGCTTAACTCGCCCGCCGCCACGGAGAAGGTAAGGAAGGTAGTTATACTTTCATCTTTCTTGCTTATCATCACCATGATTATTATCATGTCTGTCATTATCATCACTGTAACCATGATTATTATCATCATCGTCATGATTACATGTCAACTCTCAACGGTCAACTCGCCGCCTGCCACGGAGAAGGTAAGGAAGGTAGTTATACTTTCATCTTTCTTGCTCATTATCCCCCATCATCATCACCGTAATCATCATCATCATTAGTCTGTTTGCGTTCAACTATCCCACCGCCACGGAGAAGGTAAGGAAGGTAGACTGCCTTTCATCTTTCTTGCCTAACTTTAAGTTACTCATCATCATCTTGTTGCCACTGCAGGACCTCCCTCTAATTTGCCACAGGTAAATAGAGCATTTAGCTAGAGCATTTACACCCGTATTCAAAAAATTACTACTCATAGTATCACACGTCTACGCGCACTGTGAGACCAAAGGGTGCCAAAAATTCATAGACAATACTAATTGAGGGGTGGAGCGACACACAATAACCAATCACAGAGCTCTATTCAACGCTGTGCGTACTACTCTGCATAGCGTTGCTGCTTTACTCAAGCAAGCATTGTTTGTTAATACGGGTGTTAGCCAACACCTTGTTTTATTTGTCCCATATTCGCTCTACGACATACGGAGCGATCCATGTTTATCTAATTACCATGGTTATCCAAATGTAAATAGACAGGGATTTATTCTTAGGGATAAAATAATAATGTTCGAAGACACACCTTTTGAAAAGCTATTCATAGGTGTGGCATAAAAAGTACAAGTACAAGATAATAAGATGTTCCTTGCTCCCGACATAAAAATAGATTCACTATATGTTTACTATATACTCCGAAAGTGAAACTATACTATCATCAGTACGGTAGCATTCCCGCTACGCTAACCGTCTAGACCGGGTTCGTATCTTGAACATTCTTCCAGGGATAGTACTCAATAAAGATTCTGTTTCAAATATTTATAACTGCTTAAAGTATTCTAAATATAAAGAGCTATTGTTAGTTGATGCCTATGGAGAAATAGTACGATAGTATGATCACATGGTATTTATGTACGCGGTAAATCAAACTACTGTTTACCCTAACAATGAACTACGTTGGTCTATGTTACCGTAATAAATCTATTTTGTAAAGCTATTATATTTATTATCCATAAATGTACGTCTAAAACCTCTGATTTCAAGATAAAGGTCAGGTTGAAATAGTTGTTATGGTTGTCGTATTTAAAAATCATATAATACATGAATTTCAAGTTCACGTTGTTCTTATCTTGCACTGGATTTTGCACGCGGCTCCGCCGCTAATAATGTAGCTTACTATTGAGAAAAAATTGAAATCGGTTCAGTAGTCCCAGAGATCATTTTCTGACAAACTTAAAACTTGCAGGGCTATATTACAAAGTTAAATGCGCGTTGAACACTCGACATTTAGTATGGAAATGACACTTTAAACCAGTGTTCAACGTGCTTTTAACTGTTTTTTGCAAAAACACTGACAAACTACCTCTTTTATAATATTAGTGTACATTAAAAACCCCTTTTCCATCGCAGAAGGAGCGTCGCATCCGACGTCCAATGAACGCGTTCATGATCTTCTCCAAACGGCACCGGCAAATCGTGCACCAACTGCACCCGAACCAAGACAACCGGACCGTCAGCAAGATATTGGGGGAGTGGTGGTACTCTCTGAAGCCTGAAGAGAAGCAGAAGTATAACGAGTTGGCGAGCGAGGTAGGTTTATTAATTTAATCATTAAATAGTTGTATTTAAGTAAGACGAATGTAATTAATCTTCAATAGTTCCATTTATACGAAAGTGAACAATTATCTATACTCGCCTTTACTATTTAAAAATCAGTTCATATCAGTCTACTGCTAGACGGGGCTTGCCCCAATGTACACCTCACAGCCTATCAGATTATTATTGCTAAAATAATTTGTAATTTTTTACCTTGATGTCCCGTATTCTGTACGCCTTTAAGTGTAGTCGTAGGCTATTTTGTCACTTTCAACAAATACCTACTTATTTGTATAACGTTGCTCTGTAACATTATACGATTATTGCCTTTTTATTACATAAATACTTCTTGTGTTCTAGGTAAAAGAAGCCCACTTCAAAGCTCACCCCGAGTGGAAATGGTGCAATAAAGACAGGAGGAAGTCTTCAAGCAGTAGAGACCCTACTGGTTCTATGCCACAGGTAAGAATTTCAATCAAGAGCTCTTTTTGTAGGTATTTTTAAAATAGTTTCTGTTTAAAACTTAAAACTACTATTAGAAATACGACACTTAGATGTGATTAGCCACCACATTATTTCTTCTTCTTCTATCGCCACACGATTTTTTGCCAACTAAGCTCACAATTTATGAGCCGCCATAGTAAACGCGTTTGAAACGGCTCAATAGAAAGCCCCCTCCGAACCCAGGCATGCTTTTTTTTGACAGTAACATTGTGTTATAAATCCGCCCCACTGCAAAGATGCAATGTCCAGCTTTGTAGATACCCCAAATTTTGCAGACCTTGAATGTAGAGTCAAAAGCATTATACTAAACATATTTGCTGCAAAACCATACTTATTATCAATACATAAGATACAGTGTCCAGTTTAGCGCAACACTTCAAAATTCGTTATTTATTAGATTATAATTCTTGTTGCAAAACCGCACCTATCCCCACTACATAGCTACCATTCTTCCACAGAGTCCTCGGACGCCGTCAGAAGCGGGCGCGGGCGCGAGCGCAGACGTGCCAGTTACGGTGGCTGCGTACGCGCACGTGGGATCGCCGCAGCTCAGTGACGACGAGCCTATGGTTTGTATTTGTGATGTAAAATGGGCTTTATTTACAGGGTGTTAGGGACAGGTTTAAACGACAAGTTTAGAGGTACTTCTCAAAGTAAAATATGTAAAGTATGGTGTAGGTCAGGAGTGGTCAACCAATCGATCGCGACTATAGTCCAGTCGATCGTGGCAAGGCAAAAAATACTACATGATTGTGTACTAAACTATGCTATTTCATTTAAGATTTCAAGAAGTATGTAAGTGGTAGATCACCCAGGGTTTTGTTAGTAAACAGTAGATCTTATGTCTAATCAAGTTGGCCACCCCTGGTGTAGGTAGTCTATAAAAGGCGAAAAAAAATTATTATTTGTCAATGAACTCGCCAACTGAGCATTTAAATTGTATAGTTAACTCATTGGGAAAGAAAAGAGTCATATGATTTTAACGTACTCCTTGTTGTACTATCGATATCCTAACTGATGCTCGAGGTGTGTCATCATCTCTAGTGATAGCGCCCCCAGTGATTGCATTGGTTTGGCTAAAGCTTTACTTTAGAAAAAACATTACTTAGGTATACCAAGTCAAATGGTCAAATACCTGCCTTGTTATGCATAAAAAAAAAGTATATCCTCTTTTGTAACAATCTAAATATGGGTTTTATATTTACAGATAACACAAACGCTCTGCGAAGAAACACCAGCGCCTGCTCCGAACCTCGAGATCGATCTCAAGTGCGGGGAGAAAGTCACCGACTCCGACTCAGAAGGGATCGACACCCGAGACTATCTGCCCCATCACGACCATACGAGACGGCCTAAACCTATTAAGGCTAGGTGAGTAGTTAGGTACTTAGTATTTACACAAAATGAATATTTTCACCTAACCGTGGTAGGGGGAAGGGAGTCGTAATAGTTGGACGCTTATTTTTTCTCAAAAACAGGATTTTCTATACAGGTAAAATCACTTCACGACTGGTAAATCTGATTGAAATGGGTTAGATGCAAGTTTACCAAAGGTGTAGAATGCAAATGTGAAGGTCTGAATCTTTTCTATTGTATCATAAATATTAACGTGTATTTTGTGTTGTTTTAGAGCTGGCTCGTCAGACAACCTTCTCGGTGGGATCACAGCTTCGAGTCCTGGGGGGTCTAAAGTGTTCCAACCCACTGGTGGTGCGTTCAAATCTACACACGCTGATACAGGTTAGTTTTTTAAATATCTCTGGAAGTATTCTTCGAAATATATACCTACAGCATTTTTATTTGGTTATACCACAGAATTAATAAGTACTGCGGTTATACCTAAGTGTCTTTCTACTATGAGTAACACGAAGTTGTCTAGAATTAGCCAAAGGAGAAATTCTAGAGACTTTATTTTGTTCGTTCGTTTCAGCCGAAAGACGTCCTCTGCTGGACAAAGGCCTCACCCAAAGATTTCCACGAAGACCGGTCCTGCGCCGCTCGCATCTTTTAGAGACTTTATCTTGATTGAAAATGTCAATTCTATTTTGGGAACTATGTAATAGAAAATTCAGTTACTATTTGTACACTATGTAGCTTGGTTGCTTTCAGCTATATTCATTTTGTTAGTAGCAGTCGCGGACTCTCTGTCTCATGTCTTTTAGAAGTAGCTTGTCGATAAAATTTATTTATTTTATTTAAAGACTTTATTGCACACACAACAATGTTCAGTACAAAAAGGCGAGCTTAATGCCATAAGTCATTCTCTACCAGCTGACCTTGAGCAAAACAGAGATATTGAGTAGGCGGTGCTAAAAAGCTACAAAAATGTACACAATATAATACATAAAATATTATAATATATATACATAAATACATACATATAATTTATATAAAATGGATGACGATAAAACTACCTCATTTACATCTAACATATTCCTATTTGTTCCAGGCGACAACCACCGGCAGTGGTTCACCCACCTCAAGACGAGCGTGCCAAGCCAAGTGCCAAGTTCCCCTCACCCCTCGCAGTCGATATCTACAAGCACTCAGAGTCTGACCAACAGTGTTCAAGGCATATCGCTGAGCGCACCCAATCTCACCACCCAGGCTGCGTTGGACAACGCTATTGCTTCGATTATGAATTCTCCCACGTCTACTAGTGGAGTGCAGGTAGGCATTTGATAGTTATCTATTCTGTTTTCTTTTACCTACATCTTACCTGCTGGAAAGTGATGATCAGGCCGAAGGTGGAAGCAAGCTTCAACTAGAATCTTTAACCACAGACTCTGGAGGATTTACGTTTGATTTTGATAACGATAAGAACCATCCAAAAGCTAATCATGAAACATCAGTGCACTTACCATGAGTTTAAATCTGGTGTGCTCGCTAGCGACTGCATAAAAAATGACTTGAAATGAAGACAAATTGTACAGCGTCCCTAACTGTTACTTTCAAGAACTAAAATCTTCATCCTACTAATATTATAAATGCGAAAGTTTGGATTTCTGGATGTCTGGATGTTTGTTACTCTTTCACGCAAAAACTACTGAACGGATTTTGTTGAAACTTTACAGTATTATTGTTTGTAACCCAGATTAACATATAGGCTATAGTTTATGCCGATCTGTAACACTAAATTTCATGCGGGTGAAGCCGCGGGCAAAAGCTAGTAGTTAATAAACGTACTACTCGTTAGCGATGACGTTTAATCTAAACTCACTGTAAAGCTACTGTTGTGCTGCTGCCTACTTGACTGTTTAAAACAAGACTATACATCCGCAAAGTGTTTTGGTCCACAGGTGATCTCGCAGACTTCCACGTCGCTGCTCAAGAGCGTCACTCTCGTCAAGAGGAATATCAACGATAACACTGGTAAGTCCATGCACTATTTTTTTTCTCGTGCCTTGTTTGTTGACTAGTCTACCCTAGAAATTATGAATGTACGGAATAATAAAACTTGTAAACGCCATAATAATATCATTTAAAAAAATGCTTTGCTTTGGAACGGTTGTTGAAACAAAAGGTACGTCGAACCGCATTTGAGTTGTCCAGCATGTCAAAAAACATATTTTTTTGTTTGTCTGTACCATCTGTGGTACCATGCTGTACTTACAAAGTGACGTGCAGTGTAAAGCAAAGCTGCACAAATCCGGCTTCTTTGTAATAGAGCACTTGTAAAATAAACATCTATGTCGATATCTTTCTTCATGCAACACAAGTTTATCTATTGCAACTCTAGGGATTTTGAACTATCGCTCGGCCTTCGGCCTCGTACAAAACTTAATTTGTGTTCCTCTAATCCACGTTCGTAACTGACCTTTGGAACTACCGACTAACTTCGTGACTAACCAGTTATGAACAGAGAAAACAAAAACCATTTTCATTAGTTATTATTTATGAAACATGGTTGCAAAAACGATAAGTAGGTAAATTCCATTCTCGTAACTGGTTATCAAGCAAGAAAAAAAATCCATGTTCGTTTCTGGTTACCAAAGGTCAGTTACGAACGTGGATTAAAGGTTTGTGTTCAACTTCAATACATTTGCAGGGCCCCTAACCCTGTCCGTGGATGCGTCAGGCAAGTTCCTAATCACGGCCAGCCAGGCCGGCGAGCAGCCGGGCGAACAGCCCTTGCAGTATGTACAGCTGCAGAGACTGTATGTGCCTACCTTCAGTAATGGTAAGTACTTATAACTGAAGATTTATCATTTAAAGTCTAGCCGCCGAGCGTGTAGAATTTCGTCCAATGACCCCAAGCTACCCATCCTTATCGCTCGCGCGTAATTATTATTGAATGTGCGACGGGCGATCGCAGTGAGTGTGCGAGCGCGACAGCAATATGGATAGATAGATAGGGTAGCTTGGGGTCATTGGACGAAATTCTACACGCTCGGCGACCGGACTTTAGTCTCCTACTTTTTACGTTTGTCCCGTTATTAGTCGGGCTTCAAAGAGGAAGAGAATGAAAACTGAAGATATAACATCATCCGGACATTTCACTGCAGTAAAACGATCCTCTCTAAATTACCTGAGACAAATTAAGTATTTACAATAACCACATTAGCCAGACGGGATGGGGAGGTCTAATGCTCTAATATTTCTTTTTATTGCATTTAAGAATTTTCATATTTAAGTTAGACCTTAAGAGCGCTTTCATATTAGGGCCTTAGTAGCGCGACAGCAGCGCGGCAGCGGCGTTTTTATAATGTGAAGGCATACATCCGCTTTCACATGTTATGAAATTCTCGCCAGCACGTCTGTCGCGCGTTTGTCGCACTGCTAAATCGCCTAAATGTGAAAACGCTTTTAATATAGAAGTTTCATTGCATAAAGCTATGTTAATATTTGTTGCAGAAGTGGAAACCAGTAAACCCCAAAGTCAAAACGTACAAAGCGCCCCTCCATCTGTGATAGTGTCGCAAAGCAACAGCCAGAGCGCGCCTAAACCTGTAAATAATGTGTAAGTATTCCGTACATAACACGCAAAACTATTTCTTTATCTAGTGCCAAGATGACATGGTCTGATCAGCAGAAGTAAATAATTTCTTTGACCTTTAAATAATAGTTAAAGTTTTTGTGTTTGCTCGTTCATCGACATCGCGTCGAGGTCGGATAGCCACTACTTGAATTAAGCTATGTGGATGTTTCATTGTGACCACAATTGTGTTTCATTGTGAGCAATTTTTTCGCTCAATGAGCGTTATCGGTCTTTGAGCGTAATATTTACACAAACTTTCTTTTTAGATCACAGGGTTCTGTTACGCCTTGTACAGTCTATAGCACGTAGGGTTAAACATTTTTTATTTGCGAAGTAGCACCTTTACCCACTGCGACATCACAATGTTTGATGTTCTATCGTCTGCACAATAGTCTAAATCAGGGGTCTCCAAACTTTGAAGCCTTGGGGCCATAATATTTTTTCGGTATGTTTCAAGGGCCATAACAATTTTAATTTTTGTGCCCACTTATGCAAACATAGGCTTAGTCTTAAGCACTAGGCTAGGCTATGGCCCGCGGGCCGTAGCTTGGAGACCCCTGGTCTAAATAAATAACTGCATTTTTAAATTCTACAGGCAATGGGAGACACCGGCAGAGGAGACTAGGCCATTCCCGCTGGCGCCCACGCCTGCTCAGCTCGGCCGAGCGCCATTGCAGAAGCGGCTTAGTCGAGGTACGGTGTTGTATACATGTATAGATGCTTATTGAGTTGGCGTTTAGGCGTGACGGAATGACTTGGGGAAAATGAATATAAAAAAAATTAAAACACTAGTTCAGTTTTACTTAAAATATTGAGATTAATTAGGTTTTCAATATAATACAACATTAAAATACTACAATCGGCCATTTTGACTGAAACACTAATCACAGCGCATGACGTCAATGTTTTACTAGGGATGAGGTAAAAATATCGGGTTACGTATTTTTTTCTACAGGGTGTTAGGTAAATGGGTATATGAGCCGACACTAGCCCATGTGACCATGGTCATATAAATGGTATGGTGAAGTCAGAAAATTGATATCTTCATTTTAATTATTTTAATTTTCATACAAATCGGATTTTATAAAATTTATTTTGTATGAAAATTAAAAAAATGTCGGCTCATGTACCCATTTACCTAACACCCTGTATACTAGGCAATACGTAATTCGAGACACCTCTCGTTCTCACCGCTGCAACTCCTGTGTAGCTAGGATCTACAGCTTGACCGGCAATTGATTGTGTTAAGTGTATAGAAGATTGCTAACTCATTCCTGTTCAACAGGAACGTCTACAGGCTCCACCGGCAGCGCGGAGCAGCGGCCCGCCACGGATAGCGGCCCTACCACGCCGCTGGACGAGCCGCTGCCCTCGCCCAAGCACGACCTGCCCAGCCCCTCGCTCAAGAAGAGCCTGTTCAAGAAAGGCAACGAGGACGGCCGCGACAAGTGAGTGTTGGTCTACAGTAGATGTAGCATTCCCTCGGGCTGTTAACGGGACTATTCCCACTCGTTCCTACTGCTGGCCCGCCAAGGACAGCGGCCCCACCACGCCGCTAGACGAACCCATGCCCTCGCCCAAGCACGACCTGCCCAGCCCCTCGCTAAAGAAGAGCCTGTTCAAGAAGGGCAACGAGGACGGCCGCGACAAGTGAGNGCCGGCCACCGCCGCGTGCTCGAGCAGCGCCGCAACCTCGTGCTCAAGCTCTTCAAGGAGCAGGGCATGTTCCCCAGCTCGCAGGCCACCACCAACTTCCAGGTCAGTCCTACTGATGTGGCAGGCTGCGGTGTGACGGAGTGACGTCACCCGCCGGCCACCGCCGCGTGCTCGAGCAGCGNGGACAGCGGCCCCACCACGCCGCTGGACGAGCCGCTGCCCTCGCCCAAGCACGACCTGCCCAGCCCCTCGCTCAAGAAGAGCCTGTTCAAGAAGGGCAACGAGGACGGCCGCGACAAGTGAGTGTTGGTGTACAGTAGATGCAGCGTTCCCTTGGGCTGTTAACGGGACTATTCCCACTGCTGGCCCGCCACGGATAGCGGCCCCACCACGCCGCTGGACGAGCCGCTGCCCTCGCCCAAGCACGACCTGCCCAGCCCCTCGCTCAAGAAGAGCCTGTTCAAGAAAAGCAACGAGGACGGCCGCGACAAGTGAGTGTTGGTAGGACAGTAGACGCAGCGTTCCCGTGGGCTGTTAACGGGACTATTCCCACTCGTTCCCACTGCTGGCCCGCCACGGATAGCGGCCCCACCACGCCGCTAGACGAGCCGCTGCCCTCGCCCAAGCACGACCTGCCCAGCCCCTCGCTCAAGAAGAGCCTGTTCAAGAAAGGCAATGAGGACGGCCGCGACAAGTGAGTGTTGCTGAGACACCAGACGACCGTGACGACCGTGACCGTTCGCTTTCGAGCGAGACTAGCCTAGCCTGAGACGGAGCCTTCCAAGATAGGACATTAACTTGCGGACCCTTTTCATAGGCTCCGTAGGACACCGACGGGTTTTAGTGGTTAGGCCCTTCTAGCGGGGAGAGTTCCACCCACCCATTTCCCGACGGAAAAAATAGTGAGAGAGCCGTTTGGCTATCGAATACACACCATACCATAATAGTATCTCGATTCCATGGTTACTAAATAATACACTATCATCCATCAGTCGTCATTAAGAGCGTTTACGTCTAGCGTGGCATGTCAAGTTTAGGTAATTTCGATGCTATTTTTATTCACACTAAAATAATTATGACTGTGTGCGTGTTCTCANGAACGATTCGTGCGCGGCGTTTTATAGTACATTTCAAATACTCATAGAAAAAAAATTACAATGAATTATTTTAAATTTCAAAGTAAATATTTTTGATAAGATATTCTTCTATTATATTAAGCTATTTTTGTGTTGAATAAAGGAAGAATATTGGTGAAAAAATCACTTTGATTTTTGGGTATTTCACGTTTTTTTAATTTGTGATTTCTTATTGTAAAATGCTTAAATCTAAAAATTTTCTCAGATAACTATTTGCCCAAGGATCTACGCTATAGGATATAAATGTTTGTTTAATCGTTTTCACAGTATTTTTATAAAAATTTCAGCTTGTAAACTGACGCTAAAGTGGAAATTTACAAAACTTGTGTGGACTTATCTTGATAGAATTCCTGAATACTAAACTAATCGCAATATTTTCTCAATTAACTATTTAGACGACGAAATTGCCTAACTATTTATGCCTATAACATATTTGTAGTATTACTGGTTAATGATTGTAACGAGTTGAAAAAGTACTGTTTTTGCGCCAAACGGCGTAAACGCTCTTAATCGTTTTCGTCCAAAACAACGAAAGTAGCAGACTGTAAGTACCAATAGGCAGGTTAAATCGTTCGCAGAATATTGGGAAAGAATGATTATCAGATGACATAGAAAAGTCGGTCTAAAATCCGAAGTTTTCTCTGAGTAATCTGGTTTAGTACGTTAGAAAATTTCCGGCTTCAAATTATTGGGAATGGGCATATCGCTAAAGTTTCTATAATTGAAACACAGAAAGGCTAACGCAATTTATCCTCTATTGCAGGGTGTTAGAGTCGGTGAAGTTCGAGCAGAAGTTCAGCACTTTACCGCAGTTCAAACCAGAAGCATGTAGCCCCAGTGCAATGGTGGTGCCGTGCAGCCCGCTGTACTTGCGGAAGAAACACAACAAGATGGGAATGGGTAAGACATAATTGAACATACATGTTACCTACTTAAAATGTCTTCATCATAGGCATATGACGTCCACTGGTAAACATAGGCCTGCTTTTCACATCGCCCGGTTGGTAGCGTCCTGCATCCAGCGCCGTCTTGCTACTTTTATGAGGTCATAGGTCCATCTTGTGCTGAAATGCCTTGGCAATCAATAATTTTTATAATCTCATTCAAATTGATGAATCTTTTTACAGTTTTGTTTCTTCGTTTCGTAGAAAGAAATTTCTCTCCGTTATTTCTTTACGAAATTCGTACAGAACGAAAATAACGGTTTTTGATTAATGAGGGCTATCGTTTTAGCGCTCACCAGTTAGCGCCACTGTAGAGTAAGGTCCTGTCACTTGCTAGTAGCGAAGACAGTGGCACCAACTGGTGAGCGCTAAAGTGGTAGGAGGACTATTGCATTTGCACTCATCAAGATGGCGCCACTGTAGAGTAAGGTCCTGTCAATCGCCAGGGGTACCAACTGTTATGTATAAAAACGATAGCGCACCTGATGTACGATTACAGAATACACAGTTCTATTTCTGTAATGCGACTATTTCTAACAAAATAAGCTAAGATCAACTTTTTTTGCATATTACTTGTGTTGTCTGTCTTGTTCTGTCTAATTTCAAACTCCTTCCACAGATGAGGAAAGCACAGTGGTGACGCCACAACTAGAACCGGAGGTGATCAACGTGAACGGCAACAGTATGCCCACGCCGCACTCCTACGGAACCCCACATACCACCACCAAGCTGGTCGGGAACACATTCTTCGGGCCCGACTTCAACCTGGAGACCTTCAGAGGTGAGTTACGTCATCATCATGGCAAAATCGAGACGGTCATTGATCATTTCTTATGTAGGTTACAATCTACAAGCACCATAGATATCTGACATGACATGGCTTTATCAGATCGATAGCTTAACATGTTCTCGAATACGAAATGAGTTTTACCTTGATTATGCTGTTGTTTCATACAGTCAATTTGTCTTGTGAGTGACCCATCTAAGGTTGAATATCGCATAGCAAACTGTGATTACTACCACTAAAGCATGTGTATTGTTATGTGAGTGTTGTTGAACAACATTTTGACAAAATGGGACGGCTATTACGTTTAGTCGTCAGCATTTCAGACTGTTTAATTGTTAAGGCTGAGTTACACCATTTTATTTTAATTTTACCAACCGTCAAAAATATGTCAAACTTCATTCAAAAAGCACCGGTTATCGTCATAGTTACCGTTAAAATTAGGTGGTGCAACTCAGCCTAAGGCTCGGACTGGGACTAGTATTTGGACTAGGACTGGCTGGGCTGGGACTATAGTCTAGTCCGCGGGCACGTAGAATTTTGTCCAATGACCCCTAGCTACCCATCCTTATCGCTCGCGCGTAATTATATTGCTGTCGCGACTGTGCGACGGGCGCCCGCAGTGAGTGTGCGAGCGTACGTGCTCACAGACCGGGTTTTAGTCGATAGATGTCGCCACATGTTTATTTAATGGTCTTTTACCTTCAGGTTCGGAGAGCCTCGACGAGATGTCGCCACGCACGCCGTGCTCGGGCAGCGCGTGCGCGCCGGCGGGCGCGTGCGGCGCGCGCGGCGAGGCCGGCCACCGCCGCGTGCTCGAGCAGCGCCGCAACCTCGTGCTCAAGCTCTTCAAGGAGCAGGGCATGTTCCCCAGCTCGCAGGCCACCACCAACTTCCAGGTCAGTCCTACTGATGTGGCAGGCTGCGGTGTGACGGAGTGACGTCACCCGCCGGCCACCGCCGCGTGCTCGAGCAGCGCCGCAACCTCGTGCTCAAGCTCTTCAAGGAGCAGGGCATGTTCCCCAGCTCGCAGGCCACCACCAACTTCCAGGTCAGTCCTACTGATGTGGCAGGCTGCGGTGTGACGGAGTGACGTCACCCGCCGGCCACCGCCGCGTGCTCGAGCAGCGCCGCAACCTCGTGCTCAAGCTCTTCAAGGAGCAGGGCATGTTCCCCAGCTCGCAGGCCACCACCAACTTCCAGGTCAGTCCTACTGATGTGGCAGGCTGCGGTGTGACGGAGTGACGTCACCCGCCGGCCACCGCCGCGTGCTCGAGCAGCGCCGCAACCTCGTGCTCAAGCTCTTCAAGGAGCAGGGCATGTTCCCCAGCTCGCAGGCCACCACCAACTTCCAGGTCAGTCCTACTGATGTGGCAGGCTGCGGTGTGACGGAGTGACGTCACCCGCCGGCCACCGCCGCGTGCTCGAGCAGCGCCGCAACCTCGTGCTCAAGCTCTTCAAGGAGCAGGGCATGTTCCCCAGCTCGCAGGCCACCACCAACTTCCAGGTCAGTCCTACTGATGTGGCAGGCTGCGGTGTGACGGAGTGACGTCACCCGCCGGCCACCGCCGCGTGCTCGAGCAGCGCCGCAACCTCGTGCTCAAGCTCTTCAAGGAGCAGGGCATGTTCCCCAGCTCGCAGGCCACCACCAACTTCCAGGTCAGTCCTACTGATGTGGCAGGCTGCGGTGTGACGGAGTGACGTCACCCGCCGGCCACCGCCGCGTGCTCGAGCAGCGCCGCAACCTCGTGCTCAAGCTCTTCAAGGAGCAGGGCATGTTCCCCAGCTCGCAGGCCACCACCAACTTCCAGGTCAGTCCTACTGATGTGGCAGGCTGCGGTGTGACGGAGTGACGTCACCCGCCGGCCACCGCCGCGTGCTCGAGCAGCGTCGCAACCTCGTGCTCAAGCTCTTCAAGGAGCAGGGCATGTTCCCCAGCTCGCAGGCCACCACCAACTTCCAGGTCAGTTCTTGATTCCAGGTCAATCATTGTATCAGATTGTGCGACGTCACCCTAGACAAGGGAATATGCTTGGTTGTCGTATCTGCAAAGAGCAGGACATGTTTCCTAGCTCGCAGGCCACTACCAACTTCCAGACGAGATGATGAGACTGTTTTAGGTGATAGAGAGGTCCTGTCGCAAAGAGCTGGGCATATATTTCCTAGCTCGCAAGCCACCAACTTCCAGTTGAATCCTATTGATGTGACAGGCTCTTTTTGCAAGGAGCAGGACATGTTTCCTGGTTCGCAGACTACCACCAACTTCCAGGTCAGTTAGTGAGACGGTTTTAGGTGATATAGGGTCCTATCTGCATAGAGCTGGCCATGTTTCCTAACTAGCAGGCTACAACTAACTTTCAGGCCAGTTCGTGTGATTGGTTTTGAGTTAACGGCGTTTTTAGGCAACTGGTCCAAGATCGAAGATCTCAAGAAGGTGATCTCGAAGAGCGAGAATCGCTGTTTGTCTCTTAACGTGCTGAAACTCATGTTACGTAAGAGGTATATTCGTGAAATGTTCTCAAAGTAAGGTCTCATATGGTCGCTGTAATAAAAGTCAACTGATAGCTCCATGGAATCAATATCTCGAAAAGATAGCAGGAGGTACAAACGGCCAAAATTATCAAAATAATGTCCCAGTCCCTCTAATTATATTTTGCTACCATACTTTGTAGTTTTTCCACAGCTTACATTATTCTCTTTTACTCCGCAGGCCACTCACATGGACATATTCCCGACGAAGATGTCGCTGCAGCTAAAGATCCGGGAGGTGCGACAGAAACTCATGGCGCAGTCCAACCTCACGCCACACTCGGAGGTCAACACGCCCACAAGTGAGTTACTAAACTATTTTAGATAGATAGATCGAACCATATATGGTTTATTTGCAAAACACATTGACACACAAGAAGCAAAAAGTAAGATTACAAAACACAGGAGTAGCGAAAGATATAGTACATTACAAAGAGTAAAAAAGAAAATCATGCGCTAAGGTATAAGTGTGCCGCAGCGATGCAAAAAAGCAGAGAGCTCAGTGTAGACACTGCTCTAAAATGAGCAGAACACTGATTTTTAGCTCTTGCTTGAAAAAAAGAAGGTAGACGCACGAGAATGGTAGAGAATAAGGTGGTGAAAATGTTTGTTTCTATTCAAAGACTGCCGGGCGAAGGCCTTTCCACGACGACTGGTCCTGCGCTTTACGCATCTGGTGCCATCCCGCTACCTTTAAGCATAAACATTTCACTGCTTGTTCATTCTTCGTTTCTCAAACAAGAGATGTCCTTTGCTGAAAAAAAGCATTTCCACAAAGACCGGTCCTGCGCTTCCCACGACGTTTACGAGATTGCCGGAGGCTTTATCGTCTTCTATATAGTCTGCAATTACCTCTCGAGAACTTTTCAGCCTCAACGATCATCAGTTCTATTTTGCACCACTTCTATTTTATTGTTCACACGAGATATAATAATTTTACATCAAGCGCATGCGCAGCGCAATATTTTTACGTATTATACTATTAAAACGCTATCTTCCATAGCTTGTAACGTTTGACTGTCTCAAAGTTAACGTTGGGTTTCAAAGTTAACGGAAAGAAAAATACTGACTTTCTTCTAGGCATGGAAATGATTGCTATTTTTCATTCATTTTCATTGTATGAAATGATGATTTTTTTTCATATGATTTCACATGCGAAATTTCACAGGCAATGATTTTTATTCGCAGTGTTTTAATGTAGCTCTTTCATATAATGTGCTACTTTTAATGAGTATGAATTATGATGAAGGATTGCTAATTAGCTAAAATATGAAATGTAATAATATCTGTTTCATTTATGTCGCACAACAAAAAACAAACAGTTTCACAGCACATTAATATCCGCGCGACTAATGAAAATCATTCATTTCATCTGCCTGCTATCTAATGAAATCACACGAATCATGACAAGGAAATCTAAACCTTACACCTTTGAGTTTAAAGTTCATATTTAAAATGACCAGTTTCGTCCGTCATCACATCTCTTGTCCTTTTCTAACACGCACATGATCAAATCATTCCTTCTTACTCGCTCGGTCGCTACGCAGAGCTGCGCTCACGAACTTCGCTCGAATGAATGAATGAAATTCAGGTGATTCGTGATTTCGTTGACTGTGAAATTATAGCAGTCTATGTGAAGTAAAATAGCAGGTGTGATTAATGAAATTCATTTCATATGATTTTTCACCTGCTATTCATGAAATGTTCCATGCCTACTTTCTTCCCAAAGTGGGGATAGAACAATCTATATTTGGGGCGTGTATAAGCGACCTGGAAAGGGCCTAGGTACTGAATAAAATCTTCTATATTTGACTTTGATATTAACTCAACTAATTTTGGTCTCGTATTTCAGATGTGAATTCTCCGATCGTGTCGGCCGCACTGCAGCCGACCTCTACGGCCAGTTAGCGATGTGGGTATACCATCTCCATTGTCGTGCAGGAATAGGCAATACTATTCAGTTGTTGACGCTTTAGCTATTCTTCTCTTTAGTTCATTAAGGTACCTCTACATAAGTCACATTATATGGCCCCTTACTTATTTTCGGCCTTCGACTCAGCTAGATTCGATATACAACTTTACTGCGTTGTATTAAGGTTCGCGAACATCTGTCAGCTACTTCTCCAATGCCAATTGATATTGTAGTATGACCGAGTCACTGATACTTTCTTCTGGCGAGTCTATAAATATTGAGTAATAAATAGTTAAAGTGGCAACAGCTGAATATTTAGAATAATTCTGTTTGTAACAGATACCTTTGTGCAATGGAGTTGTGAGATTTTCGAGTGTTCTATCTTATAGTGATCACTTATTTTATAATACATACTTCGATGCTTGATGGCATTTAAATTATACGATTCTATTCTTCGTAGTAAATCTATCACTTTAAGAAATTTTGGACATAATAGAAAAAACAAAAAAATGTATGTTGAGATGTTATTATGACGAATGAAAGGTCCGAAGTCGCATATCATTTGTTTTGTTTATCAACGTGAACTGACGTTCTTCCAAATTCGGAGTGATTGGTGGAGTGGGTGGGTGCCTTTGATTTGCGAGAAAGACAATTATTTTATTTTGGTGTTAAATCGTAATTTTAGGTTATTTCTATCATCGTAGCTATTCCTTAGCACTTCGACATTTATGTCAGTAAAATTTAAGATATAGCGGTTAATACTTATGAATGTGGAATTAATTAACGTTTCAGAAGCGAATATTAAAATGAATTCTTCGCTTTCACATCTGGACAAGCATTTCATCGATTCCATTGTTCAGACTAAACATAAAAACACAAAAAAATATCGTAATTAATCATAATCTTTGTTATCGCGGTTGTAGGCGTCTGACGTATTCATATAGGTTGCAGGTAGTATTGTACCAGAGAAGGTGTTGAGTGCCATCGGAATATTTTACCGGAAGGCAATATTAAATAATACAAGTAGCTAGGTAATTTTGATGAGAAGTTTTATAATATTTAATATCGAAATTTTTTAATTCTTAACATTCAGTTTTCGTTTTTTATAATGTTTTACACCTTGACATCTTTGAGGTACTTATGTTTTATATCATCCATATTTATTTCGGTAAAGTTAGCACGTTACTCACTATAGGCACGATCTCAATATATTTGTGTAAATATGTAAGTCCTATACTCGTAGTTGACTGGTGTATGTCAGGTTGTGTATTTTGCGTTTGTGTTATGTGAAGTTTGTATCATTTTGTTAGTGTATTCCATTGTTGCTTCTGCTATTATAGTATAGTGTAGCGACATCGATCTTGATGTACAGTCCACAGCACATCACCCTACCCCAAAATTGTATTTGCTCAATTGATTTTGAACATAATGCAAATGATATAAAGATCAAAATCAATTGGGAATATCGGTCATGCTATAGGAGGTTCATGTGCTGTAAACTGTACTATCATCACAGTACTTTTAACTCGACTGTCCGATATAAGACGTCACACTTGTGAGTTTTTATGAAACGAAAAATCCCGACTGCAATTTGTTAATTTTGCGATGATTTAACGAAACTGAAGCCTAATTTGAAACTAATTCGATCCGAGTAGGTATTATGTAGGGATAAGTTCAGATTATTAGGTATATCGTAAGCTTCGTTTACAGTTCCAAATTAAAAACGCCTGACTCCTTTCAATGCTTTAACACGAAATGTGTGTTCCCAACAGTTTCTGTTTCGGGCCTAGACCATGAGCTATATTTAGTATCGCTACCACTTCAACATTGATTTATTATTTAATGATTCCTTAAGAAAATGCTGCATTTATATATATAAATATCACGTTGTTTGCGACCGTCAGACAAAAGTAAAAGACGCACACGTCACTGGCCTCGTTTTAACATTGACTAATCTATGCGGAGTGTGACAGAGAGAGGATGATCTGTGTATTGGTAAAGAGGGAGATAGAACATGGTGCGTATTCATTATTATTTAAGTGTCTTATTTTCAATTGTTTCTATTTATGTTGTGATGTTGGTCTTCCACATGTTTAAGAAATTTTCATTTTATTAGATAAATATCTACTTATTATTTGTATGTACAGTGACTTACGTTAAGTATTCGTTTTTGGATGCCATGTTGTAACGAGCATTATTATATTACATTATTATATTGTAATAATAAATATATAAGTTTCGGAAGAAAGTCAATATCTTACGTGTTTCTACAAGTAAGTGCAAACATTGTTCTGAACCAACACAACAACAGCGGTATACAAGCTCAAATCATTACTGACACTAGGTAAATCAATATTTATACATATAATAATCTCATTGTAAATATTAGATTTATTTTAAACTAGTGTTAAGAGTTCCCGGCTCTCAAAGTAATTAAGGTTTTATTTAGATAATGCTAATTATAGATAAAAGATGAAAAATATATAATTTATACTTGAAAATTTCGGCCAATACAAATGTTATGTATATCAAAATTGTATTTTTAAATGATCTCTTCGGCGTAAATAGTATTTAGATAATTGCTTTAGGAGTCCGGAAGTAAAATGAATTTATTAAAAGTATAAATGTAAGAGATATTTTCGCACTGTTAAATAATATAATCTTGATAGTTGTGTAGTCGGGGCTACCATGTCCTGACACTACGTTCGTTTGTCGTTAGAGTTAAGCAGGACCACTTCACAAAAGATTTCGATATTTCGAATCTATCTGTCTCTTTTTACAGATGCTATTCTAGCTTGTGTGAGAGACACGTATAGAGTCAAATATTTGGAACAGTTTGGCGGAGTTGGTCCTTCATAACTAATTGAGGAGGTTAGGAACAAAAGGTGACATTTACGTATCAGCTTCATTTTTTTTTATGTTTTTTTTCTTACTTGGAAGGATAAATTCTATCATTATCTGCAAGACATTGGTTCTGAAGGTGCTTAATTTCATAGAAAAATCAACTTGAACTACTGCTTTTGAAACAAAAAGTTACATTTTAATTCAATCTCAATAGTGATTTGTACATAATAATCAAAAAGTGTCATTTCCTTTGTAAATATTTCTGAGGCTTTTAAGGTCGGATCAAAACGGGTACATTATTTCTTAAAAAATAACGATTTGCCCAAAATAAATTATGACGACAGGTCGAATCGATATGTTTAATCGAATAACCTTATTATATACCTTGTAATCTATGTCTATGTTTAACTAAATAGTTTGGAAAAAACTGGAAAAATGATCCTTCTTTAAAATGGTATTGTGATATCTTGTATGAAAATAATATAAGTGAAAATGACAAGTGGCAGTGGGCGGGATAGCTCGTAGAGACGATGGCCGTTGGGGCAGGAAAGTTCTCGAGTGGCGACCACGGGCTGGAAGACGTAGCGTGGGCAGGCCTCCTACTAGGTGGACCGACGATCTGGTAAAGGTCGCGGGAAGAGCCTGGATGCGGGCAGCGCAGGACCGTTCATTGTGGAAAACCTTGGGGGCCTTTGTCCAGCAGTGGACGTCATTTGGCTGAAAAGAAAGAAAGAAGAAAGAAGAAAATGACAATGAAAATGATGAAAATGGATGTGACTGCTTAGAACCTGATTGTGGAGAACTTCATGTATAAGAATTTAAAATAATAATAAACACATTTTTTGTATGGATATTGATTTGTTTTTGTTTCTAATAGTGACATTTTTCAGACAGCAAGTTTCAAAAGGTAACATTTTACAAAACTATTGAATCAAATGGTGACATTTATTTGTGACTTGATCAAAAGGTGACATTTGATTTGTTCTTTATTTAATTTTGTGTAAATTTTAAAACATACATGAAAACTTTTAATACCTTGTAATCTATGTCTTATTAACCCATAATATTAAAAACAAAAAAAAAAACAAAACACATAAAGTTCAACAAAAATATTTATTTTCTTAATTTATTCATATAATTAAAAAGTGTAAATGTCACTTTCTGTTCCTAACCTCCTCAATTATAAGACTAACTGCAGTCTGAATGTTATTATTTTCTTAGTTATTGACTCCGACAGAGGGTGTTCAGCGACCAGCGGTATTCTAAAGAAATAGTCTCACTCGCCGGTATCATGAAAGATCATTCAAATTCTTCAATCTGTTCAGAATCATCATACAGAGCTGGTGATTGGTCTAACTGCTAAACCAATCATAATATTGAGTCTATTCTAGAGATTGAAGTATGTTTTGAAGATCGTTTTAGAATACAGGCCTAATTGGAACAGCCAAAATGTTATTTTTTAAATTTCTATTGGTCTATAACTAATTCTTTGATATCCGCTGGCCCTGACCATAAAATCAGTCTATGTTGAATGTAATATTCAAGACTGTGCTATCAAAATAAGGTACAAAACTGCCGATACTACGTAGTGTTAGGGCCTGGTACCATCTCCGCGTAGTCAATTGGTCATGTCATATACACTTTTCATACATACAACTGTTGTTACCAATTTAGACATACATGATTCAATCACACATTTGTTAACATTGTTATGTACTCTATTCTAAATTAATAAGACAGTTTTTATATAAAGAAATTCGGAATAAGTGATTATCTTATTTCTTTATATTTATTAAATAATTAATTGCCTTTTAGTTTAGAATGGATAAACCTGAAGCATGGTCACACAGCAATATGAAAGACTTTTAACATTAAACAACACTATAATTACCTGTCGGTAACTTATCATATTACTATCTAAATAATAAATTATTTTCTCTTTTTACTATGTAATGCCTGTAGGTAGCTGCTTCCTAATTGTATAATTTAGCATCTATCATAGTAGCTTTCAGTGTGCACTGGACATCATCTATTTTCTGAGGCAATAAAATGAATACAAATTGTCATAATGAAAGCAATCGTGATAGAAGTTAAACTGGACAACTAGGGCTCTGGTTATTTAATATCAATTGTATTGTTGTTGACTACATCGAAATGTGTGAAGGTCTATTTGTATCAGATTACATTTAATAGAAATCAATTTTAAATACACTTATTTTTAAATGTAAAGATTTGTAACGAATGATCCATAGATATGAATGATGTTTCATTAACATAATGGTAGTTTATTGATTTAGATAGTTCAGCAGTTACGTTGATTATATATTTTAATCAATTAACATCTATAATTATGTGTGTTCACAGCACACAGTTTTTAATTTTCAGATGATTCACATATAATTATTTTATTACACAGATTTGTTGCAATATGTTTTTAACATAGAATAAAATTAACAAATTTTGTTTAACGGTTTATAATTGCAATGGTTTGTACTGAATGTTTCAATCTGTTTTAATACTGTCCATTACCTGATTTTAGAAGTTTGTTGAGGATACTTCAGTTTTGGAGTTATGTTGTGTTCTGAGTGAATGTATTTTTTCAGTGTGTTGTTGTAATAACAAATATGAAACAAATCTTAATGCAAGTAATAAGCTGCATATTATTAGTGCCTTATTGACTTTCAAAACTTAGTTATAAACAAACATGTTGTTTTGTTTGTTAAAAGTATTGTTTTTCGAGATTCCACTCCTAGGGTTTGTCAGTCAATAACAATGGATAATACGCAGTTTTCTTTATTAGACTGAATTTACTCTGTTGCATATAACATTTAGTGTTATATATTTTAAGAAATATTAGCAATTACCTGAAAAGGACATTTTTAATAAAGCATTTCATATTCGTTATTTATTTCTTCTAAATAAGGCATTAGTCTAATTGTTTAGTCAAAATGTCGTAATTGTAAATATCTTGTTTAGAAGTTTTATTTAGATTTAAGTGTTCAATTTAATGTATGTTAGATTGAATTAGACAAAAAATCATCAGAGGAAATATCTGAAACAATAATAATCACATTACACATGATTTTCAAATGTTTAAGAATCCAACTAATGGACCAAATAAATGGCACTTAACTTAGACAATGTAATCACAAAACAAGAATCCATTGTGTGCAGGTATAGCGCATCACCCATAACATTGTGGACAGTTTGTTTAAGCATATTGGATCATTGTACGAACTTATGTTAAAATATAAAAACCTCGAAAACAGTATTGTATTTTATTTATTAACCTTTCTCACATTACAAATAAATTAAACTATAGGCAGGCAAAGATAGAATAGATAGTCCTTCTATTATTTAGATGGAGGAATTGCTTTTATAAGAATATTAGGGTTTTCTTCTTCCAACAATGATAATGCTGTTTGAAGTTTTATATCAGGTCCTGGATCTGTGATGACTAACATTTTGAGAGCTGACATCCTTGCTAATGCATATACACCGCCAACACAGAGGTTACAGCCGCTAATATCAAGAAATTCCAAAGTTTTTCCAGTGAGGCCTGCTATTCGGTCTAAACACCACACATCTACATGTTTATTGTTCTTAAGCGACAACCATCTTAAGAAATTAAGATTAGTTAAATTCTCAAGCCCTTCGTAACGAATTCCATTGTGATGGAAGTCGCTGCAGTCTATAGCTTCTACATAATAACCATCTGTAAAGGTATTAGGCAGTGTTAGATTTGTAATGTTCCCTCTTATCCATTCAGTTTTTCCCTTTAATCTGTAAATAATACAAACAATGAAATAAATATACAGGGTGACTGGAACTGAACCCGCCATAGCTAATACGCGTATAGAGGAGGTCATTTGCTAATTATTGAACCTTACTTTCTATGGCTAAAGTTTTATAGTTTAGGAGATATGTCAATTTTTATACTTTTTTCAGATTTTTCCGAAATTTGACCTAAAAACTGCTTAATTTTTTTTTTGCATGATTTTAACCGATTTTTTTATTTGATACTAATATCGAATAAACCTTTAGTCAAATAAAATAAATTTCAGATCTAGATAATGATTCAATAACTAGTTACGAGCCGCCAAAGTTCAACAAAAGTACAAACCACGATAAACAATTCAAGTTCGAATTCGATTAAAAAAAAACCAATGGTGATAATGTATTGCCATTGATCTTAAAAATAGCTCTACCTTCTCTCCTTTCCAATGATATATCACACGTAGTAATTAGATACTGAAATTTATTAAAAATTCAAAGTTTATGGAAGAAAATGGAGTAATAATACGAAAATTATCCATACAAAGTTTCTTCAAATATCTCATATTTTCTGCTATACTCCTTTTCATAACTATTTTTGTGTTTTTTGAAAAATGAATTTAAAAATTTTAATCACATTATGAAGAAAAGAGTTTAAAAAAATTCAAAACCAACTTTGTATGGATAATTTTTGTATTATTACTCCATTTTCTTCCATAAACTTGGAATTTTTGACAAATTTCAATATTTAATTACAACGTGTAATATATCATTGGAAAGGAGAGAAGCTAGAGATATTTTTAAGATTATTGGCAATCCATTATCACCATTAATTTTTGTTTCAATCGAATTCAAAGTAGATTTTTTTATTGCGGTTTGTACTTTTGTTAGACTTTGGCGGCTCGTAACTAGCTATTCAGTCATTATCTGGATCAGAAATTTATTTTATTTGAATGAAGACATATTCGATATTAATATCAAATAAAAAAAACTGTTGAAATCACAAGAGAAAAAAAATTTAAGCAGTTTTTAGGTCAAATTTCGGAAAAATCTGAAAAAAGTATAAAAATTGACATATCTCCTAAACTATAAAACTTTAGTCACAGAAAGTAAGGTTCAATAATTAGCAAATGACCTCCTCTATACGCATATTAGCTATGGCGGGTTCAGTTCCAGTCACCCTGTATAAATGAAAATTAATTTCTAAATAATTTATTTATATGATCACGTCATGTAATCAAGCTTACCTTACTGCGGCATATCGATAACAGAAAAAATGTACTGCAGCCAGATTGGCTCCTAAAGTAGCTACTCGTTCAGGTATATACTTTTGATTTTCAATTTCTTGTAATTCTTTCATGCTGCTCCACCAATCTTTTATTTTCTGCCGTGTTACATTGGGAATTTGTGACAAAATAAACATAATATCTGGACTGGGATTTTTCTCCACGAAAACTGATAATTTGCTGGTAAATTCACCTTCCCTTTTCACCCAGGGTTTCCGCCAGTCGGGGTACTCCTGACCGTGGACCATGCGTGGTTTCTCACCCTCTTCATGGCGTTGGTAAATCGACTTTTCGTTTTTATCACAATAATAGCGCCTTGAGGTTATGGTGAGCGCTCTGTAAAGTATACTTGTTTTTGAGGTTAGCGCCATTATGTAATCTGTATGAGGATATCGACCATAATTTTACACCAGTAAATAAGTATGGGTTTGTTCAAAATATTAATAATTAAATTAAATAAAATAAATGTTAGGAAATGAATTTGATGTATCAAATTCGTCTACCAAAATCAGCTGACTGACATTGACAAGTAGTGACTGACACTGACAGTGAGTTTTTTAAATAAGTTCGAAAAGACACGGACAGGAACCATGCACATTTGAACAGTATTTTGTAATCTCCACAAGGCAAGGATTTATGTTTTATTTTTATCTATCTATGGTTCAAGATAGTCGTCTCCAGTCGACTCAGTCTCAGATGGCTAGCCTATAATACTGTGTGTTTGCCAGAGAGGGGGAGACCGGATATATAGCGAGACATCATACGATTGTAGAGAATAGAGATGGATACAGTTCTCTGTATCCACTTTTCCGCTTCAATCGACGTGGACGCATCAACACAACACTCTGCCAAGAGCAAAACGATTGAGAAGAGAACATAATACTAACACCAAGTTCAATGCTGCTTATGGTAAATTAGAATTAATAAATCAACTAAATTGTTATGTTTAAATGGAAAAGAAGAAAGCATGCATATGTAGCTCTTATTTGCAGTCCTTTTCCTTTCGAAATCATTTTGAACGACACAGTTATAAGTAAATTACCCTCGAATTGGGCATTTGCCAATCAAATCCGTTGTTTGTTTGTTGTCAATTTTCAAAAAGCAAAATACGTGTAGCGACTTTCGATGACATGGCATTCAATTGCTCTCCCAATTCAACTCTCAATTTGCGTTCGTTAAAAATTACCTATATCCGAGTGCTTTTTGTAGATTTTTCATGCACAAACGACTCGAATGCACGTGATAATTCACAGCAGGTATAGCTAGTCCCAGTTGGATTTTACTTTAACTGCGTAAACTTTTCAAATGGGTTTAAAAGCGCACGAATGATGTAAATTATCATAATATTTATTAGGCAGATAGGTATCTGCCTAATACATAATTAAGCATGATAAAATCTTTAACATACGTACCACTACGTACTATCAGTAGGTACATACACCGTAATGGAGGGGTAAATGGTGAATTTTTAGTTAATTGTGGGTAGTTAGACAAACAAAGAAAGTAGTGAAATATGTTGTGCGGAGTCACTGGTCAAAAGTGTCGATTTTAAATTAATTTTAGTAAAATACAAAATGAATGTTTAGGTAGGTAATGAGTTTAATAAAATATGTGGTCGTGGACCGTATTGAAGTTAAACAGTGAGTTCAGAGTCATGCTTCGAAGTTCGGAGTTTAAAAGCAAAAGAATTTCCTTACAAGTAAGTACTTACCTACCTAAGTTAATTTTTTATTTTGAAATAGGTAATATATTACATAAATTCATAACATTAAAACAATGTTCATAAAATTAAATTTTCTACTCTTATTTCAAAAAACAAAATACAGAGTCATTGTAAAGTCGGTCAGGTTCATAGTAATTAATCTTGCTACATTTGCGTATCAGAGTGGCGAAATTTTCGCATTTACGAGTCGTTTGCCCTCAGTCGTCGCGGCTAGAGATGTATTATTATGAATTTAATATATATCTCCGGCTATGGATCATTAGTGTCTAGATCCGTAAATAAATAAATAAATAAATAAATAAATAAATAAAATAAAGTTTTAACAGACCTTCCGAGCAACTGCACTCAGGAGGATTTGATGAGTGCTGCTGACAACGCCACTCTTGTGGCGGAGTTTTGGGCTGACACTGTGTAGGTTTGTTGTCGACACGAAAAGAAGAAGAAGAAAAAACCTCCAATTATTTCGACTCAGTACGGAGCGTAATCTAGTTTATTGATAGCATAGCAAAACACACAACACTGATTTTACGTTTAAGCTAAAACATGTCATTTGGTTAGGCTGGCGCAGTAGGGTAAAAAGTAGAGTGCTTTAGGTTGGATTCGAATTGACCACCTTTCGCTTGTAGGTAGCTCATCGTACCAAGGATCCTTCCTCGTTCCTCCATCCTTTCTTGGATCCAAGCTACTTAGGTGTAAGACATAGACCGAACCGAGAACTCTCTTTTGTTTACAAGAAACTTTCTAAAATCCGGCGGGTATGAGTATCTGGCACATCACTATCACTACCAGGACATGATTAAGGCAGTATTATTGTACTTCGCGGAACATATTTCAGCGGTACATTACTTCGTTGGCACACAGCCAGTCCGCCTGATGTATCCCTATTAGTTACTTCCGATCTATTAATCATAATTCAATGATCCCGATGAATTGGCTCGCATTACGCATTAATCACGACGGTTTAGGGAAACTATGTATTTATGGGACCATTAACATAATGCCTATGGTTGGGGTTTGGTATTCTTCCTTTTATCTATTGATTCCGTTCATCCGTGAGGAAATAAATATTATTATTATTGAGGAAGAAAGACATTATGATTAAGCATGAAATAACAAACTTATTATGAGGATTTGTTGATTACTTACGTAGGTAATATTTATTTAACATACCTAGGAAATGCCATTAACGCATTCCTAAAAATACTTGTATTTTTGCATCGGCTACCTGGGCGGAATAACAATCCCACGTGAAACAATAGGCCATGGGCAAAAACAATGGCCATACTCAGCAGGAACTTGCAAATAGTTTCCTTTATACATTTCATCTGGACAAACTTTTTTATTTTGCCGTTCCAACCGTCCAGGGTAAATTTAATTATCCCACAGCTAGCACATAAAGCTTTTATGTTTCTGCATTATTTTCAACTGAAGGATTGCAATAGCTCTTCGCAGCATCCTGTTGCGGACACTGTATTTTAATTATGTGTCGTGAAATTTTCTCTTTGAAATATTGGGGTTAAAGCAAATATTAAAACTTAAACCAGTTCAGTTAGATACATGGGGTAACTTCACATGCATTAATCTACACCTGCAATACAAGCGACACGTTATGCATACAAAATAACGAGAACATGACGTATCATGCATCAATATCTACTCCACAAATTGGTTCCAGCACTTCCAGCGGTGAGCATATCCAACTTTATAATTCTGCAGCGTGGGCCACTTCTGGAGATTGGTTTTTAATCAAATCTGGGCGACGCTGAGGCCCGTGAGCATTTTCCAAGTTGTCCGACGCCTCGGCGGATGGGACGGGACACTTCGTCGTTAATCTTATTCCCGCAATGCGAATGATCTAACGTTTAGGACAGAGATTGGACCGAGGATGTGTGAGCTAATCCCGCTTAGCCAGCAGTAATGGGACAAGATACCGCGAGCTAATAACGTAACGGCTTCTAAACGAATTTGTGCGACAAGTTTGTTGTTTCAGACGGACACCGTCTGGGAAATTCCAATTTAAGAAATAATCGCATTCATCTAAGAGGTTTCACGGATTAGTTTAGACAAAACCGAACGGAATTGCTTGAGATGTTCAAATGAAATGGGAGCTTAAGTTGGTGGAAAACTAATTTCGGTTTGAAAGCAAATTGAAAAATATTAGAGGTGGTGGAAAATAAAATTCTCCTTCTAAAATTTGAAACCTTCGGGAAACTAATGAGAAAAGATTTTAATTTTAATTAGAATGATGGATTAGCATTTCGAGGTATTTTACCCTAATTTGATAAACGGAATAGAATGAGAATAGTAAATAGGATGCATTACTGACCTCGGTTAAATGAAAAGTTTTAGTTTTAGAGACATCCTACCCTAACTGAAAGTTCGCGGCAGATGGGAGGAATCTGGGTCTTCGCACTAAGTTAGTTGTGGTTTCTGGGAATCTCCCGAAATTCCACAACTTCTCGTGACGCCGGGACTTTTAGGGGATTGGTTCGAACAATTCGTTATACTGTTTACTGCACAGGACACAGTTAAAGCTAGTGGTTCTCGATTGCAATTAAGAAGAAAGTCTCCTCTCTTGTTCTTCTACTTTGTGAATTTCAGTTTTTTTTTAAATTTCCTATGACGACGACAGCTGTTTTATTTATTGATTTGGCACAATAAACATTCGGTAACCATAACCAGTGATATGGAGTAACTAGAAAGGAACTCTATCTTACTTTGTGGACAGTTCTGTTTCTATCAAAGAGCACTAGGGATGCACAGGAGGGTTTGCGAGATGCAGTCGCATTAGGTATGGCGGGCGCGCGCGCTGTGTCAGCGAGCCCAGATCGCGACGTGACGCGGGGTACACTCGGACTCGAACTTTGACCAAATTACTGAAGCTTTTTTCAAAATTGCAATGTCTAAATATGGACAGTAATTGTTAGAAGGTTGCGGGAAGCCGCTAGGTGTAAATGGCTCTTTTTGGCGTTTTTTAGGCGAGAAGTTGATGATAATTATCATTGTAACAATTGATCCATGTCAAAAGTCTACTGCAGCTGTTCACACCATCTTCCTATACGACAAAATAAGAATTAGCAGTCAACAAGAAGATATTGTGGAAGTTACAAAATAATGAAACAGCAAAATATGAATAAAAGTGACGCTTACGAGCATAAATAAAATAAAATCTACGATAACCGGTTTAAAGACATGCAAGAAGAGTAAAATCGGCGAAAAAAGACAAAATCCGGTATTGGTGCCCTCTTATTGGTTTTTTAGCATTCAATGGCCAGTGTTGAAAAAGGAGAACGCAGCGAAAAGTGAAAGATCCAAAAGTTGGCTGCAAAAACGGGAAGTTAAAATAAATTGCTGGTTTCTCCAGCTGAGTGTACAGCTACAGTAAACAGGGTCGGAAATAAAACTAAGTAGATGGCGCTTCTGTGGCGACTCTTATCTAATCTTAATGGCAGCACTTCTCGTCTTGATTTAAGGACTAATTTAGATAGCTTTTAGTTCGACTTTGGAACGTTATTAAATTTATAAATAACGTGAAAGCATGTGCATTGATTTTCAATGAACTTAGTAAAGGTGTTGTTTAGTTACCCATTAAATAAGGCTTTACAAGACCACAATTGACTAAAGAAAACAGGAGGAGAACACAATAAGATAAACGAAGATAACGTGTACTAAAATCGCAATTAAAAAAAGTATTTTTTTCCCTTAAACATTTTATTATTACTATCACATAATATTGTGATAAAAAATATTTTAAATATTATTTGAGACTGTACTTTAATAAATTTTTTTTAACTGTACTTTAAT